ATGTTCATCCAGGTCATCTTGTGTAATAAACATAGGAGGAGTAGTTTCTGATTGAATAGGTTTGATTGGTGGTGTGTCGTCATACTGATCATATTCAAGTAGTTTAACATGAGAAAAACCTAGATTAGTATTGTAGACGTTGCTAGTGGTCGTTGGAATTTGTATCCTGTTTAAAAATTCCTAGTCTATGGACCGGTCTATACACATAGAATTATTAACGGTTCGAGTATTCAAGCCCAAGATAGATGTCTTTGATACTCTTAATGTTATTTGAATTTGTCTCTAGTTGGTTACTTGCTATAACATTACTTTGCGATCCTATCGTCTCACATTTTCTTACACGACATCGGAGGGGGGTGTTAAGCGTCGAGCGACCTCTATGTCCTTATATAGTGTCAGTGAGCTGAGGCTTTCGATCAAAATTAATAAACCGTTTATCATCGCCACAACAGTTAAACTTAATCAGGGTTGAGCATGTTGATTTATCCGATTTTTTCCTGGGTCGAGTGACTTGTAAGTTGACGTCCACGATACCACGTACTTAAAGGCATATAACCATCAGCATATTGTGTAATGTAGAGTCAGGGCGATTGTAAACAACCGCATTGCAGGAAGACATTACTCTTTCCACTACTTCTCTAACTACAAACTCTAAGATACATTCGGCCCCAGTGGATTCTGGGTTTTTGTGACTGCTCGGGGTGGATATATGCGTGAGGGGTGTTAGCTCGTTAGGTCCATTTTCAATTCCTGCGATTGAGTTTTGTAACTGTCTTATATTCTTATTAAAGCGAGCAGTATTTTGGTGTGTGCCAAACGAAATATTAGGCTCACTGGTTTGTGGATGTTTGAGTTCTGATTTTAGTATACGATATTGATGGCTATATTGTGTTGACTTTTCCGTATGTGTGGGTGTTATACCTTTGATATCAATCAGCCTTTAGTGCTAACACACTGCATGAATATCTGGACGGGTGTTCACGCGGGTGATCAGACAGTGATAGTCATATTTGTGGATAAGAAGCGTATAGTTCAGAAGATGAAAGTGACTTTGTCATGCACTGATTCGTCAGACATAGGGGTTATAGATATTGACCTTTAAGATGGTTGAGGTAAAATTTTTCTGTTAATGGGATTATCAGTCATAATTGGCATTTGAGTAAGTAGAGAGCCCAATTAACTAGATAGATTATATGAGTATATAGTTATTGTTAATTAGGAATGTTGTTAATACTGAAATCAGTGGCTATTGTTAAATAAGGAATTTTGGAGGTAAAGTTTACAGTTATTAAGTGAAATTACAGAAATACAGGAATGTGGTGCGGAGAAGCTCTGTACTTACGGTTTTGTGTGGTAGAACATCATGTGTACACTCAAGAGTTTATCGGTCTTCATAAATTTGTGTACTGATCAGTGAGATTGTCCATTCGTCTTGGTAACACTCATATCCTTATTATTGGCAACTTCGATCATCCTAAAGTCAACTGCGCTGAACATACGTACAATGGAGATGACAACTCTAATAAGGCTTGGTTCTTCAAAATCATCGAAGATCTGGGATTATTTAAAGGTGTCAAGTCAGCAACTCGTTGGAGAAGCAGTTGAACGCCATCACGCCCAGACTCCGTACTCATGAACGAGGGATTCCTAATTGACAACCTTTCAATCCTGGGTCCCCCTGTGTAAGGGCGATTACAGTGCCTTACAAGCACTGTGATTTCAAATATTTGAAAGTGTCACCTTTGCAGGTCAGTCTACAGCAGGTGAACTGGAAAGCATAACCGCCAGTTGATGTGAATGCTCATTGGAATTTCCTACTGCGCACGATCTTATATCTTACAAGACAGTCTGTCCAGCAAACGGTCACCAAAAATAACAGATGGCGGACAGTCAACGAGAACCCCACTCTTCCAATCCTTGGGTCCACAAGGCCATACTGGACGGGACATAATCAAACTAGTGGCAACAGCACATATAGGCAGTTCAAACAAGCAAGGAGTCATTGCACCAGGGCTATTAGGTCAGATGGTTTTCAATATAAAAAAATCTAGTCGATAGATATTCCGAAAGCTTAATCCATCATGCAGCCGGTCTACGATGAGCCAAATCCAGAGTCTTCCGATTTCTAAGTCCTAATGGTTCAACCAACAACGATGTTGACACCGTCAACCTTCAATCATTTCAACCGTCACATGCAAATTATGTCGATGAGGGCTTCACTCGCAGCTCGATAGTACTCTCAGAGGTAAACATGAGAGCTAACATGGCGTAACAGAAACCGTAGCACCTATGCAAGCGCATTTTTTCCTAGCTTCGATATAGTTCATTCAGTCGAGAGAAGCGACTTCAATCTTTGGAAACCGCTTGGCATGATGTTCGCACGTTCTCTAAGCCGAGTTAAGTTACCAGATATTTGGAATTTAGCTCACACTCCAATGATTTTCAAAGGAGTCAGACGTAGCGAAGCTTCAGGCTACCAGCCACTACCACTTCTTCCAGTACTCTCAAAATTATGTAGTCCCTGACATAAGGTGGACTACGCGATTATATACTATCCGTTAACTTCTCTTCACCCCCACAGCACAGTCTGAAGAAGGGTTAATCTTATATAATCAACCTTCTGACCGAGTCAGACAGGTGGAAAACCAGATCTCGGAAGGAGGGTTGACGTCATGTACCCTTACTTCACAGCTTAAGAGAATGAGAGCACATGCTTACCTGCAAATATTTGCGCATTCAATGTGGTCAAATCAGCAATGAAGACTTTATAGCCAGTCTTTTTTCTAACTCGTCCGGTCGCTCGACTCAAGAGTGACGACTGGACCAGTATTGTCCTCCAACTTTCCTTATCCTCTAAAGCCAGTCGTCTACTTCATGGATCACAAATCATCTACGAACTTTCACAAGGATGATTACACATCATCCTACATGACTACATCACACACTCATTCTGTAGTGGAACGACGCGGAATACTGACTGTTCATTCAGAAACTTGGTCTGAAATGTCACTTTAGATTTGTAGTCCTCACGGTTTATTGTTTGTTCCAAAATCTTGTGGTTTACGTTCCTGGCCGAACGTACAATCCATGCATAATTGAATCCAATATCACTTACAAACTTCTTCCTTTATGTATTTGTTTCCTTTGCGTGCCGGAATTCATCCAACGCCTTTGAAATTTCCCCTAACTCATGAGCCGACTGATCATCTTGATATACCTAAAAGCTTCGGCCAAGTCAACTGATGTATTTATCGAATGTGAACCACGACAAATGGGACTACGTTAGCAGAAAAAGACAAAAATTGATTATTTCGAAGAAAGTTTATTAAGTGCAACGCAGAAGGTACTGGTAATACTAATGGAAGACGACAACATATCTAGACTCACTGTCGGTCATCTTCTATTTAGTAATAAAAAAAACTATTTATCACACAAATTATCAGTCTACAGATTACTTTGCGATTATTTTCAGCTATGTTTTTTAAATACCCGGTTATGATAGACTCTCCAACAAAATTGTTCGACTGGTTTTTCAAAAGAACATAGTTTATGATACTAACAATGACTTTGGTGGTTTTCAGATATAAGCGGGCTACGTAACTATACAAATATCTGAGAACCATGCTAGCAACCGACACTTGAAATACGGAATGAATGCTATCATCTGGGACGCTCAAGGTCGTGGAGAAGAAAGCGCGGTTAAGTTTGAAAGTTGGTTGCTTTTCCGTGCATTGTGGAAGTTATCTCGTCTTTCAAGTATCACAAATATTGTAAATCCGAAAAGCACATGCCGCTGCGTACCTATTATAGGGTAGTGGCCTGTTGGAAAGGACAAACAGGACCATTAAGGCCCTTCTACGTAGCAACTTCCACCATCCTTGGGAAGGGCCTTACAAAATTGTGCTTATTCGACCTCCCACTACCTTTGTCTTACACAACCGTCATCGGCCTAAAGACTACGTTATAACAGTACACTATAACCAGTTGGAACCAGACCGAAAGATGGTGCATTCAGATACCCAGTTTGTAAACCCTCATCTGCCACCAGTTATTACGAAGTACCATCAAAAGAAGATATAGCATGTCCATGTCCACAGTCAGACAATGAGGACAGTGCCTCACGGAGAGAGAAGTTGTGTGGAAATATTCGAAATCATTGTGCAATGTTATTAATGTGAGTTTGTTCTTTTTATTAAAGGGCAACAAAGGGTAAATATTTACATATGTGCTGCAAGAAAAACAAATCCTGGATGAACTGGACTTGCAAATAATTTATGAGACTTTTGTAAACAAGCTTTCTCTTTTGTAACATAACCGCGTTATCCGATTTTTGAAATATATACGTTGTTGCTGGCACGTCATGTTTTTCCTCCGATATTCACTGGCCCTGGTCTGCATGTTGTTATTTTTAAATCTCCTGCTTTCAAACAAACGCCAATAATACATCGTTACAGTGTTAGTTGTTCCAAGGTAAACTTTGCGTTATTGTTTCCTAACTCAACTTGGAAAGCTGCAGCTATAAGTGAATTCTTTGGTTTAGTTTATAGTCTGTTAGGTTGACACTGATGGCGTACACCTTTAACTATGCAAGGGTATATCCTTTCATAATACACGAATATATTCGTGTATATGTACGTATATATCCTGAAAAGCACAAGTGAATTAGATTTGCTTCTTAAATACAGTTTTGTCTACAAAGTGGAAGCTGCAATTTTTATTTGGAGATGGGCTAATAATGACCAAATAGCCGTTGAATTTCATTATATGTAATAACTTATGGCAAAGTAGTTTCGATAATATAGTAACTCTTAGGGTGGAGTAAAACTGACTGTTACCATATCACCAGACAGTCGTTGATCGTTCACATATACTTATTTTCATGTATAGTCAAAATAAGTAAAGGGAAGATAACTACAGTTTACTATATATTCTGGCTGTTTATTTAGAACGATGACTACAAATTAAGGATATGCAGTGTTAAATGATACAGTAGTGCGTAATGTTAACACGAGTTTATCGTTTTATCTTTTCCGTGTTTAGTTTACGACTAACATGAGTATTATTTTCACTCCATCACTATACCCACTGTAAAGTGTGGGAGTTTAAACCAGTATATATTCGTGCTAATTCCGTTGTCTTTTGTGTAATCTGTTTTATCCAATTCAGGTTAATGTACTCAGCGCCGAATCACTGTTGGTAACTACCTGCTCTTATTATCACGGTTTATCTTTTTCTTGCCATTTGCAATTGTACTTCAAATTTCTCATTACAATATTAAATTTGAGGATCACTTTGCCGAGTCTTTATTATTACTGTTTTTGAATATTTCCAGTTAGAATGTCTCATTCTCCTGAAAGTGCAATAGTTCATGGAAATATTGCGAATGGTGGTACTGAATTAGAAAAGAAATTACTCAACTTGAAGCTTCCTTTTAATGATATTGACGATGTTTATTTATCCTCAAATTTCAACGAATTAGATCGTAGCTCACATGTTTCAGTGGTTATGTCGGAACGAGTTCAGTGTATAGCTTCTGGTATATACAAAGAGTTTGAAACTATGATTGAGGCTTATGGATTACCCGTTGTTGAACGTTTAATGCCATTAATAATCAGTCTACTAGAAAATTTGGATGAACTATATAAAGATCAATCTGCATACCACGCTGAAGTCAGACAATTACGTGAAGAGAATGAGCATATTTATGACCAACTTACTGCTGAAAAGGCTGCTCGAAAACAGTCCGAAATGGTGAGTGAATTTTGAAGAAAAAATTTGTCCAATTGATGTTTCGAACTTTAATAATTACTAAGTCAGATAATAAATATTACTACCATAAAAGGTTATCTACTTGGTCTTTTACGGCATAATGTCACAGCTTTTGGTTTGTGTAAACTTAAACTTTTCAGCCAGCATCTCAGATATACGTAGCTTGTTACACATTCACCCTATTTAACACAGGTTCAAAACTGGATTCTTTGTCATCCGTAGTTCCATGCTAAAGTTCGACATTGCCCTCCATCTTCTTGTGTTCGCGTGTCCCCACTGTGCACGAAAGAAACTGGAAAAATCATTCTATATATATATATATATATATATATATATATATATATATATATATATATATATATATATATATATATATATATATATATATATATATATATATATATATATATATATATATAGTTAATTTCGTTTACCGTCGACTGTCTTGTATGCATCCATATTATAAAATATTGTATTTATTTATTGAACGTATAAACATTAGTGCAAAGGAGCACCGAATACAAATGTGTTACACAAGTCAATTTATTTGTGTGTGGTCTGTGATTCTGCTCGGGTGTTCAAACTGAAGCAGATGGTTTTCTTAGGGAGTCACACCCGGAGCCTTAGACCTAAATGTCTGATCGATAAGGCAGTGGAGCAACGTCAGGAGATGCAGTCTCATGGTAGCCGGTGACCAATAGTAGGTCCATACACCATTTGGTCCCTCAGGATCCTGGAGCCCATGTACACCATTGGTTTGAAATTGTGGTTTTCCGACTACTCTAGGTGAATCTTCCGTGCCAACCAACCCAGTTTCCGCGCTGGACATTCGCTTACCGTCCTCTCAATTTCATAAACAACACTCCCGCTGCGAGAAGGACTTTGCTGGCAGTAGTTGTATACGTGTGACCATGTGAGAGCATTTCGAGAAGAGGAGCGAACTTCTCACCCTCGGCCGTACGAGGGCATTTGGGGGGCATTGTATACTGACATAGTGTATACGGTTTGTTTGTAAATGATTTCTGTGCTATTCAATGATCACAAAGCTGGTGTTGGAAAGTTGACCGTATACTGACACATCATACATCATTATTTTTACCTCTGAACTGCGTGTGAGCTGTAGCATGATTACCGTTCGTAGGGGCTTAAAAGAGTGTATCAAATTTCAAATATCATATTTTTGTGATAAAATTTTCACTTGGTTCTGTTCAATTTTAAACTCATTGAACTTACTTTCGATGCAAATTTAAAACTTTAGCGTTTACTAAATGCAGAGGATGCTTTTGATGAAGAGAGAAAGGTGAATGAGGCAAAAAATGAGTCATTATCCACATCTTGTCGGCAAACGGAATTGAGACTTCAGTTGGCTAAAGATCAAGGTTTGTTTTTTTCATTTATTTCCTATACCTATATTCTTTCACATTCTATGTACATCTTTTTAATAATCATAAATAATCACATTGAGGTTATATTTAAGCAATAAAATATGTTCGACTTTTTTGGTGACATTTTATGTCGTGGTATTGTTACTGACTGATGCAAATTGGTACCATTTAATTATGATCAAGTAGTTATACTTTGCAGTTAAGGTTGTTAACCAAATATCTAACTGTATAAACTAAGCTGAATAGTACCTAAATAATAAAGTGGAAGTGGTACCATCGATAAAAGGGGTGAATTAGTGCATTGAGTCAGATCGCGTTACCTTTATTTTCTTACCTGTAATCTTAAACGATAATATTACACTCGGGTTTACTTTAGGATCTTACTTGTTGATTCTTTTGACGTTTAGCCACTAATTTTTGGATTCGAACCCCTCAGTCTAGCTAATTCGGCTTGGACAACTAGACCTCACATTCATAGTGTGCGATCAAGAATGTTTTACCACTAGTTAACAGTTTTTCTACAGAAAGTGTGTCGGAAAGATATTGTAGTACTAGCCGGAGACTTGAATGCTCAGATCGGGCGTCTAAGCACAAAAGAGAGTCATTTGGGTGGTGGATGGGTACTTGTTGGTGGTCGAAGGTCAAATAACGGTGACCGTCTACTGCAACTGTGCGCAGACAACAACATGTTTCTGGCTAGCACTAACTTTCGGCACAGTTATCGCCAATGTGCTACCTGGCGTTCTTCCTCAGCATCTTGAATCTGGGCTCAGGTTGATCACCTCGCGATCAGCTGCCGTTGACGTGGTTGTGTACAAAACCGCCTCTCCCTTTGTAGTACCTGTTGGGATTGTGGTCATGTCCTTGTTTGCTCTGATATTACGTTTCAGTGGCCAACAAATTCATCACCCTAAACGGATCGATGTCAGAAAATTGGTTGCAGTTTATGTTGCAACTAATTGTCAAACCGAACCAGGTTGAAGGCTAGCTATCAGTCCACCGAAAAGTGTAGATGGGCATTTGTCGCAATTACATGACACCATGAAAATGGCGAGTAAAGTCGCTTGCCACTTCGCGAAACATCTCGCTTATAAGCACTGGATTTCTCCAGGCTGCTTACAACTGATTGAAGACCATCGGTATACTCAGGTTGACTGTGAGGTTGACCATTAACAAAGATATTTACGTAATGAAATTGTGCAAAGCTTGTGTAGGGACCGAGAAACCTGGTGGTCGGAGCGTGCTAGTGAGATAGAAAAGGCAGCTGTCTTCAGTAATTACCGGAAGCTCTTTCAACTCACCCAAGTCACTGGCATAAAGAATTCTGTTGTGAGTGAAACAATCTATGGAGCTGACGGGATGCTAAACGATAACATCCACTGACGTGTTGGACGATGAGCAGAGTTTTTTGTGGAGCCGTTCTACTAGTCTGCTACCCCGACAACATCGATCAGACTATCCTACCATCTATGTCCGGTGAGGACTGATCCACCTGATGAGGCGGCAGTCTACAAAGAACTCCGACCATTCTTAAAGACAATGGTGACTTTCTGGTTAAGGAACTGACTGAGTTGTTTACAAAGGTTCGTGAATTCGAAAGTATTCCAACACCGTGGAACGAGCCGACAGTTGTCCCTATCTTCACATCGTTTCTACGACAACTACTGGAGGATAAGTCTGATTCTAGTCGCGTCCAAACTACTGGCTTCCATCATACTTGGTAGATTGTTGAAAACCCGAGAAAGATTGACTCGTGAGGAGCAGGCTGGCTTTCGTTCTGGTCGAGGATGTATCATATCTTCACCCTCCGCTAAATGTTAGAACATCGTCATAATTATCACAGGCCAACAGTCATAGTGTTTCTTGACATCAGGGCTGCCTTCGATTCGTTGGACAGGACTGTTCTCGGGGATTGTCTATTGAAGAAGGGTGTGTCTGAGAAATTCATTAACATTCTGAAGAAGCCCTTTATACAAACACGTCAGGTAAAGTGAAAGCATAAAACCATCTTTCTCCATTGTTCCATCCAAGCAGTGGGGTTAGGCAGGGTTGCCCAGTCTCACCATTCTTCTTCAGGTTTGCCATCGATGACATTCTGGAAACAGCTCTGATGGATGTAAGTAATGGTGGTGTGGATCTGTTGCCTGGAGAAAGACTTCTCGACCTTGAGTATGCGGATGATATTGTCTTACTGTGCGATAATGCCCAAGGTATGCAATCCGCACTTAATCAGTCGGCAATCAGTGTCCGTAGGTATGGTATGTGCTTTGCACCTTCGAAGTGCAAAGTACTTCTACAAGACTCACAGAACCTTGATCCTGGACTCACCCTGGGTAGTGGGTTCACAGAAGTAGTCGAGAAGTTCGTGTATCTGGGAAGCTTCATAAGTGCTTCTGGTGGTGTGAGTAAGGAGATCAATTTAGGTATAGTGAAGGCTAGAGCGGCCAATATGGATCATTTTTGACGCCTTCGTGATGTTAGTCTGGCTGTAAAAGTTCGGATCTACAACACGTCGGTCCGAGTTTTGCTCTATGGTTGTGAGATCTGGCCTCCGAATTGTGAATGTTAGACGACTCTGTGTTTGATTATCATTGTATCCGAAGGATTTCTGACATCTTGCAGCAACGCCATGTTAGTAATTGAGAGGTTCTGCATCGTGTGTTTATAGATTCTTTCTACAGTATCAAAGAGCATACAATTTGAGATTCTGGAATCAATAATGCATAGTGATAGCTTCGTAATTAATACATTCTGTCCTCAACCATTAGATTACAGGTTTGAATCTCGTTCCGTTTATTTCTGGTCTGGATAATTGAATAGCATCACTGACCTTCACACACACGAATAGTATCTGAAAAACAATCCCACAAAACGTGCACTGCTTAGTGAATGAGTTGCATTAAATCAACAGTTCTATCAAATCTGTGAAGTAGAATTTAATTTGTTCTACAGATATTCTACTAGGACTGTAAACGCGATCCTGGCGACCCCAGAGTCTATGTCAAAGTTATAGTCAGAACAAGGAAAACTTTATCCGTTTCGACCAGTATTGCTTGTCTTATCGAAACGAATAAAAATTGAGTCACAATAATATAACAGGATAATAATGTCCTTCAATTGACAGGTTACATGCATTAGGGATAGTCTGCAGATACATCAGACCAGATTGACGTGGTGCGAGCCTAAGCAACGATTTGATTGGATATAACTAACAAAGTGATACAATCTTCTCATTCTTCAGTGAGTTATCTCATCACACACAAGGAATAATTTGACAGTCTTTATTGTAGAATACTTAATATCGTTTAAATTAATCTACGCTTGATATGTGCATTATTCACGTCTTCAGGGTAGAATATGATTGAGTAGTTAGATTGTTGTCTGTCACTTGATACAACTGGAAATCGATCTAGTTTGTGGAAGTCGGAATCTTGTAGGGCACTAAGTACTTTTTTACTGTTGAACATACATGTACTACCATATCCCACTAAGTTTACATTCTCATCGATTGATTTGTGTCTTTTGCCTAAAGTATTATTCATAAACTTGACTGTACATACTAATTGGATTGATATACATCCTTTACTGTTTAAAGGTAATATTTATTCAACTACACATGGAATCTTATCTCAACTGTTTACTTCAATTTAGGTAACCAGTTGATGTTATTAAAACATTTAAGAAGTAAATATTTACGTTCACAGCTTTGAACCATAGTGGTTTTATGGAAGGTTAGTGATATTACCAATATCCTGGGAATCAAAGTGAATGGAACGGAATTCGAACCTGTACTTGAGCGCTATAACTATTTATTATACACTACTCCATTAGCTTCTTAGATATAAATAACTGTTTCAAATCTCCAAGTACATAAACTTATCCTTGATTATCAGTTTAGATTAATTTAAATTTACTATTGAAAAATGAGCAACAAAAATAACATTTGATAATATATCATTACGTACTGTATGTCAGTTCCAGTGTGTACATGTGATTTTAAGTATTCAATAATTGTCTGATAAAATACAAAAGTGTCTTTTTTTGTCAAGCTTACATCTCGTGGCCACCTTAACTCACATTGTTTACATTTAGTATTATAAATATATGGTTGAAGTCATTTGATTTATTTTTTGACCGTTAAACTATTTGAAATCGTGTAATAACTATTACTGATCACCTCAAGTATATTGTTAAAGGAAATATGATAACTACAAATGAATGTAATTTATATACATATAGTGCCTACGTGGCCACGTGTATATACTCGCTGCAAAGGAAATTCTACTCACTCTCTTCTGACGGCGGTGGTGTTATTGATGTAATTGAGAGGATGAGAAGCTAAAACTGTGTTGGTGTGTACTAAGGCTCCACCTAGCGGAGTTGAAAGACCATGGTTCCCCATGAACTCCACGATCCTGGGGGAATCAGTGGCGAATGAACATATTGTTGATGGGTTCATTATTTATGGCAGAAAATAAACAAATATTATAGGTTTCATTGTGAATATTGTATTTTGTGAAGCTGTGATATAATAAGTTGAAACATTCAATTTGCAATCATTCAAGTTGATTGTTCGTATTTTATTATGTCTACTTCACTTCCATTAACTGGTCAGTTTTACTAGATCTTCAGTTTTGTTTCATGTAATTTTTGTGTGTGTGAGCTTTATTGCTTTTTTGATGACTGGAGATACTATTCAGACATCTAAATTAAAGTAAATGAAACAGGATGTAAGCCTATAATTTATTAGTTAAAAACTAAACGAATTAACCAATAAACTCTCTGGGAAGGTGGCTTTTCGACGATTAAGTTACAGATTGGAAATGGGGTTTATTTATATTGGCTTTAAACAGCGTAATAATACTGTTAGCCTTCATCTAGTGTACTTCAAAGCCGATTGACATAAATTTGTACTTATTTATCTAATTATTTACATTATTGATTATACTGATACAATTTATGTTATATTCACTGATAGTCAATTAAATTGTATGTAACTCGCTCACTAGGCACATATTCCTATACTCGCCTTCGAGCCACACTGTTACTCTATGTGCTAGTGATACACTATCCAGTTGCATAAATCTAAATAGGTGGACTATGGTTGAGATCAGTGACCTAACGGCTAAAATTCAAATGCTTTAACCACTGAGCCACTACTCAACTAGATCAATTCAGCTGGTGTTTATCTACTCACTCACTTGTATTATAGTTTCTAACTCATTGTATATGATACAATGGACCAGTCAGACGTCATGCAGATAATAAGCACACGCGATTGAGCAAGATTTGGCTTCCCTTTCTAAGGAATTTAACACATTATAGGTAAAACGAAAGTGTAGTTTAAATTTCTGCGGAACATTATATACAAATGAGTTTACAGTTATTTATCGATTTGATTACCCAATAGAATGCTTTCCTCTCACTCTCGGACTTCTCACTTAGTAGATAGTTCGAGTTTTCGCCGATAAGAAGTATGTGTATCAGTATCAGAATTGGATAGCGTATAATACGACATTATATTTGTGATTTATTGCCTTCTCCTTTTCTTATCTATTGTTATCTTCTTTGCTCTGCTCTCTTTTGTTCATTAAAACAATCTTTTACTGGTGATACATTTTTGTTGTAAATTGGTTCAATTTCAGTTTCACGTTTAGAGGTGAAAGAACAAGAATGGAAAAAAGAAGAGAATCGTCTACATGAACATCTAAATGAATTAATACGTTCTAATGTTGAATTAACTGAACAAATTAAATTTATTAATCATAATAACAATAGTCAAGAACAATCAAGAAATACATTGAATAATTCTATTCAGAGAAATTCACCACGTAAATTATCAATGAATTCATCTAAGTATAATTTAACTGGATCAACTAATCATGATCAAGGCCCAACAATAGATGGATCATCTAGTAAGTGGTGTTTGATCTTATTATAACATAGACCATATCCTTTCTTATTTTGATTATTCTGTTTCTCACTCTTTATCACCCATTTAACGTTTATATTGATATCTAGGGGATTATATTCTGTTCTTGTTATTGAACTATATTTGTTCTTTGCTTTTTTGAACTTCTTGGGATATTTGTTAGGAGGTTAAAATTAATATTGTCGTAATTTGTGGTATTTGAAACTTTTTAGATCATCTAGCTAAGAGATAAATTGTTTGATTTCATATGTATATCACTTTTATAGAATAGATAAATTGTTAGTAACAGTAAAATGCAGGCCGCAAGTTTCAATCTATTGGTAGATTGTCAGCTGAATTTACCTGCATCTTAATGAGTCGATTTCCACTTTGAGATTCGGATTCATCACTTTACACTTCAAACAGTGTTGATGTTTTCCTATAAATCTTCTAGGCAATTTTAGTTTCGAAAACTCTATATGCAAGTTTTTATTACTGAATTGATTTCTTTTAATCTTTCGTCATATAATTAAAGTTAAAACTACAAACCATTAAATGCAAATTTAGTACCCAAAGGTCAGAGTAAGAGCTGGCTAGACGTGCGTAATACATGTCTTGAACGCCTCAACAGCATCGTCAATCGATTTGTCTTTTTACCTGACACTACGTGTAACCTCAGCATTACTAGCTTAGTGATTCCATCAAATGTGGGCTATGCCCCAAAGATCTCTGTATGATCAAATAACTATAGTCTGTGGAAGTTTCTCTTAATTTCACAGTCATAAATTAAAACATAACAGACTACAATACATGATATACCCACCTCTTGTTTAGCAAACGAATACCTTAATTGTGCCACAGATTCTTGGGATAGGGCATGTTAAAAACAATGTTAATATCAAATATCACTATTATTTCAATATGATGGTTAATTTTCATTATTTCAATGTATATACATAAGCTTTAATTATTGTATATTAATATTTCAGCAGTTCATTCCAATTCACTTGGTGTTGGCTATGATACTACTGGGTAAGTGCACATCAGTTAAGTATTAAAAAAATACATAAAATCGAGTGATTAATGATAAAATTATGCGGATGATGTGTATATTTTTATTAAGAACTGAGGAGTAAGTATTATCATGCCTATCTAGTCCTTAAAGTGTTGATCGGATTCGATCGACCAAGTTGCAATGTGTCCGTTAACCAGTTTAAGTGACCCAACATCGCATTCACTATTTTAAAGTGTTTATTGTTCAAAGGTAGTAAACAGGGAACCTCGGTTGACTTTGGTTTTCTGCCAGTTGGCGCTAGCCAGCATAGAGTGCCTGCAATTTCGAGGAAATGGATGGGATTCTAACCTGCATCATCCAACTTCACATTCTAAATCAGTACCACTTATCTAGTGGCCATTTAATCGACAAGATTCGATCAGTGCTAAGCCAGTGGATAAGCATGACAATGGTCACTACTCGGTCATTATTTAGTTGTAAATATCTCACTCCTACTACAGTTACTCCCTGAATAGCTCATTGATAACTTCTCAAACTTTGAAGCTAAGTGACTCGGATCAAAAACCCCATATATTGGAGATATATTTCGCCACGACAAATGCCAACCAACACGGAACCTACTTCAACCAGGGTTTCCTCCAACTATCTAACATCTCAACAAATGATGTATTTCTGGTTTTTTCTCTCTGTATATTCGTCTGCTCGTATAACTTTTAATATTTTTGAGAGCTTTTTCCACAAATGTTGTAACATTTAAATTATCTGGTAATCAGTAACAGACAGATGTAAAAGTTATTTATATAAAATAATCTTAGCGATTGATATTTTCGAATAATTCCAATATCTCACTCAGTAGACTAGTTTGAGCTAACTTCATGAACAAGCAAATCCATACTAAACACACTTGTTCAATCATGTTTACTTATTGAACTTGACCGTGTTAATTATTTTTGATGGCTGGTTCAAATCTTGGTGTATATATATATATATATATATACATAGTACACATTTGTCAGTAAATTAAACTTGTCGAAGTAATTCTTGCGAAATAGAGTTGTATTTCAACTTTTGAAATGATTTTAAACATAATTCTTATAGGTTAGAATTTATTCTGTATAATAATGTTCACATCATCTCTTTTATTATAGTTGTCATTATTTTACATTTGTTTCTCTCTTGTAAACTAAATTTTCAATTTTCATACTAAAACAGATTAATTGTCTTTCTTCTTTGGTTAGTTTATAAGTTAGTTTTAAAGTATTCATAGAGAATTGACAGGATATACGTCTGTGAATTTGTAACTTATTCATTTTTTATTGATTAATATACAAAATGTATTGAGTATTGTTGGACATTTTTCCGTTCATTTGGTAAATATGAGAGTATACTTCTCACTAAGAATTTCATTTCAAACTCTCACTTTCATTTAATTCGTCTGTTTCATCTAGATATTTGAGATATTCTACTGTAATATTTTACTAAAAGATATACATAAATAGCTTTAGATGACAGAAATGAAATACTCAATGAGAATTATAGCCCTATATGCTACATTCACAAGCTAAATAAACGGAAAAGTGGCAGATAATGCTAGACATTTTACTTTTATTGATCTTTGAAAAACGATGATTGACCTCAAACATCTTAGTGTCCTGCTTGAATATCTGGGCTACTCGTTCATGATATTTACTTAGATATTTCAACAAGTTGTCTGATTTTGTTTGTTTTAACACATTGTTATATGTATTAGTATCATAACATATTCAGGCGCGTATATGTCTAAGGTACGAAAAAGTACAATCAGAGGCATCGTGGTGGCTGGTTATGAGCCTTGAAAAGAATGAACATTATTCAAATATGGATTTCTCAACTGCTAACATCTAATAAAGTTAGGGGCGGCCAAACCAAAAACATGATATCAATCCTTCAAGTCAATAACTTCTAGTCTGAGCCATTTTCGTAGATGTAGACTACTTTGTTGGGTCCGCGCGACTATTGTAACTAACAGTTGGAGACTCTGTGTAACATGTCTCAGAATCGATCACAATGCTGTGGGTGTATACACTCTTTGTCTTCATTTAACCCATGAAATTAAAGTTGCTTCATACCTTTCTCTTATATATTACCACCATTGAAATAACTACTTCTATGAATTTGGTGTTCATCTTGTTGTGCTAATGAGGTATGGCAATTTAGACTGGTGCATATATGTGCCTGGTTCTACGTTGTAGCTGACTGACTGAAAATCTATCTGGCGATCAATCAATATTTATTGTCATGATCGATCATGAAATAAGGAAAGGAAACTTGTTGAAATACTTTGTGCTGCGAATTCTATATTGTACCAAAAATATTAAATAAAGCCATTAATAATGTAGCGTGGGGTCGAGTTGAAATTAACTATGAACACCACTACCAAGAAACGCGTGCCAAATAACTCCATAAAATCCCCCGGAAGCCAAATATCAGAAGGCAGTTAATGGAAGAAATTAAGATATATTCGCTGGCGATCTCGTGGTATCGCAAGGATACCGAGATCGTGTCAGGATACAAGCTTGGTTACAGAACGTAACCGAATTCGCGCGAAGTCAATCAAAGTGTAAGAATAATGGATGCTTTTTAGCACAGTTAAACAAAAGCACATTAAAACAGTCACTGGTACAGTTGGTTATAATAATAATTGTTTTTATTAAATCAGTCGTGTTCTCGTGATAAATGTGAGTCACTACAATAATACTACTACTACTAATAATAATAATATTATCAGTTGTTAAAGTACACATAAAATATGTTATTTATTATCTTTACAGTAAGCTAAATTAAATTTTGAGAATATTTAGAATTGGTGATGACATTTAATCAGAATATTATGTACCCAGCAATTTTAATGAATGAGTGTTATATATTATAGTGTAATTTTGGATACGACAAACCTATTAAGTATTGTCAATGTTGTAAACAGCTTAATCCCTTCATAGACAACCAATATGAATTTCAGCTGTTTGTAGAATTCAAGATTGGTGTTTAATTCTATTTGAAAGTCGTTAACTGGACGTGCCTACATTATAGTATTCATGTACACATTGAAACTCAAATTAAGTTGTATAGTTCTTTGATAAATGCATTCACTAAACGAAAATTGGAATTACGCTTGTGTAACATAGAATAATACAATGTACAAATCAAATAGTGATGTATCAGTGTCGAATTGATAATCATACAAATTTATGTGATTCTGTTTTAAATCATCTGAACCGATGGATTATTCAACTTCTTATCACTTGATGCAAATAGAGCATGATTACTAAACTTGTCAAATTTACTGATAGGTTCTTACTTTTTGAAATCAAAATAAATTCGGTATAAAAATTTGTTCTTCTGACTGACGATCATATTTCCTGAATCGAAGGGATCAGTATAGAAGATGGTATATTGGGGAAGCATTGAAACTGTATTTTTCTGTAGACTTGTATAGGGGGCACCAAGAACCGACCAATTAGATGAAAGAAACCACTTAGTTATTCTATATGCTTCTCTTGCTAGAAACCTCAGTTACAGCTGCAGCCGTAATTATATCTGTATCTATAGTCCATTGAAGTACTAATTGCACCATCAGTTTAAGTTTAATCGTCGAATCACTGAAGGAGGAATCTGCCCTTTATTGTTTTATAAAGCCTAACGTTACATAGGAACATCATTTTATCTCGTGTACTTGTGTAATGTTTTGCAGCCATTCACTCTTACGCCTTTATAAACAATGAATTATTGCATGGTCGCTCATATTGGCCGTAAAATGGTCTGTAGTTAGCGTTTTAATTTTCATTCATTATCTATGATCTTGAAGTCGCTATCACAAATCTAGTTGATTTGTTGCTACAGTATTGTTTTTTTCTATACATTACTATTTTATGTCACCTGTGTTCTGAGTGGCTAATAACAAGGAGCCAACTTCCACAATATTATTCATGGAATCTCTAAAAATTATTGCTTTAGTTCAATTTCATCTCTTGATTGCCACTTAAATGCCGAAGCACCTAGAATCTATTTACAGTCTAACATCACAATCTGTTGTTCACAGCTGTATGTTGTTGCTTTTCGAGGTAGTTCAAGGTTTGTAGATAATCAATTACAAAATTGCCTAATTGAATTTTCACTTCACCTAGTCAATGAATATTAGGCATATTGTCTTAGTTATACTCCATAAGTTTGAAATCTCCTTCTTTTAAACACTGAATTAATCTTTATAATAGCTTCATCAAGTTTAGTGATAGAATCTCAGCCAGTCGGTCAGTAACAACGTAGAACTTCGTACGTGCGTACGTACATCAGTTCAAGTTGCCATACCACATTAGCATAGAGACGCAGTTGTCGATTCAAATCCGATAGTGGTAGAGGTAGTAAAGAGTATAAGCAGTAACCGGAAACATTAGGATTTGAAGATTTTATTCAAGAAGTATAATCCAGTGAAACAAATTTGGAAGGAGGAAAAAGAAAGAGACATGAAGAATTCAGAAGATTAGAATTTGGGAGAACACAAAGTGTGGATGCACCTGCCCCATTGCAAACGATTTTGAGCCATGTCATTCAGGGTCTCTAACCATCGGTTGCTATCATCTCGCTGTCTCCAACCAGGTAGTCTACACCTACCAACATGGCTCAGTTCACTTGTCAATGACATCATGGGTTTGTGCCATGTTTTAGTCTGGCCTCTCCTAGCTTTCCAACCTCCTCCTACACCAGAAAACATCGCACGTCGAGGCAGTCGGTGTTTGGGCACACGTAACACGTATCCCAGCCATCTCAACTGATGAAGTTGCACTTCATCAATTGATTTGCCATCCTTACCTAGTACCCGTTTCCTAACAACTGCGTTACTTATCTGGTAGTCAGAGGATATACCAGCAATGTTTCGAAGACACCTATGATCAAATACTAGTAACCTACGAATATACTCTACTCTTACCGGTCATGTTTCATTACCATAAAGTGGGACGGAACGAACTGCTGTGCAGTAAACCCGTCCTTTAGTTGGTAGACGGATATCTCACCTACGCCACAAATGACGCAAGTTGGCAAAAGTTAATCGGGTGTTCTGTATCTTTGCTGAGATTTCGTCACAAATCAGACGAAAGGGGCTGATGAGACTTCCCAGATAAGTGAGGCGGTCGACAGGCTCAACTACTTCACTCCCTATCATTAGTTCAAGTGTCGATGCAACCTAATCCTGAATCAACATTTTGCATTTTTAGGGGGAGAATCTAATTAGATTAATTAAGTATTTTTGATCATTTTCTTCAAATAGGCTCTTTTATTTTTACACAAGGCTTGGGTTAATGTAAACTCCCTATCTAATTGGATTAAATCCATAAATTAAATATTTTTCTTCTTTTAGCGGTGGATTTGAGTTTGATGAACTTCCAAATACTCTGGAGTCGGAAGGTGGTGGTCTAAATGTCGACGATGATCTACCTGGTAAGAATAATACATATCATTTATATATCGTATAACTAATTCACTATTTGCATTATTTATTATTTACAATACTTAGTTAATTCGTCTTACAAATTCTTTGACAGTTTTCTATTTTTATGCAAGTAAAAATCCTCTTATTGTTATTATCTCGTGACTTATTCTCCAATCGGAATAGGACTTATACAATGTTAGCATTTTGCCAAACCAATGACTTGTCAACCGGTATGAACAGCCTAGCGTCCTTACTGGTTATTTTCCTCGTAGCTCTGCTAGTTGAGAACAGAACGCCAATACCAGCTCCCACTATACGAATCATTTATTTCAAACATACTAGCCAAAGAGACTACATCATACTATAAAATAGGAAACAACATTTGCAAAACTTTAAGCCAAAAAGTGGTTGTGACTGTGGGAGACTGTAATTAATAAACTGGGCATAACTTAATAATAGTAAATCGTATCTATAGGTTTATTGGTTAAGCGTTCGCGCGTGAGACTGAGAGGTCCTGGGTTCGAATCTCCGGTGTCGTGGATGCGCACTACTGAGGAGTCCCACAATAGGGAGAAACAGCCGTCCAATGCTTCCAAGTTTTCCATGGTGGTCTAGCTTCAATTGACTCATGATCTCAACTATTGAAATTACTACAATCTCCACAAAACCCCTTCTGATACTAGTCAAAATGATGCTTATAATAAGAGGAATATGAATATACATAATCTAGTTACTGAATAGTCATACAATAAGAATATATATAATATTAGTCCATAAATAGTCCTCAAAAGTTACACATCATTCGCTAGGATATAACAGCTATATAAAGCTATTAATATGATCTCGGTTAAAAATACAATACATTGAAATTTCACTGCGAATAAGAGAATATATAAACATAAATATAAATATAAATAGGATTGCTTTAATGCTGTCCACGGATGAGTTTCCTAAATTTATAAACCATTCAAATAGTGGATCGCTGATTATAATAGACAATATACTGTAAACTTTTGATGTTTTCACTAAAACGCGAGGTCTGCAGTCATTATGATTTTGTATGATCCTTTCAATCCTTACCGGTTGTCACTGAAATGCTTGATCTATCTCAGAAAGATATTGGGCATTATTGTATTTCTATAAATAGCTTTCAACACTTGGAAAATGTCAGTATAGGGTTGTGGAGATTATTAAGTTATTGATTGGGATCTTGAACCGATTGATGTCAGACCACCATTGAAAACATGGAAGCACTGGACGGCCATTTCTTCCTATTATGGGACTCCTCAGCAGTGCGCGGATGAGCGAGTTGGATCCAGGTTTTCAGTTGTATGTTAGACGTAACTTTGGTATTTTTTATTTGAAATAATTATGCAATGTGTGTATAATTGTAAAATCAATGAATTTCATTCTACTAACAATTGATCACATTTCATTCTGATCATAAGAAATACTTTTATTTCATATGTATTTGTATAAAGACTTAATGAATTCGTTTTATTTACGTGTTAGTCATTATGCAAATTAGGCATATATATATACAGAAGCTCAATATGATATTTTTTAAGGAATAGATTGTACTTCCTCCGCGCAATTTTCGGTTGAAAAATATTTAACGAAACTTCACTAATGCATACTTGTTTATTTTGCTTTAAATGTGATAGCTTAGATTCGCTATCAATGAGTTCATAGCCTGGTGCCACATTTTGATTTGACTAGCCTTAAAATTCTTTTGACTTACTCTTACACCGACGAAGACTGCACGTTTAGGTAGAGTGTAGTTGAGAATATTGCAACACATTTGTCAACTACTTCATTTGTGGAATATTTATTACCTCATCAATTGATTTGCTATCGTTTCCCAGTACTATATGTATGGGCATTAATATAACCAACTCGGTCGTTTTGCGATACTCGAACATTGTTTCGAAGACTCATACTATCGTAGGCCGGTTAAATAAACCATCCTTCACAGTCGTAGAGTAAAGCAAAACGAACAATTGCCTAATACACTCCACCATTAGTCAAGTCACTCAATTCCTCCATTCACTGCGACCAGTCTAGAAGATTATTCATATTAAACCTACAGAAAAATTTTGCATTTATAGGTAGAGAAATGCGTTCTAAATGTTTAGGAAACCCTGAATCTTTTTATCATCATCAAATTAGATTATATTATCTACCTATTCCAATTTGTTTGACTAATCTCTTAATGAGAAGTCAGTCTTTGAAGAGTTAGATGAAGTGTGATGTCTAGAAGAACATCTGCGACTCAGTTAAATGGGAAGGGAGTTAGGGAGTAACCATAACGAATAACACTTTAAGTTCACTACTCTAATGACAATTCTCTATAAGATATGAATTAACTCATAGTACTTGAGTAGGGAGTCTTCACAAGGTTTATCTATTTCATCTTTTTCTACTACTACTGGATTTCTCGGTCAACCAAGTCGAGTGCTGCCTTAAGGTCACGAAATGCAGCTTGGGTTTAGCGACGGTAGGTATGTCTGTGTTCCAGAACATAATTTAAAGTGAATATTTGATCAACACATCCGCGTCCACAACTGAAACCAGCTTGGTATTCCCGAGTTTGTTATTCACGAGCCGTAGTTAAGCATCGGACGATTATAAGGGTTAGTATCTAAGTAATATATTAGTCACTAATTTTTCTGTGATTATCGGAAGAGGATTTTAGTCCTTTCCTATAAATTGTGGTGGTCAGCTGATGAGATTACGTCCATCTATTATCTCTCTCTCTCTAAGTACCACTGATTTCACTATTGGTGCCCCTTTGTTTCAATATTTATGTTTTCAAATAAATAAAATTGAAGAACAGTTCATAAACTTTATTTTGTGTTGCTCAATTTCAACCAAAATACACTACTAGTCGATACGTTATGTTTAAATTGCACTTTCTAATACTACTCTACTATACAATGTATAACTTAATATCTCTTGGAAACTGGACATGGTTCCCAATAAAACACGACGGAGCCTATGGAGGCTCTATAGGAGCCGAAGAGATTCCATTCCATCGGAGTACGATAGAACCTTCTAGAATATCAACATGGCATTCAGTGGTTGGACAATTGTATAACTTCCTATTTACGGATGAGCTGTATGATAATCACGTTATAGCGTATACTAAAAACTATAAATATCCTTCTTTTTCTGTACATTTTTGATTCTTACCTAATGATTGCTTCCCTTGTTTTTCCCGTCTTTTGATTTGCGACTGTGGGGTTCTACGCGTTATAGTGCCGATAGTTGTATACCATATTTACCGTAATCAAGTGGAGGGCGTAACAGTAACAACACGCGTTTATTTCAATACATATTTGTGTACTTTCCTTTTTCGTCTTTAAGCTTTCGTCATGTTACTTTTTGTCATTCTTACTTATATCAATATGTATTCAGCTTGTGACAATCACAAGTTTAATCCAAATTATATTAACTGCCACGCCTTCATAATTATATATATATATATATATATATATATATATATATATATATATATATATATATATATATATATATATATATATATATATATATAATGAGTAATGTAGTGTTAAATAAAATTACAATCAAATAGTTGTACTATATCTACACTATGTATTATGTATCATCTCTCAGGAGTAGCCAATGAGTGTATGTCATTTGTGTTACACTGATAATAATCATATGCTCGCTAGTGAATAATTTCAAGAGGCTATTGTCTAAGTTCTAGTGAGTAATTGTGACCGGTGGAGTCCAACTATTTCGTGTGTGAGATACCTAATCATTGGCATAAGAAGTTGGTTGGACATAATTCCGAATTGATTGAAATTGTTGGTGTGAACTGTTGAATACCAACTTATCAATAATGTTGCTAAGTACTCGCTATACTCAGAAGTATTCGATTCGATTAACCTTTATGGTCATGCATTCACTCTGCCGAGAAGTCTCATGCTAGCACAAAACCTCTATCCATTACTTCTTGGTTTTCAGTGTTTATCTAACTTAACTCAGTCTGTAATGTAAACTATGTAAAACATTGTCAGTTAAACTCTAACAGTTGGTTTTGATTAAACAATTCTTCAGATTCCAGAACACTATTAAATCTTCAATATAAGTGAATTGGACACAGTTAAACTATTTACTAAAGAATGATAATTGACAATCAACTCGAATTAGATATTCTGTAATCAGATATACAAATAATGTCATCAAAAATTAGGCTAAATACAAGTTGCTAACATTCTATTGTTAATAAATATCAATTTCTAGATATTAAAATGTCGTTTTAGTACGTTATTGTTAGTGTTCTTCTATGTCTATTTAATTGATTATTTCTTGTTTATTTGAAGATGTTGTTAACTTTTTTAGGTATTTTGTTGATGTTGTTTAGGAATTGAAAGTGTATACATCATATAATATTGTGATATCGTTTATTGATTAACCTGTCAATCTATTAGTTGTATTTAATGAACTGATCGTAGTATCGTTTTGTTTTCGTCATAAGAGAGATTTTACAGTTTGTTGATTTAATTGACTTATACTAAGTATTATTGTTTTCAAAATATCTTGTCTCTCTAATGAATGAATGAATGAATATATGATAAGGTAATGTTTTACTGTTCTATTACATGGGTGTGAAAGATAACCGGTAAAAAATGTTGATATAGAATAGATGAAATGTAGCTAGCAGTGGAATCCAGGACGCCCGTTTCATTTGTTGATATTTTGCAAATGTGAGACTAATTAAACTTTACCAGTTTTAGGAACTGTTGTAATGGTTGATAGTAAGATAGAATGAATGTAACAATAGAGAGATCAGTTCCTCGGAGGTTTAGTGGTTAGTTGCTGTGCCTTATGTTCGAATTTCATTCTATCTACTTTGGTGAGTAATGAATTTTCATCTGACATCACATTCATAATGTTTAAGATAAAAAAACAGTACTTATGAAACTGTATTGTTTGAACTTGCGATAAACTATGTCAGTAATATATAATCTAAAGACCCTAAGAACTATGAATAATATAATACTGATGAACAATTTTACTTGTTAATATCTTAGAATATAAATGAAAAGAAAATATTCCACTATTTTTTTTTTTCGATTATTCATACAACTTTCAAATAATTTCAACATACATTGTAAACTATTCTTAATTGATTTCTATTATCAGTCAGTCAGTCAGTAACAACGTAGAACTTAGTACGTACGTACATCAGTTCGAGTTGCCATGCCACATTAACACAGAGATGCAGTTGTCGATTCAAATCCCGTAGTATAGGCAGTAATCGGGAAGATAAGGGTTTGGAGATGTTATTTAAAGAGTATAATCCAGTGAAATAAATTTGGGAAGAGAAAAAAAAGATGATGAGTAGATATTGAATAACCTTTCTCTTGCACATACACATTGTATAAAGTTAATTACCTTTCATATATATATATGTTTTTATTTTCTTTTGTACACAACTATCTCATTCGTCCCCTTGTTAAATTAGTGACTTCATATTTAGACAATTATCCTAATACAATTAATCCAGAATTTGAAATCATTGAATTTGGTAGGTGATATTTCTACTGTTGTAAAATTAATTCTAGTAAATGGATAATGGATGTATTCTATCTGTTTTTTCATTGTCTCACATTCATTCACTTTCTGCACAAAAACAGTGTTTAACACTTCATTCACATGCTGTCTTACAGACAAGGAAAAAAAATAGTTACACGATGTGCACGTGTGATCTAGTTCACTGTTTGTGTACTTATTATGTTACAGTTTCTATGTACTTATTGTATATCCAAACAAACTCTCTCCCCGCACATACACACACATACAAATAAAAATACACTACACCACTTCTTTTTGTTCTGTTTTGTTAACAATAACCGAAATGTGTTTCACATTTACATTTGCATATATTATACTTGTCTAATTCATCTATTTTACTGGTGTCAACTATGATAATATTCTCTTTTTTCCATGTGGAACATACTTGTATTAATAAAATCTTGAAATATATTATATAGACCTATTGGGATAATTAACCATGTTCAGTAATTCATTAGAGTGTATTTGTCTTGAAGATTTGACAGATCAGTGTGTAATCTATATTACATCATTCTTTCAGATAATTAAAAATTATCATCACCATCATTAGTGTAGATCTTGGTATGAATGTTTATTACGACAAAGATTATCACGCATCACGTTATCAAAACAAATAGTTGATACATAAATTGGCTTTACAATTGATTCATCATTGGATAGTAACTGAATGTCCTGTACGTCAAGTCCTTCTCAGCTCTGATAGAATCCATTTTCTCAGAATTGACTGTTTCTTTGTTTCCACATCAATCACTCTATGTTCTCTTTCTCTTCTTTTCGATCATCTTAACCTTTTGTCTCCATGCATTTCATTTTCGATTGATGATACATACTACTTATATCTGTCGTCATCAGTAGTACACACCATAATAGTAGTGAATTATGTATTTCATGAGTTATCATTATCGTAGTTTAATTTTATGTATATATTGAATTAATGAATAGTTGCCTTAACCCTCTTGTTTTCTCTTCTGGGTTCATATCGTATGTTTTTTTGTTTTTCCTTTGTCTTCCATTGTTGATAATAATAATATTATTATTAATAGTCAACTGTTTTTATTATTCTTTCCTATTAATTTTTTCTTCTTAACTATTGTTATCGTAACATTTAATTGTTCTTTTCATCTTCACTCTCTGCATATTCATCCAATGTGAACTATTATCCCTCTCTTTCTCTCTCATCTACAAAATTATTTCCATCTTTTTAATTTTTTCACTACCTTTTAAAATCGTTACATAATCACCATTCAATATACAGTATTTCCATGCTATTTATGATCCAATCCCTTATTTACTGATAAATTGATTGGAGTTTGAAATGTAAGTCATAAAATATCAACTTAGTAAGTCTAAATGTTGAAATGCTCTATATGAGACGTGAAAGTCCTGTGTTTGCTTCCTGATGAAGTCATTGATGTCCAACGTCAAAATGTTCCATATTAAGATGAGATAGTGGTCCGGTGCTACCTTTTTTTTAAAATGACATATTAACTAGAATCAATCTATGGTAGATAAGACCTACTATTACCATGAATGTTAAATACATTTGTGTAACTACAGGAAAGATGATGTTGTTGAAAAGAAATGCTTATTCACTGCTAAATAGTCATTAGATTTTAATTTATGATATAGTTGATTTGTTTTTATTATTGATCCAGTCAATTAGTAATCAATCATAGAATAAGTTTTAATTTAATTTTTGATGTTTGCATGTTGAAATGAAATGTTTTCAATTTTACGCTTTCTTGTTCATTCATTTAGCTGGTATGCGTAAAGAGATTGATGTGTTGATCAAAGAGAATATGGAACTTGTTGAAATGAAGTAAGTTAATTCATCTATTATTATTGAAAATGTTATAACTTGTCATTTTCATGCTATTTGTTATATCTGTTCGTCGCTGATTGTTATGTTGGAAACTTTTATCACCTATGTTCGAAACGAGGGACCACTGCAATTTCCACGACGCGAAAGTAAAAACACAAAGAATGGTATAAGTGAAGATTTATTGATCCCCAAAACACGACAAGGACTCATCATATCAGTAAACGAGAATACAAGTTAGGACAACCAATGTATTTAGTACAAAATTACAGGGTACCTTGGTAAAATATAGGAATCATACACTGAATACTTGATTTACAAATTTCCATCATTTGTCCTTCACATTCTGTATGATTCTTCTTATTTGCAATTTCTTTCTGTTCCTTTCAGTTCTATCTTTTTAGCCTTCTGATGCAAGGTTTTCCACTGATGTTACCTACTAATTATGTCGGCAGACATAAGTAGCATACACCATACTATTGTTTAAGTTATTTTTGTCGAATTAATGAATGAAATATTGTTTCTGATAATTGTCATGACAATTATACACTCTAATTTTTAGTACTTGTGATTAGTATTTGTTCAACAATTGTATTGTTTATAATTTTACTTCACCAACTGATTTAATTCTGCCTACTTACCGCTCCATCATTTAACATCGCCCATTAAAGTAGGTGGTGAATGGGCGCTTGTTAATGCTCGTCCCAAAGAAGTATGGTATTTGGTTATTGTTCATTTCTATTTAAGACTCAAATACACTATTGTTTGATATGATGTAGATGGATAATTAGTAAGTGGTCTGTCCTATTAATACGTGAACACCTCCCATCGATGCTTTAATGAAAATTCGAAAAATTTCCAAGTGACTTCATGAAATATTAAGGACTGTTAATAGCGACAACACATTTGGAAAAAACAGCTCTTTATAAATTATACCAAGTCTTTTAATGAAAATTGTGATGGAAACGGAAAGACGATATGAGTTTAGGGCAACCTTCGACATCATTTGTCGCCGATTTAAAGGAAATTATCTGTGTTAAACTATTTTTGCTAAACGTCCGTGTTTAAGAAATAACGAAGTAGTTGTAAAGTCCAGCTTTTGAGGACTTTCATTTATATTACAAACAGGGAAAACGAAGGAAGGATGAGCTTACTGCCACAAAAGGGAATACTTTAAAGACGATAAGATTAGTTTACTATAAATTTTGTAAATTAAAAATTTTATGACTTGAATTCGCGTATTCATTGGACGGACTACGTATTATCATCTGGTATAGGATGCGGTCTTTAGAAACGAAATGTAGGTATCAATACTCTACAGGTTTTGGGTTGTATATATATTCCATCTTAATATATCACTTACATATTTAAAATTTAAAGTACCAGGTAAATTGACAAATTATATAGTAGATTTACAAGGATCTATCACCTATGATAACTTTATGGTTTGTTACATTTACATAAACCTATATAGTCTAAATAAAAATGGGAATTGAAAGTCTTATGCTGGTTAGACTGAAACATCAGGTCATTCCGTGGAAAATGTGAATCATGTAATGAAGTATCAGGTTTCTAGTTAACGCTATGCTGAATATGTCAAAATCGATTATAATGACAAACAAGTTTCGGGAATTTATCTTTTAAACTTCAAACATCCTTAAGTGTTTTGTAATCATTGACTGAAAGTTGAATTATTGGTTCAATGACCAGTGTACCCCAACTTACAACGGTGTTTTTTTCCACTAAATTTGGTTTGTATGAGAGTACACAAATCCACACCATGTGGACGAATCCATTGACCGATTAATTTTGTAGTCTTTTCTAACTTACCTTGAAATAGAGATCATGTTCTCAAGATTATTAGTTAAATACAATGAGAATTATAAACTTGTAAATAACTTTTTCAGAGATAACATTTCATATTCTTTATCATTTCTACTTTTGTTTTCATCATATTAAACTTTCTATGATGCTTGCGTTTGTGTGTGTGTAAAGAAATGCTCTCAATGTTGTGAAAGACGACCTACTAGCCAGAATTGACCATTTAACATCGTGAGTTTAACGGGTTTTTTCGGTCTTATTTTTAATCTACAAAGTATTTGTGACTATTGTTTTGTCCATTACATCACGAACTTAATGTATTTATTTATTTAAACACGAACATTAATACGAGGAGGCACCGAATATAAACGCGCCTGACTTCATCATTCAATTTGTGCGAGGGTTGGAATACTGCCCGGGCACCCAAACCGAAGCAAGTGGTTTTCTTAAGGAGACATTTTCTGAGCCTTTGACCTAAAGGTTTAATGCACAAGGTAGTGAAGCGACGTTAGGAGACGCAGTCCCATGGTACCCGATGACTAACAATACGTTCATACACCATTTGTCCCCTCAGGAAAATACCAGACGCTTTAATGATCTCAATCATCAAACGAATGACTTAGTTTTCAGTAGTTACCTGATTAAAACCAATCTGACTTGTTTAAGTCAATGTTTTCATGGGCTGATATCGATTCCTACTTTGGGAGTTCGTACATTTCTTTCAACCTACTCCTATATCAATGATCCCGCTGTGTATCGATGTAGGCAGTGGTTGGGTATACACTTAATACACTCAATTCAGTAGTTAGTAAATATTCACTAGACTTGTCGTCTAACATAAAACTACCTTACGCTTAACTTTAGGATTATTTGTTTAACTTTTCCATCAAACACCATCAATGCTTTTCAAAACAATACATAGTTAATTATTAATTCCCTACATCACTAGGTTAGACATTAACACTATTGGATGCCGGCTCAGTGGTCTAGAGGTTAAGCATTCGCGGGCCAGACTGAAGGCCGTGGATTCGAATTCCACGAGCGGGATCGTCGATGGGCACTGTTAAGGAGTCCCACAATAGGACGAAACGGCCGTTCAGTGCTTCAAGGTTTTCAATGTCGGCCTAACATCAATCGGTTCTTGATCTTAATCAATAACTTAATACTCTCCACAATCCTATACTGATCTCAATTCCTCACATCACTTATTCTCTATTTTCAAAATTAATATTAGTTAGTATTTGTGATAATGAAATCTATATAATCAAATACTATTTTGTAATAATTATTTGATTAATTCAATTACTTCTGTATTTTATTGTTCAATATTGATTCATAATAGTAGTAATAGTAATAATAATAATAATGAATTAATCACTATAGTGATAATTATTTATTCAATATTGAATTATTATTATTATTATTGTTATTATTATTATTATTATTATTATTATTATTATTATTATTATTATTATTATTATTATTATTATTATTAGTGAGAATATATCATTACGTGAATCAGTAGATATGTTAACTGATTCACGTATTCGTTTACAAAGTGAATTAACTAATACTGATCAATTATTAAATGATGCACGTTCAGAAATAAGTCAATTAACTGAAAAATTATCATTATATCAAGATAAACCAAATGTAGTAAGTATTTTTTAATTTTAATATGTAATATCGGTTGATATGTTCAGCTCATATTACTTTATTTTTAGTTTTTGGATTAGGAAAATTTATCGTGGGCTACTATAATTTATGAACAATGTTTGAATGATGTTAGATTAAACTTGAGAGTGTCTATCTAATAATGAAGATAAAAATAAGGGTGAGAAATTTGAATGATGATTTACAGTTGATAGTTAAAGTTTGAAATTAGATTTAGGGTTTTCATCATGAACTGATATAAGCTATAATGTCAAGACTCTATTTAGCTAAATGGATGAATGAATCTGAGACCTGTTTGATTTATACCTGATTGATTCGTCCATAAATTATAATCTCACCTATGAAAGCTTATTTATTTATTTGAACACATAAATATTAGTATAAAGGAGCACTAAATACAAATGCGCCACATTAGTCACTTGATTTGTGTGTGGGCTATGATACCGTTCGGGGGCCCAAACCGAAGCAGGTGGTTTTTTAGGGACTCACACCCGGAGTCTTAGACTTAAATGTCTGATCCACAAGGCAGTAGAGTAACGTCAGGATATGCGATCCCATGGTATCCTGGAGCCCATGTGCACCATCGGTTTGGAATGAGCGTTTTCCAACTTCCTTAAGTGGACTCTCTGTGTCCACCGACCCGATTAAAGCGCCGGACATTCGCTTTCCGTCCTCTCAGTTTTATAAACAACACCTTCGCCACAAGAATGCAGTGAGTAGGGATTCCCTAGCACTGGCTGTATACGCGTGACCATGTGAGAGCATTTGGAGGTGAAGAGCGGACTCTACCCACCTTCGGCCGTATAAGAGCATTTGGGGGCCTGAATGAAAGCTAGTGATACTTCATATCTGGTCGCCTAAACCAAAGTAGTTGCGGTAAGATTTTAAATTAGGATTTAGTGGCTGAAAGGTGAATGCCACTACATTAAAGATCAAACAAAGTCAGCGTATTTCATACTACTTTTAATCACTCTATAGGATTAGGGAAGTGGATGTTCGAACCCTGTATTTCATCGACTGCAGTTCGAATAACTGGTTGTTAGTATCGGACGTTAGTTTTAAAGTTCTGTCTACCTACCACAAGTTGACAAAATTAAAAATAAAATAGTGATGTTGAGCTTTTATCCTTCTAATCATTGTTTTTATGGAACAGATAGATTTGTGGCTACCAGTGTAATTGAAGACTCAGATTTCTCTCTATTTGATACTCTTCAGCGAGATATATTTGTGTCCCATTATGCAGATCAAAGCTAGGATACAGTTACATCTGATAAGTCTTGCGAATTGAACGCTATATTCGTTTCCTAAGCTATTCTGGAAACCCGTAAGCTAGAACTACACAGCGACCTGAACACCAGAGAGAAGACGCAAAGTATGAGAGAAATACTTTACTACAAGGTTCGTTTTTGTACAGAAAACGTGGGTATTTATAGATGTTAACGTTTGTTAAATCAACATCTTATTTCGGCCAATCCGTTAACGACATATTATGCTACTGACCAATAGTAGCACGCCACGTTGTAATTCTAGAATGCTCCATCGTGCTCTGATCGGCTAGGACTCTTCGGCTCCTTTTGGGCCTCTGGAGGCTCCGTTTAAGTTCTCCGAAAGCCGACTCAACAACATCAATTTATGGAGTCCTGAATAAGATGAAAAGCGTTTCTTGAATGTCACTGTTAGCCGATCGATTTAGTTTAACATTTATGGCCAATTGTTATATCGAGACAATCAGCTCATAATGTATATGTGCTATCAAATATGGATCAAAATTTAGTCAAGATTATCAAAAATAGAATAATTTAAATCCTTTCTAATCATCAAATAAATGGATATATTTTTTTTATTTCACTGTTTTCACCATTGTCAAAAAATAATCACTGGGATCATTCTGTTGTTCTTTTACTGCGTCGAAAAACATTTAACTTTTTGAGCTAATAAATCTAATTTTAAACCTGATTTCATGTCCATCATAAAATTACATTTAAACAGTTACCAACTCATTTGGAATCATTCATATAGTATCCTTCCAATAGATTTACAATGTATAATGGTCATTTTTAGGAATAGGCTTGAACTAGAGAACAGTTAAATGAGAAAGATTTACCTGTCAAGATGTATTCATTTGCTTAAAATATATTGAATTCCTCCTTATATTATTGGTAAAGTAATGTGTATTTGATTTGCAATGCCAAGTGTAGGTAAATTTGTTTGGGGATGCTATGTACCTAGAAAACACTTGGTAAACTCATTTTTGTAGGTTAATTATATTTATTCGTATCTCACATTTCTGCTCCAAAAGTTCCCATTTTTATCACCTGAAAAGACCTTAAATGTCATTGGTTCGTTTTCTTTTTCAGTGTGCTATTTTGTGTTGTATATATACGCATGAGTTCTGTGCTTGTTCATTTGCTCTTCCGGGTTGCTTTTGGAATATATATATATATATTCCCGTCTAAATCTGGTCTTCTCCCTCTAGTTAGCAGAGCTGAGGCTCAGAGGAATAGCTTAGCTTGTTATGTTGCTGCGTTGCTGACTTCGTTTCCGTTCACTGGTCCTAGGTGATATTTTAATCCATTGAATCGAGATGAGTTTAAAAGAAAACTGGAAATAACACAGATTTTTTGTTTGTGTGAATCGTTTTACTTTCTGTAATCGAATAGAAAAATAAAACTAACTTTTTGGTTATAATTTATCATAGGAATCAACTAATTCCGCTCAAGTTAAACGTTTTACACGATCCGAAATGGCACGTATTCTAGCTGAACGTAATCATTATAAAGAACGTTTATTAGAATTACAAGATGCTGTACGTTTTACAGAAACTTTACGTGTCAGTCAAAAAGGACATCGTGAACTATTCATGACTAAAACACCGACAATACAACAATATAAATTTGATTCAAATAGTCCAGTTAGTGGTCCATTACAAAGTCTGCAAAAGTTGTAAGTTCTTAATTTAAAAAATAATAAATTTCCTTTCTATTTCAACTTTCATAGGATCAGTTACCAAAATATTCTATTTAAATGATATTTTTATTTTGAATTTATAACCTCCTACCGATGTAGTGTTGAATCTTGGACAAAATTATAGAAAGCATTGAATTTTTCAGATATTTGTTTGATTGATATTCTTATTCTTGAACAAATTTATTTTCATTTATCAAATGAATGTGAATAATCAACGGTCTAGGAACAGTCTTTCTATTTTTAATTGAAATCATGAACCGATCAATGTTAAAGCACTATTGAAAACCATATACTGACAATTATCACGTGCTCACTAGTGACTAGCTTCTAGACATAATTCTCAGAGTTCTAGTGAGAAGCCGTGACCAGTAGAGTTTATCCGTGTCGGGTGTGGGACAGTTACTCATCGAAGACAATGAAAGATGGTCGCACAATATCGTGGGTTGATTGAAGTTAGACAATCACACAATTGGATACCAGCTCAGTGATCTGGATATTAAGCGTTCACGCGCAAGACCGTAGGGTCTGGGCTCGAGTCCCGCATGTGGGATCGTGGATGCACACAACTGGGGACTCCCATACTGGGACGAAATGACGGTTCAGTGCTTTCAGGTTTCCAGTGGTGATCTAACACTGAATGGTTCATGATTTCTATTAAAACTCAACAATTTCCATAACATCATACTTTCTATTTTTGTTTTTTTGCTTTTGCATTAATTAAATGTCGATCTCAATTGTTATTGTGATGCCCATTGTAATTCTTCCTTTTTTTCGAATAGTTAGAAAACAATTGATGTTATAATATCAAAAGGGGTGAAAAGGAATGATTGAATTGTATTCCTGTCAGTTATTTGATATATGTAAATATATGTTTTAAAGGAATTCGTTTAGCATTCAATCACTTCGTGGTAATCGACACCGCATGACATAAATATACGTTAGGTCAGGTTGTCATTACTGACGCTAAAACGATGAGATGAAATTGACAAGATCAATAAAAAAAGAGCTGAAATAATTATAGTTTCGGTAATAATAACAAAGACTAAACATTAGGAATATAATTCAAAAAGGTAGAATGTAGAGATATGCATTGAGTATGAATTAAATAACTAGTTAGGAAATTGGTTTATGGGATTTGCATTATTATTATTATCTTTAAGTTTGATGAATTTCCCTTTGGGTTATCCATTTTAACTAATGTTGTGTTAAGTGTCAAATCCAAGTATTTTACAACTTTCTGCGTCCATTCTCTGATATGTTTTAAGTAGTTTTGAAGTATATTTTGTTTATTCTCTGCTAGAGATTTCATCGATTATCCATTCTTTGAAGTTTTTAAGTCGTGATGACTTGTAAAAATAACTGTATTTAGACAAATTTTAAGGAAGTTAAAGTAAAACTAAAGTATGGGAACAAAATTAGGCGATTGTCTAATAATCTTACGAAATCCAAATTAACTCTTTAGTTCAAGATAGGTTTCGGAATTAGTGTTAGTGAATAAGTTGATGAGTTAGAGTTAGTATTTCGCTCACGATGTGAGATCAGCTGTATTACAAGAATCCTGTAAAACCCTCCGGATAAACGTGTTTCACTCTTAATTATTTGAGGATATGTTCTTTGAAAGTCAATAAATATTCATTGCACCAGTCTTTTGTGTTCTCACTTGGCGTTTTGGTAATTGAAGGAGTTTCCGTTTTAAAGTATAATCAGTTAGATATGAACTGTCTCAACTAAATGTGTAGCAATGAAAAAGATTGTAATTCATTTATTATTTATTCATCTCTTTTTCATATGAAAGTTTAATGTACTTTTAAAATACGTTAATGTTTTTTAAATGACCGTTTGTCATAAATGACTATATGTCATCCACATATCAATTATAAAGATACTTATTATGTTCAACTGAGTTTGGGGCCAAATTTTCAACAATATGTTCATGTTATATGTTGAAAGTTTAATTGAAGACTTAATTATTACGCCTGTTATCCCTCGTAGAGTAACATAGGCCGCCCACCAACATTCTCCATCGTACTCTGTTCTGGACAATCCTTTCTAGTTTTTATTCATTCTTTTGATGTTTGCTTTCACTTCTCAGTGTAGTGTGTTCCTTAAATTTCCTCTTTTCCACTTGTAGCTGTTGTTAGGCTACTGTCGGGTTAAAAAAGGGGTACGTTGGGCATGAAGTCAGCAAATCCCCATTCCGTAGAAAATAACCTTGCTAAAAAAGAATAACCAGGATAGCTGACGACTCAGTTGGACATAAATATTTTTATAAATAGTACATTGATAACACCATGGTCATTTTACAATAAAACTGACGTAATATGCTTTGACTTAATGCAAACTTCAAACACTTCAAAAGCACAGTAGTTTTTCATATACGAAAAAGAGAATGAATATAAGCTTTTTGATATAAGTGTTTTTACAATGGTTGAGATCATGAGTCAGTTGAAGCTAGACCACTATGGAAAACCTAAAAGCACTGGAATTACTATTATATCCACAAAAGCCCTTCTGTGATATAAGTATTTTTGTTTCTTTTTTTCTTTCTTGAAGAAAAAAACCCACAAATTCTGCCATCCTCTCTGTTTCTATTTGTTACAGCTTTTATTTTCTCTTTGATATTTTTAAATTTTATTTTTATTTAGTTACAAAAAACTTCAAGAAAAACGTCTTCAATTGAAGACAACACCTATTTGGGATCTGTAACATCGCATTTATTGATTGATTGACTTTTTGAGATCATAATTTTTTTAAAATCTTCTGTACTTGTATTTAACTGGTTTATTATTATTATCATTTTTAGTTTATTTTTGTAATACCATTTTGTTTTTTCTTTCGTTTTTGATTTCGTATTTTTAGTTTGATCTTTACCATAATCTTTGCACTAAAAGAAATATTCTCATTCATGCACATAATTGACTGAGATTTTGCTAACTAACTTATTCATCCAACCATAAATAATAAATTAAGGGCATCATTATTGTTAATATAATTAATCTGTCTAATTGGGAATTTCCTGTTTCGAATTATGCTTGCGTTTTTAAAGCATTATGTTATTCTTGAGCATCCTCGGATCTAAACTTTCTTCGTTATTGATAGTTTTACTTTTATACTACTTAATCATTGAGTAAGTAGTGTAAATGTGGTATATGAATTGTTTTCGAGAGTTTTTTTCATTTTCATGTACTTAACAGGTGCATTTTAATTACGCGATTAATTCAGTGCTCACATTACACATTGAATATATGCACTTTTGAACCAAGTGTATTTATTTTTTAAATGCCGTTTTTTATGTATTGATGTTCCAAGAGGTTTTGTCATTATTATTTTCATAGAAAAAGGGCTTGGGTACTTTGGAAGATGTTTTTTTTAATCAGACTACGTAGTTTTCTGATTTTTTTCTACAGGATCGAAACAAACGTGATGGATCTGCTCCTGTTTCCAGGTGTTCATACTGTTGTTGATATGTGTACTACTTTCGTTTTGTATTGTCTTTTCTTTTGGTTATACTGACCGAACCACAATTGTCTTGTTGTTTTTTTACGATAGGTGTTTTTTCAGATTGCTCTTGCTATTACTTACTGATAGTGACAACTTTTCTCCTTGTTTTGTTGGCGTTCACTCTTCGTTGTCGTGGTTGGCATCTGCGTAATAGTTTTCTTGTTTTAATCGACAATGGGTTTCATATTTTCTCCTTTTAGCAAGATAAATTGTTGTTATCGTTTCTGTAATTTTGACCAGTGATATTAATTTTTATCCTGAAATTTTTACTAAAGTGTATCCAAAAGTTAATCGTTTATTATGTGATGATATTTAACATAATTGTGATAAATACAAAGGCTTATGTTATCGGCTTGCATGCATATTAGTAATAATAATATCTTTTTCGACATTGATAGATTAGATAGGAATCAGGAAGTCTGAACCTACGATTTGTGTGATACGGTCTTCTCAATAGATTTTTCTATATCTCTCTCTTCATAATAGAGTAAATTTCAGTGTATTGTTGGAATAATTTGTTTCTGAAAATACAGTTTCAACGAAATTCGACCTACGGCCTCCTCGCAGCACTGCTGGATAGTAGGAAAAATCGGGCTAGCGAACTTGGGCGGACGACGGTTTTCGAACTGATCACCCACTATGTTGTGTCCTTGATCAACTCGAAGTTCACTTAACCGCACCGGGTCACCTGATGTGTATGCTTATGTATAAAGATTGCAGAAGTCTTCGGGCATGTTTACTTCATGTATGTTGGTGTGTGCGTCGTACGAAGGCAATGTATACCTTTTGTCTAATAAAATTAGCGACTTGATCTATCAGATCGAAGACAATAAAAAGATACGGCTAAAAAAGTACTAGGGAAAGGCAATCAGCAACCTCTGTTGACAGAATGGTTATGCTTATATGTGTGTCAGGAAGTACTGAGGCGGTAACCATGGGCCTAATTATATGCACGTAATGTGTAAGAGATAGTCTGGGGTAGCAAATATTTTTCCAAGGAAGTGGTGAACATCTACCCTCTTAGGTGGGTGAATATACTTATATCTGTGCTATGAGATGCATGAGATAAAACCTGTGTGTTATCGGTGTGCATGTAACGTATATTTTTCCACAGGGTAGGTATACCTGTATATATACCAAGGAATATTCGGGTGAAAGTTCGTGTGTTAAGTAGTATGCATGTAGACTATATCTATCGAGGATAAGTAAACACTTCGAAAATCCTGTACTTTTTCTCTTTGCGTCACCGAGATACACGCTATGGCCTGTAGGGACGAGGTTCCCCACAAAGTCAAATCCACACGGTGGATTCGTGAGCCATAAAAATACGAAATCTATTCTATAAGTGAATACAAAAGCTTCCCAGGAAAGTCGTTACCAGCCAATCTGACTGGGAAAACACTGTTATCGGTTCTTGTTGTCATTATTGGTAATCGACAGGAATTTGGTAATTGACAATTTATAAACGTTTCTATGACATTGTTAGATGAATGTGTAAAAGCAGACAGTGTTATGGATTGGAATAGGTAAACATTAAACTATATGTTATCTTTTCATGGCGAACCATATTTCGAACTTTTGTTTCTTGTAACTCTATCTTGGTATTTCTTGGGTAAATATTTAGTAATTGGTTTGTACAAATTTTTCCCACAAGATTTGTTAAGATAATGGATGATTTTATGCTATTTTCATGTTGCACACAATAATTAGAAAAATTATTGGGGATTTCTTAATATAAAAAACATAACTGTCTATGTCAATAAGAGTTGAAATCCCAAATTTTTATTGATTTGCATACACTAGTTTTATGTAAACGCATTCACTTGACTCCTTTGGTTAATATTTTCAATTGACGTGTTAATACAACATAAATTACGTAAAGAATTTTAAAATGGGGATAATCTCAAGTAATACAAACAGATTTTTCTTAATGTGAACCTATGATGGAGTCGGTAGTCAATAAACCATTTTACACTATTGTAGTATGTTACATCTCAATAGATTTTGTGTTTGTTTGTGTTTGATACTCAATAATTTTACACTAACATGGCTACAATATTAATACCTGACAGATGTTTTTATCAGACAAATTTTGTTAAAAGTTAACCTCAGTTGTATTCGACCTAATAATGTAATGAAACAACTAGAAACTCTTTACATGACAATTTGTTAAAAAAAAATTTTTTTTTTGAAGTTTGAGTCTGTAATAATTCATAGTTTTATGAGTATATTCTTTATGGATTAGTTATGGAATCGTGTACTTTGTATTTTCCAATTCCGTTAACTTACTAATGGTGAGTACTTAAATAAAATTTTAATCAGTTGTGTGTGTGTGTGTATATGCGTGAACACAACTGGTAGTCAATTAACTCACAAATAACTTTTGATATTATTTTACTTTCTAAATTTTATGGGGCTATACAGTTAAAAAAGAGTAAATGAATAAGGATTAATAAGTATTTATGATGAAATAAACATTTATTTTAAAAAACCTAACATCTATTTGAATATATATTTTATATTTTTAGGCACCTCTTTCTTGCTACTTATATTCTTTTGAGTAGTGTAATACTTTCATTAAAAGTTTGAAGGCGATGTTTTGTTTGTGGTGTGTGACTAGTAGACATTTTCGCACTACTTTTTTTTATTTATAAAAAGCTTCTCTTCATTTACTTCTGGTCAACGTTCTGAAAATTCAAATGAATTACTTCAAAATGTTGGAAATGAGTTGTCAATTCATGGGTAATTTCATTTTGTTATGTGTTTAATTTAATCTGTGAGGTTTGTGAAGTTACAGGTTGAAACCTATTTGATTTTGATATTTGGAAGCAGACATCAAGAGAATGGATATAGATCGGATTGCGAATCGGAATTGGGAATAAGTCGAGTGCTGTTCCAGTTACCTCGTCTTCCCTCTCTTGTGCGCTTCTCAACCAACCAGGTGATAGAATAGTTTTTTCTCTCTACCCCAAGCAGTTAGTCGTAATTCGAAACCACGCATACTAGTCTCAAGGTTAAATAAATCAACTTAATCGCGTCAAGGTTTTAACTTAGATTGAGACAAGTTATCCTCTGCATATTAGTGGGCGGTCAGATCAAGGATGTAAAAATAATGACTTAAACAACACTTTATAGTTAATAATAATAGCTATAAATATTAGGTAGGAATCACTAAAAAACAATGGATAGCAAAAAGATATTCGCAAACTAAGTCTTATTTACTATGTCAGCAGGGTCCTGGATTTGTCAGTTAACTCATTGTGTTTGTGTACACGTCTGGCGAGACTCATACGTAAATAAAACAGCTGTCTAATGCTTCCCAGTTTTTCATGATACCACAACTGTAACTAGTCTGTGACGAATATAGCCTATATATTTTTAATTTAATCATTAAAATACACTTTCAGAAAATTGTGTAATCTACTTATATAACATAGCATAAATACTATTGTTTTATTATTTTTAAACAGTTAATTACCAAGTACTTATATGTTTGTTTCTCTTCGATTTCTTGAATTGATGTAATAAAAACACAGCACAGATAATTCCTTATCATGGATTACATTGTCAACAACATGTGCTAATTCCCCAATTTACGGGTGGGCAACTGGAAAACAATCGGACCGTAAATTCAGTAGTAATAATAATACTAACAATAATAATGGTGGTGTTATTCAAAGTAACAATGATTCTGTTGATGATAATGCACATTCTAATGTACCAGTCCCCATTCAATGTAGAACAATTGGTGGTTTGCATAAAAAAAACTTAGAAGTAAGTTCAATTGTTTAACAGCCATTGTGTCACGGACGTTTTTTTTTGAATAACAACTGAATGATGGCATTTCAAATGTGTTAACATGATAGCAACATAGAAAAGTGTATATTATCGGGGAGTAGTTATTTCTATTTGTCTTTTGATATGTGTATATTATATGTAATCAATGTCCCTAAACATATATTGTAAACAACATTAGACATGAGAAAAATCTAAATGAATATATCCAAGTTACAACATTTCACATCATTATTTTGGAAAAAAAGAAATAATTAATTAACCATCATTAGGAAATACCAGTATTGGTTGATATGAAAACCACTTTTATAGAAATGAAGCAATAAATTCAGAAAAACTAATAATGTATGAAACTGTACTTAGTGTCTGATATTTAAGAGAGAGTGGAAGTGATTATAATTAAATTACAAACTATTTATTTCTGCTTCCTGGGTATCTGAATATGTAGATCATGGTTCACTATACTCATCTTTTTCACAAGTATCACTGATACTGTTACTACATCTACAACTTGATCATCTTACTATGTTTATATGGTACGGTTACTTGAACCGGTGCATTTATATGTACCAGGTTCGCTGTTGTTTATCATCGACTGAGCTAATGAAAACAGTTTTCTGTCTACATTAAACAACAAGGCAATGCAAGATGGTTAGTGGGTGTGTGCTTGTTTTCAATCCTCTCACCTCCCTTGCTGTTTTTTTGTTTCACGATCTCCAATTATATGGTATCAAATGTTTTTTAATTTCGAAATCTTAAACACTCTATCTACAAGTCAAACTAACTTCTTTTATGGTTATCACAAAAGAAATACCATCCATCAGCATAAATCTTGCACATGCACTTGTTCAGTGGCGAATACAATTTTATATTGAACATTGAATATTCCTAACACCATTTTTTGAATTTTTTTTTCTAAATTATTGTTTACACAGATATGTACAGCACTTACTGTTCCAATCGCATCCTTGAACTGTAATTCCAAACCTAAAGTAAGTTATTACCTCACCCATTACTTAATACTAACGTATCACTACTGCTACTACTACTACTCGCCTTGAAGTATAAGTGTGGATTTCTGTTTATGAGAGTTAACTAGAAAACACTAATTTCAATAATATTGTTATAATTTGTAATATGCATTGAGTGAATGCCACACCTTTATTTCAATGGATCTTTCTTGTCCTTTTTTCGCTTCCCAAATTTGTTTCACTGGATTATACTTCTTGAATAACATCTTCAAATCCTAATGTCTCCGATTACTGCTTATACTCTTACTACCTTTACCACTATGGGATTTGAATTGACAACTGCGTCTCTATGCTAATGTGGTACGGCAACTTGAACTGATGTACGTACGTACGAAGTTCTACGTTGTTACTGACTGACTGAGATTCTATCACTAAACTTGATGAAGCTATTATAAAGATTAATTCAGTGTTCACAAGAAGGAGATTTCAAACTTATGGAGTATAACTAAGGCAACATGCCTAATATACATTGATTAGGTGAAGTGAAATTTCAATTAGGCAATTTTGTAATTGATTATCGACAAACCTTGAACTACCTCGAAAAGCAACAACATACGGCTGTGAACAACAGATTGTGATGTTAGACTGTAAATAGATTCTAGGTGCTTCAGCATTTAAGTGGCAATCAAGAGATGAAATTGAAGTAAAACAGTAATTTTTAGAGATTCCATGAATAATGTTGTAGAATTTGGCTCCTTGTTATTAGCCACTCAGAACACAGGTGACACAAAATAGTAATGTATAGAAAAAACAATACTGTAGCAACAAATCAGCTAGATTTGTGATAGCGACTTCAAGATCATAGATAATGAATGAAAATTAAAACGCTAACTACAGACCATCTTACGGCCAATATGAGCGACCATGCAATAATTCATTGTTTATAAAGGCGTAAGAGTGAATGGCTGCAAAACATTACACAAGTACACGAGATAAAATGATGTTCCTATGTAACGTAAGGCTGATATGCATATACACATTAGTGTTTTCCTCTATTTGATTGATCTCTTGTATAAAAGATTCATCTTTTATTCTCTTATTGATCGTGGCTGCTATTTTTTAATCCGTAAACTATCATCTGATCTATCTGGTCACCTTAAATTCTTTTCAATATTACTTAGACAGATACCACCTTGGATTTTATTAGTTCTCATTCTGTATAAATATCACTACCCTGGTAATCTTTTTGTTTCTGTTTGTTTTGTGTTTTGGTTATTTTATTCATTTACTTATTCTAAGATATTTTATACTCCCCCCCTATTACCTAATTCTTAAAATAAATTTTATTCATACATTTCCACCACCTGATCCTCTTAAATTATCTTAACTTTCCAAATTCTATTTAATTATTATTACGTAATCTACCTTATCATTATTTAATTTCATTAATCTCTACAATTATCAAACAATTTATGAACTTCACTAAATTATTACACCACCCACCCTGGATTAACCCCCCTCTTTTGACCTCTGACCTGTTTCTAGCGTATATATGTATATAGTTATTATTGTAATCCAGTTATTTACACTCATTTATGTCAATTGTTTCACACTATCTCCATGTTAAAAAAAATTCTATCACAATTTTAGTTTGTAAGCAGCTGATGAGAAACCTCGAAATAATATGAATTCATACTATTTTGCTCTATTTAAATTCATAACATTTTCGTTTGTTTACAATCATTCTAATGCTAATAGAAATTGCATGATAATTAATGCTAACGAGCTAAATATGTGGAATGATAGTGAGAGCATGATTTGACTATGGATTTATTAACGTTAATTATGTTAAGTCTTGCTGATTTGGACGCTATATTCGTTCCTAAGCTATTCAGATAACCCGCACGCTAGAACTATACAGCGACCTGAACACCAGAGAGAGAAGACGTTAAGTATGAGAGAAATACTTTACTACAAGGTTCGTTTTTGTACAGAAAACGTGGGTATTTATAGATGTTAACGTTTGTTAAATCAACATCTTATTTCGGCCAATCCGTTAACGACATATTATGCTACTGACCAATAGTAGCATGCCACGTTGGAATTCTAGAATGCTCCATCGTGCTCTGATTGGCTAGGACACTTCGGCTCCTTTTGGGCCTCTGGAGGCTCCGTTGAAGTTCTCCGAAGGCCGACTCAACTAATTATTCTTTTATCTAATATATTCACCGATGTTGTAATTACTACAGCATCTATCAAAGTTCTAGAAATTTTGATATGTTTAGATTTTCATGTGATTTCATCTGTTTACATTATGGTTGTTTTAAAAATCATCAGTTATGCGTCTGACTTCAACAAAATGTTCTCTATCTTACTATCGTATCATATTCACACTATTCGGTATTGTGTTGTTAATTATATAGCTGTTCCGTCCTGGTATAGAGACTTCCCGACAGTCATTGTACATAATTTCTTCCCAACAGATCGAATGTATTACCCTCAAATGGCCTGGCACGGCCGATAATGAGAAGAGACCACTCTCTCTCTCTCTAAATGCTTTCACACGGTCACGCGTACATATCCACTGCCAAGGAAATCTTACTCACTGCCTTCTCGTGGCGGGGATGCTGTTTATGAAATTGAGAGGACGAAAAACGAATGTCCGGTGCTTTAACCATGTTTTTGGGTATGGAGGAGCCATCTGGAAGAGTTGGAAAACTCTGATTCCAAGCGAATTGTGCACATTGGTTCGAGGATTGTGAGGGAACGGATGACGTATGAACCTATTGTTGGTTATCGGCTTCGATGAAACTATTTCTCCTTACGTTGCTCCACTGTTTTGTTGATTAGATCTTTAGGTCAAACGCTCGGGATGCAGATCCATTCACCGTTTATCTACTCATGGGTTTCCAAATTATTTTTAAATTTTTCTATCCCACAAATTCATTCTTGACAATTTCATGTTGTCGTTAGTGTGGTAGTTCTTTTCTTTTTGAAATCAATATATAGTATCATTTATGGCTGATTGGTCGTGGTGGTTCAGGAGATTATCCGAATTCCAATGATTCTTCACTATCAGTAAATCGTGGTTATCTTGGACAAGTGCACATATTTGAACCAACTAAATTCACTCAACCTATTAATAGTTTTGATTTAGATAATGGTTTCTTGCCGACAGCAGCTGTTTATGTAAAATACAATGAAGGTATTTTGTGCTGTTATTATTATTTTTACTACTATTATTGTAATTTATTAGATTCATCGTTACATCACAGACTGATTTTAACTAAAAAAAACATTGAAAGCCAAGAGGAATCGGATTACTGTTTTGTCTTAGTAGTGAACTCTTTTGAAATGAGCACATAATATACTTGCTTAACAGTCTAAAGGCTAGACATTCATGAAGAGAGACGAGACACTGATATACTACTGGCACTTGTTGTGTCTTGTTATTATGGTTTAATACACATACGATGTTACGGATTTGGGAACAAAAACGATTGAACTAATCTCATGCGATCTTTTATTTTCACAATCGACAACAGCCATTTACACAACATATCAAACCTCATCGGCTAACACAGAAAGAAGACGGAACCGCAGATAACTTGATATTTGTAATAGGACAAATAACACAACCGGAATCGGTGCAAAAGTTTTTACTATCGTAGCATAGTATGACCTTCAAGTATGCAGCAATTACAACCAATCAAAGGACAAGGGTCAGAAATTGTGCGTTCAGGTATCGTTCCCAAAGAGGTTTTAGCATTTCTAACACCTTGACTATCCTTGTGACCTCCTTTGCAGTGCTACAAATAGCAAGTGCGTTCGATGTAAAGACGCATGGACATCGCGAACTGATGTTGAACTTTATTTCTCCGGGAATTTGTTGAGGTAGACGTATCAGTACCTATAGTCAGTATCCATTTCTTGCAAAACTTCGATTTACCAGTCAATCCTCGACGGCGTCAACCCATGAACAATGAACAATCCTTAATTCTTGATATATTCATTTATTTGTATCAAAAGACCTGTATGATCATGATCCACATGAACCACTTTGAGCTCATGTATATTTTATTTATGTTTAGAGTGATATATCGAAAGTCGAAATACTAGTACTGTTTTGGAGAAGTATATTTCATACATCCACTAATGGGTGCTGGCATTGAGAGGTGGTGAGAAGCGGAGTTGACACGTTCGCCTTCTACTACCCGGCTTCGCATTCTGGAATAAATTGAACAAGTTTCAAAATTGGTACCAATTGTGTCAACCGTTGTTAACCATCCATTGATACATCTTTATGTTTTGAATAAGTGATTCACTCGTGATTGCTCAAGGTCCCTTGATGGTTATCTTATAGTTTATAGTTGACTAGACCGTACTGATCAACTTCAACATTGTTATAAACTGGCTGTTCAACTACTATTCTTTTTCTCTCAACATCTTAACATTTAACTTCTGTTCTAAGCAAATCCTCTTCATAATTCCATTTATTTATTTATTCATGAAAATAAAATTTTTTTACAGCTACATTAACTTCTCCATCCTCAATTGAATTAACCTCAAATCATGAATACACTGAATTTACATGGGATATCAATGAATCTTATGATAATAATAGTAGTAGTAATATGGATGAGACAATTTGTAATAAGAATAATGGTATGTTAATATTCTTTCTTGATTAATTTCGGCTAATAATTTTTAACTAGTCAGTAGTTGTATAGTTTTTTTAAAAATTTTTACCAGACCGATAGGGCCTGGGTCCGAGTCCCGTGAGGCGGGGTTGTGCATGCGCACTACTGTGGAGTCCCACAGTAGGACGAAACGGCCATCCAATGCTTCTAGGTTTTCCTCGATGATCTAGCTACAACTAAAATCTCCACAAAACCATTTCTGATAACAATTAATTATCCCTATTTTCAAATTTAATTATCCATACTTGTAAATAATTCATGATTAGGATGAAATTTAGCTCTTATTTTTCATATGCACTAACAACTACGACTACATAGTAACATTGGTTCAGTGATAATTTCCTCGACATTTCAGTAAGAGTGATAGGAAAGACAGTTACTGAAAAAAAGGAGATTTTATTATTTCAATTAAAGCAGTCAATACTTTGAGAAAACAATACTTCTTATACAATAACAATGATGACTTTATAAGCATATAAGAAGATGATATATTCAAAGTGAAAGTGAACAATCCGAGAATAGTTTCAAAAGTCAACGTGGTAACTATAATGTTGGTGTTTTGATTGACTTAATCATTCATCAGAACTGAGAATTATTGGCAAAAGAAAAAAAAGGTGTCGATAAATTTAGACTTTGGAAAGAAAGACAGAATGAATATTTCTAGGATGAAAATATTTCGCCTGTGACAGTGGCTTCATTTTTTCAATCACTTTACAATCCATCAAACGATTAACAGTATAGATGCATTCTATTGTTTGTTTTTGTATAATGAACTAAATTCTTTGGAATGTGTAGTTTGTAATAGTGAAGAGAAGAAAGTGGACTAACTAGAACATGGAAAAATTAAAGAGTTTAGATAACGGGAGATGGTCGCTTAATATCTTGGATTGATAGACGTTGGATATGTACACTATTGAATTCTGGCTCAGTGATCTGGAGGTTGAGCGTCCGTGCACGAGACCGAAGATCCTCTGTCCGACCTCTTATCATGGGGTCATGTGTACGCACTGCCAAATAGTCTCTTACTAGGATGAATCAGCTGCACAGTTCTTTCAAGGTTTCAATGAATACTTAACTTAGGTTGGTTTGTATTATTCATAATTTTCAATAATCTCTACAAATCTCTGTAATGATAGTTAGAGGCACAATTACAATATGAAAGATTAGATTTTGATTTTTACCTGTAAGTGAGTAAATAAACAGTCATTTTAAATGATGGTAGGATTTGATGGCAAGTAACAATTAGAATAAAAATGAATATTACTTTTGATATTTAGCAGGGTCGTGTGTGGATGCTACTAAGGTAGAGAGTCTTCATATTAAGATGAAGCAGTTGTTTGGTACCTTCTGACTTTTAATGAGACCCCAATTGAAATCATGCTTTGATGAATACAATCTTCAAACTAAAACAATGTACACAAAAACCTTTTCAGTCACGTTAAATCTTTGTTAGCTTGACGTTGTTTTTTTCATGTTTCTGTAATTCTTTTCTCTCATTGAACAAGTTCCTTCTATCAATTTCTACATTTTTAAAACCATTTTTTTTCATCAGATGGTTGCGTAATTTTAGCGTCAAATGATGGACGATTTCTAGTTTATAGATTATGTTATAGCATAAAGTCAACCAATTCGTCTGATGTGGCCAAAAATAATGACGATAATAATAGTAATTATAGTGACCAAATTGTTTCAAGTCATTTCAATGTTGTTGGCTTACCACAATTAATTTATCGATTTAAAACAAATAGTCAAGGTTTAGTGGCTAATGGAATGATGTAAGTTATGTTAATTTGATGATGAGTTGCTTGTTTTATTTTCAATTAATAATTAAGGTTACGATTAAGAGGATTAAAATATGATTACAGTCTTCTTCAGCGTTAATGCCTGTTATCAATGGACGTTGGTCCGAATTGCCAATATTAAATTAGAATGATGAGATGAAAATAACAAGATAAGGAATAAAAGAGATCAAAGTTGCAATGGTATTAAAAGAGACTAGATATCGGGAGTGTGTTTTTAAAAGACATAGTAAATAAGAATCTATCAAAGCATATTGAAATTTTAGATCAGAAGCCAGATAAATGGTGAATACATCTACTCCATTGTGAACAGTTTTGTGCGTTTTTACCTAAAGTCTCCAATTAATAATCGCTGTTATTGCACTGATCCTAACCAGGTATTCTGCATCTACCGGAATAGTCCGCATCAACATTCATTGACTTTATAGACTGAAACTCCGTTTAGTGTCGTCTACTCTACAAATTCTTCCAACCTGCTTCTACTTCAGTCAACTTCACTCTTCGACGTATATTGTGTTCTGGAAAACATAATACCATATCCTATCCTCCTAAGTTGATGAAAGTATAAAACTTCATCAACCGACTTTCCACCTTTACGTAGTACATTATGCTTTACCTCACTATTACTCACTCAGTTGTTCCAGGAAAAACGGGCCATGTGTCAAAGTTATGCATGATCAAAAAGCCCTCAACCTATCTATCTTTTTACTTCCATAGGCCATTTGTTACAGAAATAATTTAATACAAAATGAATCCAACATAACTTCATTTAACTTACAAAATAAGTCACAATTTTATTCCTTCATATATTTATATGTTAGTTCAACGCTGATCAAGGATATTAAGAAATACAACCGTTTGACGAAAACTAGTAAGAATCAACGTAAATGAATCATATAACATATTGAATAGGATATTTTCTAGTATTATAATCTAAACTGGTAATAATGATAAGGTAACCTCACTCGGTTGAAAGAAAAGTTTGTCATGAAATCAGTTGATCTACAGTTGAATCAAAATTAATGTAGGTGATTTACACAACAATTGGGTTTGTTGTAAACTTCTTTGAAATCGATGAAGTGATGTCCAATGAGTACCTGTGATTATTTACGTTTTATCGAAATCTACTGATAATTATTCTTACTTATTTTAGAAAATAGTGAAATCGAACGAATCTGGCCTTTTGATGACGCGTTCTATGTGTATAAATCGAAATATCAAGGCAACAATAAACTTTGACATGTGTGTACTCAACGTACATTACTGATTAAACGAACTTAAGCTAAACCCTCAAATGCCCTGTTATGGCCGAGAGTGAGAAGAGACCGCTCTCTCTTACTCTCTCTCGAAATGTTTTCCCAAGAACACGCGTACATATCCACTGCCAAGGAAATCTTACTCACTGCCTTCTCGTGGTGGAAGTGTTGTTTATGAAATTGAGAGGACAAAAAGCGAATATTCGGCGCTTTAACCGGGTTGTTGAGTATGGAGGAGCCATCTGGAAGAGTTGGAAAACTCTGATTCCAAGCGAATTGTGCACATTGGTTCGAGGATTGTGAGGGAACGGATGACGTATGAACCTATTGTTGGTTATCGGCTTCGATGAAACTATTTCTCCTTACGTTGCTCCACTGTTTTGTTGATTAGATCTTTAGTTTAAAGTCTCGGAGTGTAGCACCCTAAGAAAACAAACTGCCTCTGTTTCGGCGTCTGAACAGTATCCTAGCCTTCACAAAAACCGAATGATAAAGTGTGGCGCATTTATATTTCGTGCTCCTTTGTACCAGTTTTTCTGTGTTTAAATAAGTAACATAAATAAACTTTAGAAAACTCTCGATCCGATTTCTTGATGCCATGAAAATAAACGAAAGTTAGAGGTTTGTATCTATTCCTTAACCGATGCTAATACATGGAGTAAATGTCCATGTTGCTACAATTTGTTCAAGATCTCCTGTAAAGTTTATATATTCAGTATATTAGTTGTAAGACTTCCATCACCTAAGGGACACTTACCTCAAGATCACAGTGCCAGCGCGATACTGAAGGTCCTGGGTTCGAATCCCGCTTGCATGATCGTGGATGCGCACTGCTCAGGAGTCCCATACTAGGACAAAACGTCCGTCCATTGCTTCTAGGTTTTCAATGGTGGTCTAAAATTTATCGATTCATAATCTCAATCAGTAAATTTTTTTAACTGAAAGGATTCTTTCTGATTATATTTTTGTTAACTGAACTGTTTTTTTCCCATTATTTTTATTTCACTCTCGTACACTAATTTCTGTTCGTTGTTGTTCTTTTTATATTACGCACTTCACCTTCTCTGTCACTTCACAACCTCATAGATGTTGTGCGGCTCATATATATTTCGGTGCTCCATTGTGCCACTGTTTGTGTTAAAATAAATAAATAAATATTTTCAGATGAATCATTTGTTTAACCCAAATGAAGGCTTTTTTCTGTATAATTCGGATATTTAATCCGGTCATGAATGTTAGCATATTTTTATTATAAGTCAGGTTTGTATATAAGGGTTCATCCATTATGCTATGATATTTGTATTTCTTCAATTCTGATCGATTCTTGTTTATTGTTATCCTTATCATCGTCGATCAAATTGTTTTATATTCATCTTTCTTCTTTATCCCACCTACTTATTTCTTACTCATCCACGTTTATTCACTTTGTACATTCATATCATTCTTCTATAGTTCACGTGATAATTATGTGTGTATTGGTCTATTCAATTCACTTGGTACAACTCATATTGTTTGCTTTCAATGGCCATTAACATTTATGCAAAATCAACATAATCATACCGTAAATACATCATCTTCAATGATTACTTCTGCTTCCAACAAAATACAAACAAAACATAAACTCATTAATATACCGTATGAATCTTTATCAACTGGTCCGTTAATTATGGCTTCTTCGTTTTCATCCTCCACTTTGTCTTCTTCTAATCCTTGTTCTACTCTGAATGAGAATAATATTTCTTCAATAAATGACTATATTTGGCTTGGTACAGCTGGTGGTGGTCATTGTTATTGTTTAGACGTGCAATCTGGTGATTTTATAACAAGGTTAGTTATGTATGTGTATTTGTTTTTTTCTTATATCGTCTCTCTCTGCGAGACTATATTTTATGAACGACCTTTGAGCAATACTTAAGTAGTGGTTTCGAGAAAATTTATTCACTTATTGAGACTACAAATTAGTGTAAGGAATTGAGTTGCGGTTAAGAATTAGAATTAGAGCTTTACATCTCGAATTGATATCAACTATAATGCTCAAGTGTAATTTAGTCATATGGATGAATGAATTTCACACCAAAACTCCAAAGTTACAATTTTAAATACGATTGGTTCGTCTGTACATTATAGTTTTGCCTTTCCGTATTCTTTTTACTTGTGATGTACGCTAAATGAAATAATTCTTCAAGTTTACTATCAGTGTAAATCTGCATTGGTTTACCTCTTGCTTTCCAAATCATATTTTAGTTTCTACTTTCACTGTAAGTAATTATAGTGTGGCCATCATTGCACGGTTATTGGGTGTCCTGACGTCCTTATTGATAAAAACTTTTTCGGTATGGTTAAAAAAATTGAGAAATAAGTGATTATTATCAGAAAGGGTTTTGTGGAGATTTTAGAAATTAAATGGATTGGTTGAAGTTAGACATTGACACCGTTGGATGCCGCATCATTGGTCTAATGTATAAGCGCTCGTGCGCGAGACCGATGGGTCCTGTGCCCTAAACTCACGGGGGGCGGGATCGTGGATGCTCACCGCTGAGGATTCCCATACTAGGATGAGACGGCCGTCCAGTACTCCCAGGTTTTCTATAGTGGTCTTGCTTCAATTGAATCATGATTTCAAATAAGTGGTTAGTTAACCTGCTTTTGAAAGTTTGTGCTCATATGATAATGAATAAACATTTTGTTGCCTGTAATAATTTGTTCATCTTTGTAGCATAAAATGATTTCATTGCATGTGCAAATTCTCATTTTTACATTTTAATCTTATTTTAATGAAAAAATTCTGTCAGACGATTCTATATATATATGGAGAGATTACTACATGATAGACGCATATCGACAGTAAGCTACTCGTATTTGATCGCAGATGCCTTAAAAGTATTTCTCGCATCTGCTGGGATCACCGGGTAAGTAATAGTGAGGTTAGACGTAGGGTTTTAGGGAATGATTTTAAATCAGTTGATGAGGTTGTTAATCTTCACCGACTGAGATGGTTGGGCCAAGTGTTGCCTATGCCTGAACACCGATTACCACGTCGCGCAATGCTGACTAGTGTAGAAGATGGTTGAAAGAAAGTTAGGGGTGGCCAAACCAAAACATGGCATCAGTGCTTGAAGTCACTAACTTCTATACTGAACCATGTTGGTAGATGCAGACTACTTGGTTGGGGTCCAGGTGACTATCGTTACCAATGGTTGGAGACTGTGTGTGACATGGTTGAGAATCGATCATAATGTCGTAGGCGTATACACTCTTTGTCTTCCCTTATACCGTGAGATTAAAACTACGTTATATCTTTCTTTCTACGAACTAATTCTTTCTTCCTTATACACAATTTTTCTTTTAAATATTACTACCATTGACGTGACTACTTCTGTGGATCCGGTGTTCATCTTGTTGTGCTAATGAGGTGTGGTAACTTAGACTGATGTACACATGTGCCTGGTCCCACGTTGTAGCTAAATGACTGACTGACTCATTGAATAATCCTTTTACTCACTATATTATACTTTTCCATCTTACTCTTCATATAAATTGTCGCATTGAGAAAAGATAGCCACCTTATATTGGAGTAACGCAATTCAGAGTTCCTTTTTATTGGCGATATTTTACATTTTTCCTTATTCTACTCTTAATTTACAGAAATGTATGTATGTATGTATGTATGTATGTATGTATTATTATTATTATTATTATTATTATTATTATTATTATCATTTCATAAATATTTTCAACATGTACAGTTTAGCATTACCAAATGAAACACCATGTCTACATGCAATATGCATTAAACCGTCTACAACAGGATTGGCCGACATTGTTTGGTTAGCTGTATCTGGCAATCCTACAATTTGTACATCATGTGAGAAAATTTCAACATCTACAACCGATAGTAATCGTAGTAATATTGATAATAAAGACATTGATGATGATGTAATCGTTAATCAAAAAAAGTGTCAACATAATGTAAATAGTGGAGTAAGTGTTGGAATGGCACGTCTATTAGGATGTTGTCCTAAACAAAAGTGTATTCTACGTCAAATTGATTTAACCAATTCATTGTCTTCAATGTTAGGTAAGCTTGGGGTAAATTATTAATTATTATTCTGTACATAGATTAATTATCATTGAATTGTAGATTTAAGCCATGTTTTATAGATGCGGACATATCTGGTTGTGATCAAACTGATAATCATAATCATTGACTGTTTGTGATGTTGAATACTGTGGCTTTGAATCGATCAGAATGATGCAGATAGGTTAACTTTTTATCTTCCTCTCAATCTTGAATTTCTGTATTCTTTCATACATGCGTTTCCATTGTGTTAATTTATACCATATTCTAAAGGTTTAGTCGTTCTCATTATGTGCTACAGTTGGTCAAGTGGTTCGGTCATACGTTTCTTTTATTATCATATTGTAATTCAATAATAAAATACAAATTTATGTTGCCGAACATTTGCAACATACTTTATTTACTTAAAAGTAGGTAGTACTGTAGATGAATGAATAGATTGGTTTGTAGATGGGTTAGGATTAGAGCTTTCAACCGTTAATGATTGGAAGCTGGAAAAGTTTATTGATTAACATCATCGATGAGTAATTCACTTGTTATTGAGATTTATGTGAATGATTGCATTTTAGGTCGGTTAAAGTTAGATAATTGTTTTCTGTAAGAAAATAAATCAGTTGTTAGTTTAAGAATCAACCAATGTGATGCTCATAACAAATTGTTCTATGAAATACTAATTACTTATAAGTAGTATTATTTTCAATATAAAAATGTGAATTATGTGTATATGTCAATATAATTTTCACTATTATCTGTTTATAATGCGTTTTTTTCTTAATTCTTTATAGATATGGAAAATGTTACAGATCCGATTGATTTAACTATATGTCGTCTACTTATTATACCACTGACTAGTGATCATGAAATATGGTTTGCTACTCGTTCTGGTCTTATTGCTCGTTTACGTTTGGATTACTCCAGTAATTATTTATTGACTTTTTATCTATCGATGAATCATGTTAACAGAATTCAATAATTATTAAACTTATTAAGCGAGCAAAAACGAAACTATTCATACCTGTTCTATAAGTAGTTAATCGTTTATTAAGTGATTAATGGCGTTTGGCAGGAAACCCTATATGGACTTGGTTTTCGTGACTGTTATCAGCAAAGTGTATCTTCCACCTTAAAGGAACTGGTGCTGTTTTTATGAATAACACATGAGTTGACTAGCTTCACAACCTGAGACTGTATCATTTAATTATTCTGGCCTTCTGTAGGACTGGGATATTTACAATTGATTGTGTAGTGACCAAGGTCATACTTTCCTAGTCTTTATCATATTGCAACTTAATTGTTTACTTTAGTACACTCGATATACTAAGTTGTATTAGCGAACTGATAGTAGTATGTTTGACGTCATAAGGATTTTATAACAAAATAAAATTTCAAATTTTATTATGACTACAAATCTATCTAGGTTATAGAGCCATTAGAAAGCTGGGAGAACTAAACGCTCGTTGCGTCTTAGTAATACACACCTATGACCAACAATCGGGAACTGAATCAAGGCCACCATTCCTATGCTTTCACACTTAACCTGTAGAACTCTGAATGGGGGGATCCATTGGTGCACAAATCTGAATTCAATCTATCTGGAATATTACACGACTACTTTTCACTATCTTCAGCGAGTATTTTTGTCACACTCAACTTGGTTGAACTCCATTAGTCACAGATTTTCACCAGGATTTCTGAAATGTCTTTTCTATGTGTGTCACTTTTGAAATCTATCAAGGTGCATGTTATAATATTTCTCAACTTTATGAATAGATGAACGAGTGTCAAAATTTTGTATTGGTTCGATTTTCGTTCTACAACTATTTATTGTCGAATGTTTATTCTTGGGCAGACATTACGTTTTAAAGATAGAATAAGTTCCAGTGATGCTTTAGTGGCCCGGGATCTGACTCCAAATAGATTGTATGATTGATCATAATTCCTCGTAGATTTCATCGACTTAAACCGCGTTAGTGAATAACAGAATTAAATAAATCAAATACGAGAATGAATTTTGAATACTACGTATATTTTGTACAATCATTGATCTGGACAGACAATCAGAGGAACCAAGCGAAATGACTTACACGAAAAGGCGTGCGAACCAACTTCATTTAATCAAGTCGTTAATCAATATTTATAACCAGATAAAAATAAGCTACAGACATGTGATGAATAGAATAAGAAGTGTACAAACATATGCGCGCTCATAGAAAAACAGTCAAGGTTGATAAGTGAATTAATTAACAAAGTCAAAGTGTGACACAGGGAGAATGGATAAATTAGCCTGACCATAAGCTAGAATATGGTATCTGGGCTTAACATAATAACCGACGCTACAAATGTAACTTTACAAAGAATTTAAATAAATTTTTTAATATTTATTGCAATCTTTATATATTACCACCTCTGAATTAACTAATTTTATGAATCCGGTATCCATCTTGTTGTGTTAATGAGGTATGGCAACTTGGACTGATGCATATATGTGCCTAGTCCTACGTTGTAGCTGATTGACTGACTGACCAACTTTACTAATCAGTCTTGACAACTTCATTTTATTACTTCATGTAGAAGTGAGCTTCTCATTTATTTCACAAGGGTTATATCAATTGATGAAGTAGTGAAACTTCATCAGTTGAGATGGTTGGGACACGTGTTACGTATGCCCAACGACCGACTGCATTGACGTGCGATGTTCAGTGGTATAGGAGTAGGTTGGAAGAAAGCTAGGGGCGGCCAGACCAAAACATGGCACAAGTCCATGAAGTCACTGACAAGTGGACTGAGTCATGTCGGTAGGTGTAGACTACCTGGTTGGGGACCGCGAGATGATAGCAACCGATGGTTAGAGACCTTGAATGATATGGCTCAAAATCGTTTGCACTGGCTCAGGTGCATCCACTCTTTGTGTTCTCCCAAATTTTGATCTCCTGATTCCCCCTTGTCTCTTTTTTTTCTCTTCCCAAGTTTATTTCACTGTATTATACTCTTTAAGTAACATCTCCAAACACTAATCCTTCCGATTACTGCTTATACTCTTATTATCTCTACCACTATGGGATTTGAATTGACTACTGCATCTCTGTGCTAATGTGGTGTGGCAACTCGAACTGATGTACGTACGTACGAAGTTCTACGTTGTTACTGACTGACTGATTTTTCATATTTAAAAATACTAGTGAAATTAAAACAAACACACAATCTGTATTCATGCCCATTATATAATTAGTGCGAGTCAATTGTTTTACCTTTAAAAGTTTAGAAATTTGTCTCTTGGATATTGATGATTCAGTTATTTTAAATAGCCAGTTACTATGGTTAACTCTTTTCACATTTCAATAATTAACATCATGAATATGATATTTAAGTATAAACTAATAAATTTTCTTTCATAATTTTATAATTATGTAGAGTATAAACATTCATCAAATGAGGTTGAATTGTCCAAAACTTCTTCAATAACAATCAGTTGTCATGGTTATCGACGTCCCGTATGCAATTTACTATTAATTCATCAAAGTATGTACTAATTACACTATTTAATGAAAATAATGATCAATATTATTTTGATTTTTACTAAAACAACAAATATTGATCCTTTGAAATTTGATCATAACTATTGCCTAGGCGTTTCACGTCGGGTTAAAGCTTGTTTTGATGATTTAATCGAGTTATATTGACAGAGACACTCGTTGTTTTAGGTCCTTTCGTGATAGGTAGATCGGTTTGAATGTGGAAGGATTGAAAGCAGTAAATGTAGAATCTAAGCGCTCAGTTGTACAAAACTGTAACAGCAATAATTTGTTTCTGTGAGACAAGTATTCATAAAGGATAGAGATAATTAGAAAAGCTTGTGGCTAGACTTAACACACTTTACTTCATCTTATTTATTTTCGTATCTGTCAGCAATAACTTGGAAGTATAAAACACATATATCCAAAGTGACAAAGTGAACGTGTGTAACTGGCCCATCTCATGTTAGAATATTCATAGCCCACTTTCCTTCTCAGTCACCTTAAAGATTAAGTACTCTTTTATGATGTGAGTAGTCCGGGGGGTAAGAACCATCTACGCACCTCTAATGAAACTTTAAATTTCGTTGTTTATGAAACCTAGTAATGTTTTTTGATACTATTATTCTTGTTGAGCCTCTAGATAGATGTACTTTTGTTGAAGAGCGAGATGTTGAATCGTTGCAATACAATTACGTCACTAGTTGCAAGTTTATTTATCTAACTATAAGCCTCACTGTTTGTATATGTAATATTGAGTAGCTCTAGTTGGTTACTCAATTCGATGTAGTGAGGTTAAAAACCTATTGATTGAAAGATTAGATTATACAATAGAGAGTATCTTTTTAATTGTTTAAATATTTTCTTGTTTTTACTTTTCAAATTATTCTCAAGTTTGTCAAAAAGCGATTAACAATGAAGACTTGAGTTATTTAATTGTATCAGTTGGACATGATTATGTAGATCTGAGACAAATTCAAGAACAATCTGAACAGAAAGATGAACAACAAACTTATCTTCCAGTTGATCAAGGTAATTCTTTTATGAAGTTTATTTTTTCAATTTTGTAACGTTGTATTAATGTACTTTTCATTTCCTGGCTTAAAATTCTTTATATCATTTTCAATGTTCAATAACTGTACTTTTCTGTATCCAGGACTTTCTGACCAATATGTTCATATTGTGAGTGAATGTAGCATGTTTGAATTTACTCGTAGTTGCCTATTATGAATAAGTTAGTGTATCTTAAGCCAATATGTATGATGAAACAAAAAAAACCCCCAGTGAAATTCATTACTTGAAATGAAGTCTGTCATCGAAATTACACTTTATTGTGCAACATTTGTCTACTAAATTAGCGAAAATATGTCCAGTGGTTCGGGATACAATAAACCCATTATGAACCATCTTTGTTGAGCTATGCGCATTCTTCGCAAGCTCTCATGCTATTTGAATCTTTTCTGTTGGATTTACCTGTATCCCGACTTTAATTTTCACATTGCGATTCGAAACCATCGCCCTTCGCTTCAAAGTCCCAACGCATTACCCACAGAGCTATTAAGTCAAGATAGTCACTTATGTGCTCAACGAGTATGAGGGTGTTTGAAATGGAATGCACTGGGTATGTATTTCAATATGAATATCAACTCTGAAATTCATTACGTCTCACTGATGAATCCCAGACAGGACGAAACGGTCGGTTTCTATTACACAGTTAGGCGCACGCCAAATATAGTGACACTTTAGATAAATCTAACTCATTGAGACTTCGACTTACCATAATTATTATCAGAGTTTTGGGTAGTATGTGCTACACAAAGGCTATTACTGCACTAAAAAACTGCTCATTCGATGAATCACATAAATATTCACGGGAAGCAAAATAGAACAGCAACTTCTGTATATTACAGTTGATTTCATGGATACTGACTATCCTTAATGGTTTACTGAAGGAAATGGTACGAACGTCACGAATATACTGAATAAGATACTACATAAACCTAAATGCAACGGTGATGACTTCGACAAAATCATAAGAAGTAAAGCTGCTAAATAACCACACCAAACACTATACGTAACACCTCTACAGACATTTTAAACTATCTTCTGCATGTTGCCCATCCTTTGGAGAGAACACGTTACTTTGATTGATCAATATATACATGTTCTCTTGTTCTTGTGCAGTTAGGTAGGTAGGTATACAAGTGGCTTATCGAAAAACATTTCTTTTCACGTCATAAATTATCATTCAACATGATTCAGTAAAGGATAATGTGTAACTGTGAATTATTTCATAACTACATATGATCAGATTGATAGTTTATAGTTTTATAGTTTTGTTCCTAACCAATCTATCTTGTTAACCAAATATCATTTCCTATTTATTTTCTATATTTATACAGCTTCTAGCATGAGGATTCATGTTAATCGTTCACGTCAAATGGGTTCAGGTGCTCATGCTATTGTTTGGAGACTAACCGATTTATCTCATTAAATTATCTAAATAATCATCATGATCATTATCATTGTTCAGAACAACATATATAAACGAACAATATTGTTTTCGATTGAATCTTCATCAGGCTTTACTCTAATATACAGTAATATTTATATGCATATACGAAATTATTAAACCAATCAAAGTAGTTTATGAGCCAATGATGATAACAATGGAATAGATTACATAATAAGTGAAATGTACAAATTGATAGTGTAATAACAGGTGAACCGGTTATCATAAACTACCTTGATTATTTTAATGAGTTCTTATATGCATATAAATATTATTGTATATTAGAGCAAAGCCTGATGAGGATCTAATCGCAAACAATATTGTCCACTTATATATGTTCTCAATTTATCTTGATCAAAAACTTTCTTTATCTCTCAGCTTTATACTACTTAAAAAACTAAAAAGTAGTTCAACGTACTTTTTGGGATAATTTCTCGTAATTATAATAATATAATTGATACAAATACATTTTTTGTTCATTCTAATTCTATTTACTATCATGATATGATAGTAAATCTTTTCAATACATTCAAATAAAACATTTTAACATTGAGTATTCACAAATTTACATTATCTAAAGTATATTAATTTGTTGTGCATAGATTATTTCCTATCACTTTGTCTATTACTAATCAGATTAATACTGATTTGACTTAAACACCAATTGTCAATGATAAATCAATTTGATAAAACAATTTAATATTTGTGATAAAAGAGCACAATTTCAATGAAGGATCTCTTTGTGTCTTTCTTTTATTATCTTTATTGATGTCGATATATCTTCAACCGTTATCATCTCCGTTGTTTTTGTCGTTGTCGTCATTGTTGCTATCGTTGTTGTGCAATAATTTATTTATTTGTTCTTCTCTCTATCTCTGCATTTAAGAATATGCCTTTCTTGTTTTTACTAATTATAATTTTCTTTTAAAATTATTTTTTTTGATGAGTTCAATGTTCAAATGAGTGATATTTTGTCGTTTGTATTTTTTTAATTGAAAAAAAGCATTTAATTTGTAAAACTCAGCTACGAAGTAAAACAGATTGGTGTTTATCTAGTTCTTGTCGCTGATCGACATATCAATTAAATTAGAACATGGATTCTTAGTTATGAAACCGTTGTTGCCACCTTGATGTGGTGGTTGGGCTTGCCTATTGTGTCGAACCAATCGAGCTATATTAGCTGGAACAATCGTTCCCCGGGTCCTACCATACCGGAGAACGGTGAGATTAAAAGCAGCAAACCAAAGGTCTGATGGCGAAGTCGTAATTCTGACTGTACAGAGGTGTGACAGCAGTAAGGTGTTTCCTTCAGACAACCAGCATGACAGCAATGCTGCCTTCCCACAAGGAGGGGTGGGGTTAGAAAAGGTCGACCCAAAAATGCAAAAAACGCCTTATCTCAAGGATATCCGTCTTCGGCGATAAGGTCTCAACAAGTACGAAGCAAACACAAGAATCACTCATAGAAAGGTCGTGTGTGACCGACCTCAGGTCTTTAAGTTCACATTTAGTCCTTTTCCGGTGCCTCCGGAAGAACCCTTCCACGGTGTGCGCAACTGGTAGGTGATAACCGCCCTCATACCTCTAACAGCACTCGAGACCATTATATTCATAATCAACCTCTTTTTTAGTTCTTATTATTCCTCCTACATCAACTTTCAACTCTAAACTTCCTCTTTTGGCTTCCTTCTCAAGTGTCACCATTGCCAACGATTCTAGTGCGCAAATCACTGTCACAGGTCTACTGAAACCTAGCTCCAAACTACACATTGGAGTCTTCAACGTACGCATCTTATGTCAAATCGGTCAACAGGCCTCCTTGGCTAGAACTCTAGAATCTCGTACCATTGATGTATGCTGTGTCTCTGAAACACGCATACAGGATCCCAATGTGGTTATTCACTTGACCTCACCTCGGCAAAACGGAGAGCCCTCCGTGTATCTGACGGCCCGATGGCTGGTTCCCGTGAACTGGCAGGTGTAGGCATAGCACTAAGTACGAGGACGCAACAAGCACTATTAGAGTGGATCCCCGTTAATAGTCGTTTATGTGCTGTTCGGCTAAACGGCTCCGTAAGATTGTGGTAGGATAGGGACACGTCGTTGCCTTTTTGTCGTTTCTGCCTACGCTCCCACTGACTGCAGTTCAGATGAAGTGAAAGATGAATTCTACAGAAAGCTTTCTGAACTTCTTCAGAAAGCTAAACGTTCAGATACAGTACTCGTAGCAGGTGACTTTAATGCCCAGGTAGGTAGCTTAAACCAAATAGAAAGGCATTTAGGTGGGTATTTTAGTATTCCGGCTCAGCGAACAGATAATGGTGATCGTCTGCTGCAACTGTGCTCAGACAATCGTTTATTTTTAGCAAACACAAATTTTAAGCATAAGGAGAGACATCGTCCAACATGGCGACCCCCTACACCAAACCAACGACGAACTCAAATAGACCATATTGCCATCAGTCATCGTTGGAGAGGGTCGATAGAAGATTGAAGCTCATTCTGGAGTACCCGCTTGGACTCCGACCATGTTCTAATACGAGCACGCATCTGCTTGCGCCTCACTGGATGCAGAAAAGCAATACCAAAAAGATCCATTAGAACTGAATTGAGTAGCGAGAAAACCAAAAGTAGGTTCCAGGAACAACTGAGGTCATACTTAGGTATTCCTGGAAACGAGGCTGACCCAGATGTTGTTTGGAAAGCTATACAAGCAGCTATGGAAACAGCAGTGACATCTATTAGTAACTTAAACCAAAGAGTTACAAAAAAATCAATGGATTTTTACTAAGTCTATTGCACTGATGGATTCTCGTAGACTCATCCCATCAGGCTCTGAACACGATGAAGACCGAAAACAAATCAGATCTAGGTTAAGCAAGAGTCTAAGGAACGGCCGTGAGCAGTGGTGGGCAACGAAATCAAAAGAGATGGAAAAAGCGGTGGCTTTACGTAGCACACGACAGCTCTACAGACTGATAAAAGAAACGAATTAAGAAGTCAAGTGTGAAACTATTTTGGAAAGAGACGACACTTATCTACTCCAAGTCCAGATGTTTAGAACGATGTGTGGAATATTTTAAGGAGCAGTTCAACTGGCCTTCAGTTACAAAACAACTACCTACCATTCCCAGAGAGCGTGAATGGGACATTGAAGTAGGTCTCTCAACCCTAGCTGAGGTTCAAAAAGCTATAGCTAATCTGAAACGAGGATGAGCAGCTGTTTCAGATGTTCTTAAGAATGGTGGTCTAGTTTTAGCGATTAGGTTGACTAATATTTTAGCTAAAATCTGGGAGTTAGACGTAATTTCATCTGATTGGTCGTAATCACTAATTTGTCCGATATATAGGAAAGGGTTAAAATCATCCTGTGATAACCGTAGAGGGGTTAGTTTGACTAACATAGCATCTAAAATACTATCCTCGTTAATTATCAGACGCCTAACTAAGACTGCAAACACGAGGGAATCAAGCTGGCTTCAGACCTGGTCGAGGCTGCATCGACCACATGTTCATCATTCGTCAGGTTCTAGAACACATGCATGCTTACCGGAGTCCGACAATGATGGTCTTTCTTGACTTAAAAGCAGCATTTGACTCTGTTGACCGCGAGATTCTATGGCATTGTCTGTCATTGAAAGGTGTACCTCAGAAATACATAAAATTTGTCAGGGATTTTTACTCGAACACTACTAGTCGAGTCAGAGCTTATGGGGAATTGTCATCAGATCTTGCAACCTCATGTGGTGTCCGTCAACGTCGTCCAATTTCTCCATTTTTGTTTAACGTCGTCACAGACCTAATGATGGAAATAACGCTCTCACCGACTGAATATTCGGGCATTGATCTCCAAAATGGAGGTTGATTTATCAAATTAGAATACACAGTTGATATGGTCCTGTTTGGTGAAGACGCTGATAAAATGCACAGTCTTCTGATAGCACTGTGCAAAAATGCTAGAATGATTGGAATGCGCTTCTCACCCTCTAAATGCAAGTTATTGCTTCAGGACTGCCCTGCGTCAACACCTGATATGGATATGGAGTGAAGTAGTCGAACGCGTTGACAAATTCACTCATCTCGTAACTCTGATCAATCCTAATTGGTTGATGTCTGACGAAGCCTCAGCATGGATCCAAAAAGCTCGTCTAGCTTTCAACAACTTACGTGACCTATGGCGAAAGCGACATATCCGTTTATAGATTAAGGGATGAGTGTACTTCACGGCAGTTCGTTCTGTTTTACTTTACGGCTGCGAAACGTGGCCATTCAGAGTAGAAAATATTCGTGGGCTACTAATATTTGACCACAGATGTCTTAGAAATAATGTTCAGATTGGCTGAGATCACCGGGTAAGTTAAAGTGAGGTTAGACGTAGGTTATTAGGGAATGATTTAAATCAGTTGATGAGGTTGTAAATATTCATCGACTGAGATCGTTGGGCCACGTGTTACGTATGCCTGATCACCGATTACCATAACACGCAATGCTGAATAGTATTGGGGATGGTTGTAAGAAAGTTAGGGGTGGCCAAGCCAAAACGTGGAATCAGTCCTTCAAGTCACTAACTTCTATTCTGACTCATGTTAGTAGTTGCAGACTACTTGTTTGAGTTCCACGTGACTATGGTAACGAATGGTTGGAGACTGTGGATTACATGGTTGAGAATCGATCACAATGGTGTAGGTGTATACACGCTCTGTTTATGAATCCAGTGTTCATTATATTGTGCTAATGCGGTATGGCAACTTTGACCAACGCATATGTGTGTGTGGCGGGATCATAGATGCACACTGCTGAGGAGTCACATACTAGGATGAAACGGCCGTCCAGTGGTTCCAGGTTTTCCATTGTGGTCTAGCTTCAATTGACTCAATTGGTTTCAACTTATGAAATTATTAAAAATAATCTTTGAAACAATTTGTCATTAGATAACAATTGGTTGTTTGCTTAATCCGACCAGTAGAGATAGTCTAATATTTATTAGATGGGTTAGATATTTCCCAACCCTTATTATTATTATTGTGATTGTTGTTGGTTTTTGGTGTTAAAATATACTTATGTTCTAGTTCGGCTAATCAAGTGTTCTTGATCTGAATTGTATTGAAGTCCTGTAAAGTAGACACTGGAATGGTATGTAGTATAGATATATGTGTAAGGAAAATTAGCGTCCCATTCGTGTAGATGAGGAATACAGATCGTTATCCATCTTATAATTCTATTCATCTTAATAATGTTCGATTTAAACTGATTCATTAAATGTAAACGTCTCACCAATATTAACATCTTTTTACTTAGATCAGCTTCATCTTCTTATCTCACTCTCGAAATATTCTACTGACTAGAGTTTTAGCTTTTATATGAACTTTGGTTATGAAACTTCGTCTTTTGCGGGAATCCACCATGAACCATAACATCAAATAAGTCCTTTTTTTCGTATTTCTATTATTCTTAGAAATCATCATGTTTGTCAAAGAGTGTCATTTAATCTCAATAACATACTTCAATATTACTTGATTCGTGTTCCTGCTGAGTACAATCAACTTCTGGACATTATCTAAGGATAGATAGATCAATAAACCTTTCACTTGTTTTAAATATCACGTAAGTTAACAAACCTACTTATTTTATAAATTCAATCAATTCTAATTTTGGCTTTCAATAAATCAAAATTAATGTACCAGATTCTTGTTTATCACATGGATAACTTTCGTTCGGTTAGGGTGTTGTTTACGAAATTGAGAGGACGAAAACCGAATGTCCCATGCTTTAACCAGGTTTGTAGACACGGAGAGTTCACCTAAGAGAGTTGGGAAACCTTAATTACAAACCAATAACACATATGGGCTCCAATATCCTGAGTGAACAAATGACGTACGAACCAATCGTTGATCACTGGCTACATTGAGACTGCATTTCCTGAGGTTGCTCCACTACCTTATGGATTAGATCTTTAGGTCGAAGACTCCGAGTTTTACCCCCAAAGTAGACTAACTGCTTCTGTATCACAGCTCACATACAAATCAAGTGACTTGTATGGTGCACATATATGTTCGATATATTGTATACTGAAATCATCATTCAAGTGAGATAAAACTTGAAACTTATTCAAAGTATCATCACTATCAAATGACAAGATGCATTAGCAATAATTATCATTATTATTAGTTTTTATCATCATAGATAACATAAAATGAATGTGTAACAATAAATGGGTAATCATGCGCGTGCACACACACACACACACACACGCACAAACACACTGATAGTTATACACATGCATACTTATGCTTTTAATAAAATGTAATATATATATATAATGTGTATATGTATGTATATAAAAATAAACTTATCATCGTATCTGTGCTTAATGTTTACTGTTAAAGAGTCAATAGAAAGTGTTATTGAACTTTGAATATTAAAACAATAAAATGAATATTCTTATTACATTATCATCATTTCAAATTTTATCTAAATTTTCAAAATTGAAAATATTCGAATTGATTGATGGATTATTCTGTGAAATTGTTGATGGACTAAAATGTAAAAAAAAAATACCATAGAAAAGGAAGGTTTTTTTTTTGTAAACAATCATAGTAATATATAAAGGTTTATCAGAACTTAGTAATTAAGTGAATAACGCGATAGTACTGGGTTTAAGTCTCAGTTTGACTATCAAATCTGATATGCAGATATGTTCAGCTGACGAGTCCCAAAATAGAACGAAATGCACTTCCTGGATTCTACTGCTAGCCACTATTTATATTTGCTTAAAAAATTAGTTTATTATCTGATATTTAGATTTATAAGTTTTATAGTTATTATATAATTTATGTTGGAAATTAACTAGAATATAAGAGATTACGATAACTCCTATCATTACTAGACTTACAACTTACGATATTTATTCGTAGTGTAAAGTTTTCTCATTGACAGGAACAAATCAACTAATCCAATTAGTTGAATTCACCGGTCTATTAAAGCTAGACCACTATGTAGAGTCTAGAAGCACTGGATGGCCGTTTCATCCTATTATTGGACTTCTCAGTAGTAGTCCGCATCTACGATTCCACTCGCGGGTTTTGGGTACAGGAACTTTGGTTCCTCGGGCGAACGTTTAACCTCTAGACCACTGAGCTAGCCGGGAACTAACGTTGTTAATATCTACGTTTAACCAATCCAGGATATTGCGCGACCGTCCACCATTGTCTTCAGTGGCCTCAACAACAGATACGGTTGAACTCCACTGATCACGGCTTCTCACTAGAACTCCAATAACTACCTCATGTAGGTCCTGAGTCCGAGTCCCGCCAGCAGGATCGTGGATGATCACTATCATTGAATAGTCCCATACTAGGACTAAACGGCCATCTAGTGCTTCCAGGTATTCCATGGTGGTTTAGCTTTATTCAACTCATCAATTTAACCACTAAAAATTAGTACATTATTAACAAAACCTCATTCTGGTAATAATCCAATTAGGATATAAAAATTAAAGCAATTCATTTCCATTGTAAATGATCATCTTTGTTTAAACAAATCAGATATGCCAATAAGAGATTTATCAGTCCCAAACATCAATGGGAAAATACATGTAAACAATACCAAGTAAATTTAATTATTTTCTACCATCAAATTTTAATTTATTTATTTAAAAATGTACCAAGAGACTGGAAAGAAGGACACCTGACCAAGATACCAAAGAAAGGCGATCTCAGCAAGTGTGATAACTACAGAGGCATCACTCTTCTCTCAATACCAGGAAAAGTCTTCGACAGCGTATTGTTAAATAGAATGAAGGACGCCGTAGACGCCCAACTGTGAGATCAACAGGCTAGATTCCGTAAGGATCGATCGTGTACAGACCAAATCGCAACACTAAGGATCATTGTGAAACAATCAGTTGAATGGAGTTAATGACTTTACATCAACTTCATTGACCACAAGAAAGCTTTAACATTAACAGCCGTCTACACAAAATACTTCAGATTCGTTGGTCAGACACTATCAGCAATAACCTACTATGGGAGAGAACAGATCAGATCCCAACGGAGGAAGAAATCAGGAAGAAGCCCTGGAGGTGGATAAAACATACATTGAGAAAAGCACCGAACTGCGTCACAAGGCAAGCCCTCATATGGAATCCTGAACGCCAAAGAACATATTAAGTCGAGAAACGGAGATGGACATGAGAATAATGAACAACAATTGTATAGAATTGAAAAGGAAAGCTGAGGATAGAGTGAGTTGTAGAATGTTGGTCGGTGGCCTATTCTCCATTGTGAATTACAGGCGTAAGAAAGTAAAGTAAGTAACATAACGCTGAGAATGAGTAGGAAGAACACTTTAACAGAAAAGCCAACAATGTTATTTGAATGTAAATACAAGGATGACCATTAAATTATAACTTACATCATAGAATTCTGTGGTAAACTTCCTGATGCATTGGTTAACATGTTAGTTATAACTGGAGATTTAGGAATTTGCATGTTTGTTGATAACATTTGACTGAAATCATATAACAAAAGTTATTATATTATCATCTTAAAATTTTGAATGATAATTCTACTAACTATTACCATCAAAAAGGTACAAGTATATATAAGCAATTGTCTACTTAAGATACTCGATGTCAGTTGGTCAGATACAATCAGCAACCACCTATTGTGAGAATGGAATAAACCAACTTCCAGCTGAAGAGGAAATTAGGTAAATACGTTGGAAGTTAATAGGACATACATTGAGAAATACATCAAACTGTATCACGAGGCAACGCTGAAGGGAAACGAAAAATAGGAAGGCTGAAGAATGCACGGTATTGAAAATCGTAAGCAGATATGAAAAGGATCAATAACAAGTGGAAAGAACTGGAAAGAATTGTCCAGGACGGAGTTGAATGTAGAATGCTGGTGAGTGATCTATGTTCCTCTATTAAGGGTAACAGGCGTAAGTAAGTATCCTACGAAATTACTGATGAGTACTTGAAGATGTTTACATAATAATCTCTTTGTATATGCATGTTGGTATTTTATTAAATAACATAAATTATTCGTTTAAACATTGGATTTATAGTATGCTTTATTGAAGAGTCTCAAATTACGTCAAAACACTTGTCTAGTATTCCGTGATTTATATACATGTACTTAATGATCCGGTAAGTCAGCCAAATTGGATTTGCATAGTTTATAAATCACCATTAAGAAACAACCTACAGTTATTACTTGCTCTTACAATATTCTACAACACTGCGTATCCACGAAGTCCCCGAGGCTGAAATTCAGGACCATGAGTTCTGTCTCTCAGCGCTTAATTACAAAAGCACAGAGTAGGAATCCAATCAAATCATGATAATACGTGAACGTTTTCCATTGACTATCTTAGATAACTGTCCCATATCCGACATCGTTGAACTTCACTGATTAGAGATTATTACTAGAGCTCTAGGAATTGTATCTTGAGACAGATTAGCGCATGATTGATATTAAATCAGATAGTTCGTTAAGACTGAAGGATACGCATAGTTTAAATCACATACTGAACCTAGCTAGAAAATAGTGAACACGTAACAGATGTTTGTTCCCAGTATACCCTTATTTGTTGTTGTGGATGCGTATTTCAGAGGAGGTACATACAAGAAAGCGAACACTATCCAGAGGCAACTAGTTCTCAGCGGTGGTCTAGAAAATATTATTCAGACTGTAAAACATTCAGAAACTCTGAGTTCTAGAAATAATAGTATGACATTATTTGTATATTTGCTATGGAGCGTTGGCTTACAAGTATATTCAATCAAACTATATTTTTAAAGTATACACATCATTGCTTAAATGATCGATTACATACAAGCATGTCGATCCATAAAAGTAATGTAGAGCAAATTCGTCTGTGAAAAATAGAAATCCAAAAATAAATAAGGAATCTCACTTACGCTGCAGGGACTGCTGTTGCCAATCTTGACATATCACTAGGCATCATCTTATTCATTGAGGTGAGAGGTAGTGTTGACCCTACCAATCCAGCTGGCCTACAAACGGAAATCCAAATAATTAGTCTCACATAAATACGCTGATTCCACACCAACAAATACAACATGCATCTTATTACTCCAACAATGTATGAATGCGAGTTAATAGTTACTGTCACACATTGTCACTATATGGAATCTGCTGTGCGTGCATGTGTGAGTGTACGTGTTTATGTATATATGTATGTATGTGTGTGTTGGTGCCAACTTGACATTGTGAATTGACATATATATAATCTTAGTGCAATTGTTAACATGTATGTAAACTGCGAACCAGTAATTCGTTATGTAGAAATTGTGATACATACAATACACATGCGTTCGCGTTCATACTGCTGTCAGGTATTCACATGTTATCATTTCATTTCTTCATACTGCCATCTTCAATGCCTCGTCAAACGACCGATCCAACCCATTGTGAATTGTGGATCCGATAACATCACAACACAGGTACCGCGGTTTCCGAGGTCACTTACAGTCTCATCAGCCTCAACCAATCCACTCGTCAATTGATGTCAATCAACATGCATACACGCATTCGTGTTTCCATTCATCCGGATCCTCACTTCCAAACACACACACACAAACAAACAAACAAACAACCAACAGCATCACCCTCACCATTGTCGACACCAATTACTCAATTATATACCGAGCTCTCATTCATACGCTGATCTACAAATCAGTGGAACAAACAACCGGCCGCTGACTCACAATATTCGGAATCATCCAACAGCACAGTCAAATTCAAAGCCAAATTACTCAACTCTTACAAACATCTCTTATTCATCATTAGATTCGATTAGACAACGTTACCTTTCACAACAGTAATCATGTTAATTATTACAACCATACATTGCGATCCGTCTTCAGTAAAGCGTGAGGTTTTCAGAAAAAACCAAAGTGTGCTAGAAAACAGACATATGAGTGTTACATGTGTAGGGTAGCAAAAATGGGAGCATGACTCACGATGCAGGAATTGCCGTTGCCAATCTTGACATATCACTAGGCATCATCTTATTCATTGAGGTGAGAGGTAGTGTTGACCCTACCAATCCAGCTGGCCTACAAACGGAAATTCAGATAACCAATCTCATATCATATTTAAGAATATCTGTTTATTTACCCATGTTCGACTTACCGTTTGATACTTTGTTTATCTTTCAATCAAATGCAGAATCTATCATAGTTTTATGCGGTCAATACAAGGATTTCTTAAATAATATCATGATAGACTAATGTGATCTGTATTTTTTTTTTCCTATTAGTTAGTGTTATTATTATCATCCTATTGAAAAATGGTGAATTCTGCTTCTAGTTAACTGAGTTTCGCTAAAAAATGGTGCACGCAATGTCAAGTCACATAGACTGATGGCCACCGTTCAACTTGGTCGATTGAATTCGATCTGCACGAAGAATGTTTTGGTATACATGACATTGACCATCACTCAGTGATCAATCAATAGTTAATAGTTAACCAAGTGTCTGATTATCAGCCTAAAAATTGTATATACTGAAACATTACAATAATCCCGACTTCTCGGTAGTTAAAGTTTAAACGGCCGATCAAATTCTACTTCTTCATCTTATATATATCGCTCTGCGGGATCGTGGATGCACACTGGTGAGGAGTCCCACACTAGGATGAAACGGCGGTTCAGTGCTCCCAGGTTTTTCATAGTAGTCTAGCTACCATTGACTCATTAATCCGATTATATATAAACGTATCAACGTTTTCCAGAGTATAACTTAACAGTATTATTATTATCTTAACGTTGGTTGTAATGACTAGATGTCATAATAAGCTGGTAACAAGAAAATATGATGGCAATAGTAGAGAAAAATCTAATAACTAAAGGTTATATAACTTACGTTCCAACTATTTTTTGAAGACCGCCAGTCATGTTACTTCCTACTGGAGTAAGTGGCATTGGTAAACCTGTTGGTTGAATTGGCCTATTGAAAAATATAAATTGTACAATACGATAATATAATTAATTCTTTTATTATTATCAGAAGGGGTTTTGTAGATATTACATTAATTCTAATGGTTGAATTCATAAGTCAATTGAAGCTAGATCACCATGGAAAACCTGGAAGCACTGGACGGCCGTTTCGTCGTACTGTGGAACTCTTCAGCAGTGCGCACCCACATACTCGCCGCGATATATATATATATGTAAGAGGAAGAAGCGGAATTTGACCAGTCGTTTGAATTTTAACTACTGAGAAGTCGAGATTATTGTATTGACGATTTTGAACTAATCACTAAATTATACGCACTAAGTATTACCAGCCGTATGAGATTGTGTTCATCAACTGATCTGAAGTAGTTTATTGAATACTATGTAATTCATAGTTTGATTTGTTAGCCTATACTGGACATTTAATGTGAATATTTAGTTTAACTAAATCATCTTACCAGCTATCTAAACAATCAAACTATTGATTTAGTGATTGTTATATCTAGATGCTTATGTTCTTGATATGCCACGTATAACTTCAGTACTCGAACGCTAGAATCCTCTCAATTCGCAAGCGAGAAGACAGAACACGAGTGAAAGGAATGTTATTCCAAACAGTGTCAGTTATGGTAGAAAACTGCCGGGTATTTATAGTTTTTAGTAAAAACAAAGTGATCATTAGAGTTATCCAATCCGCACACAGGGGGTTTATTAGCCTTGTCCAATAGGGAAGCTAAACGTGGAGATTCTGGAGTATTCTTCCAAAAGATGACTGGATGGAATATCTTCGGCTCTTTCTGAGCTTCTTAGAGCTTCCTCGAGTTCACCCGTGGACCGTCCTCACAGTAATATTCATTAAAGATGTATTATCCATATAGGTGATTTGGGCTTGTAATTGGTATTTTAAATTTGTACTCTTCATTTGTTACAAACTAATCAATTTTGTGCTACTATTGAAAACGAAGGAGCAATAAAAAGTTATTTTATCATATATAAAACCACTTGTTGTCAAGTACTTTCTATTATTCCATAAGTTGGATATATAATCTTCAGGTTTCTTCTAGAACTCTAAACCATTGAAATTACTGTATCATCATCGAAAAGTGAGATTTCGTCTCTAATCACTTTGAGATATATGGTAGTGATCATCTAACCCCACTGCCAACAACTGTTTTATTCCCAACATGTTTGAGCTTCACTATTTATAATGTCTTGTTAGAGTTTCAAAAGGATATCAAAGTAAGTCACTAGTGAGTAAACTGCTACAATTTATTCAGAGTGTTTATAGATTTATTTAGTTTATTGATTACATTCGTTACAGATTAAGAATCGAATGTTTTGGTCAAGATTTCAACTGGAGTCGATGGTGCCTGTTACGGAAGAGTGTTATATCAGGACGAAACAACTGTTTATTTCTTCTTGACTTACAACACTCTTCCGCCCGAGATTAATCTCTATTAAACTGGTCAGTTCATTACAATAGGTTAATTATTTAGGATTTGTAATACAATAAACCTATAAGTGAGCTAATTTGTGATTTAGGTATGGGAAAATTATTTCAAATGAAATTTAATCAGTGATCTAAAGGTTAAGCGTTTGCGTGCGAGACCAATAGGGTCATGGGTTCGAATCTCGCGAGGCGAATTCGTGGATGCTTACTACCACTGAGGAGTTCCACGAAAAAACGAAACGGCCGTCCAGTGTCCCCAGGTTTTCCGGGGTGGTCTAGCTTCAATTGACTCATGATCTCAACTATTGAAATTTAATATGTTTTATGTATAGAATCATAAAAGTTCCGATTCTCTATTATGAATTGAAGAGGTTTGTATGCAAAATGAATTTTGTAATTACAGTTCATAACTAACTGGTTATTTGACAGGAGAGTTTCACAAATATGATCACTTAAATAAGCCATATTTATATAATAAAACTTTGGTGATAATTACTAACAAATGATTACAAGGTAATGTTTACTCGAATCTTCCTATTGATGTTTAGGACTGCAATTCATCAGTTCTTTATTGGTGTATATGCATACTGTAAATATCAATGACTTATGACTTACGATGCTGGAATTTGTTGACCGCCGTTAATCGGCATACTACCTCTGAGCGCAGACAAGGGGAGTGCAGATCCTGTAAGAGGCAATGCACTGCAGAGAAAAAACACAGGATATCAAGACAATAGGGACTGAAGAAAAGTGGAAGAAATATATGAAACAGATATTTAGTATGGACAATTATCTTCTCACCAAACGAAAAACTGATAATCGAATCAATCTATGGAATTAGTGGTTAGAGTAGAATCGTTTGTATTTGTTAAGACTGAGTAAATAAATGTAAAGTGGAACTTAGAAATTTGTTTTTTAGTGAGTTAGTCAATTAGATACAACTTAGGAACAGGCATATTTATGAAACGGTTCAAGTTGGCACACTTCATTAGCACGACAAGATGAATACCGGATTCATAGAAGTAGTTAATTCAGAGGTGATAATATATAAAAGAAAGATTGCACATAAGGATATAGTACAGGAAGAAGGAATTAGTTCATAGAAACAAAGATATAAATCAATTTTAATCTCAAATTTAAGGGAAGACAATGAGTGTACACATTTATACCATTGTGATCGATTCTGAGCCATGTCACACAGAATCTCCAACCATTGATTATCATAGTCACGTGGACCTCAAACAAGTAGTCTTTATCTACTGACATGAGTCAGACTAGAGGTTAGTGACTTGAAGGACTGATTCCACGTTTTCGTGTGTCCGAGCCTATCTTTCTACCACATGTTTACCACACTAGTCAGCATTGTGCGTCGTGGTAATCGTTGTTCAAGGATACGTAACACGCGGCTCAACGATCTCAGTCGATGAATATTTACAACCTCATCAACTAATTTACATCACTCCCTAATACCCTACGTCTAACCTCACTTTTACTTACCCGGTGATCTCAGCCAATCTGAACATTATTTCTAAGACATCTGTGGTCAAATATTAGTAGCCCACGAATATTTTCTACTCTGAATGGCCACGTTTTGCAGCCGTAAAGTAAAACAGAACGAACTGCCGCGAAGTACACACATCCCTTAATCTATAAACGGATATGTCGCTTTCGCCATAGGTCATGTAAGTTGTCGAAAGCTAGACGAGCTTTTCGAATCCATGCTGAGACTTCGTCAGACACCAACCCATTAGGATTGATCAGAGTTACGAGATGAGTGAATTTGTCAACGCGTTCGACTACTTCACTCCATATCCTTAGTTCAGGTGTTGACTTAGGCCAGTCCTGAAGCAACAACTTGTGTTTAGAGAGAGAGAGAAACGCATTCCAAACATTCCGGCATTACTGCATAGTGCTATCAAAGGACTGTGCATTTTATCAGCGTCTTCACCAAGCAGGACTACATCATCTGCGTATTTGAATTCGATAAGTGAACCTCCATTTTGGAGATCAATGCCCGAAGATTCAGTCGGTGAGAGCGTTATTTCCATCATTAGGTCTGTGACGACGTTAAACAAAAATGGAGAAATTGGACAACCTTGACGGACACCACATGAGGTTGCAAGAGCAGATGACAATTTCCCATAAGCTGTGACCCGACTAGTAGTGTTCGAGTGAAAAGCCCTCACAAGATTTATGTACTTCTGAGGTACACCTTTAGTGAATATATGTGTATACGCATATTACAAGTTGTTAGGATCTGAAGAGAAGCTAATCAAATAATATTCAATTCATAATGTTTTGATCAAATCTGAATTCTGACTCTCTTCAAAATTCTAAACTTGCCACTTAGTTCTAATTCATCATATATTCTGTTCCATTCCAGTTTATATAATCACAATAGTCTAAATAATACAAGTTACTTGATGACGATTTTAAGTGTTCTGATCGGTAGTTTAGGAATAAGAGGAATTGTCTTAGGTAATCAAGTATTAACTGGGTTAATGCGATTATAAGTGTTAGCACAGTATACAATATTACAACAAAATTTCCTTACTGCATCTGTGTTAATCGACAAAACGTGTGCATTATATTAATCCATAGATGAATGTATACTACAAACATGGATCATTGATCATTATAAAAAGAAGGTGAAACAAAGAATTTTTTTGTGTTTCCATAGTAACGAAACATTTTGACAAAAACTGTGTGACTCACCTTCCAACTCTTTGTGGAAGACCGTCAATCATGTTACTCGCTGTTGGAGTAAGTGGCATTGGTAAACCTGTTAGTGGAACTGGCCTGTTGAAAAACATAAATCGTAAATTCATAAAAATGTGAATCCAAAAGTCATGTACTCTTTGGTGACTAGTTTCGAGATAAGTTCAAGTGAGAAGCCATGACAAGTGGAGTTCGACCGTGTCAGGTGATTAGGGTTAGGAATTACAGTTAAGGTTTTCATCACGAACTGACATCAGCTATAATACCGAAACTCTATCTAAATAAATGAAGTAAATGGAGTTTGTGAAAAAATCTGAGACCCGTCAACCTAAATCCGATTGGCTCGTCCATAAACTATAGATTTACCGAAACGTCTAACACTTCAAAGAAAAAAAATTAATGAATTATGACTTACGATGCTGGAATTTGTTGACCGCCGTTAATCGGCATACTACCTCTGAGCGCAGACAAGGGGAGTGCAGATCCTGTAAGAGGCAATGCACTGCAGAGAAAAAACACAGGATATCAAGACAATAGGGACTGAAGAAAAGTGGAAGAAATATATGAAACAGATATTTAGTATGGACAATTATCTTCTCACCAAACGAAAAACTGATAATCGAATCAATCTATGGAATTAGTGGTTAGAGTAGAATCGTTTGTATTTGTTAAGACTGAGTAAATAAATGTAAAGTGGAACTTAGAAATTTGTTCCTTAGTGAGTGAGTCTGTGAATTCCATTTTGTGCCCTTCAGAGGCTGCTGCCGGTCTCAAGTCTCAATGAAGGTGGAATCTTGGGATAGGGTTAGCGACCCCATCCCGTAGAATGCTAACTCGCTTAAAAAAAACGCTAACCATAAACATTTATTCAAACCATTTACACTGTGCCCTGGGTGTCAGAAGTTCTTTATTTAGAAGCGTTATGACGCCTCATGATGAAAGCCGAGTATCTTTGGAAGTCACGAGGCTGATGGTTCTTCTCCCAACCATTTATTTAGGTAAATCGCATGGCTCGTACTATGTGGGAGATTGGAAGAGTCTTTCAAATTGCTCCAGAAATGAGAAGTTACAAACTAGAGGTGCTTGGGATCAGTGGAATATGTTGGACGCAAGCTAGACAACAACGACTAGCTTCAAGGGAACTTCTGCTATACTCCGGCCATGATGAAGAAAATGCCACACATGCGCAAGGAGTTGCATTAATGCTGTCCAAACAAACACAAAATGCACTTATGGGATGAGAATCTCATGTACCAAGGATCATCAAAGCCTCCTTCGAAACAAAGAAAGGGGGCATTTCAATGAACGTCATTACGATGCTATGCGCCTACCAACGACTACAATGAAGACGCCAAAGATCAATTCTACAATAGGCTGTAGTCAATCGTCAAAAAGTGCCCAACAATGGACTTGACCATTCTGATGGGAGACTTCAATACCAAGGTTAGAATGGACAACACTGAATATGTAGACATTATGAGACGACTTGGACTGGAAGAAAGAAACGAAAATGGTGAGAGATTTGCAAACCTATGTGCCTTCAATAAACTGGTCATAAGCGGTACTATATTCCCATACAAACGCATACACAAAACCATATGAACTTCACCGGATGACACTACGCAGAACCAAATCGACCATATCTGCATCAACAAAAAATTCAGGAGGACGATGTTGGATGTGAGAAACAAGAGAGGAGCTGATATAGCCTCAGATCGTCACTTGCTGGTCACCAAGGTGAAATTTAAACTGAAGAAGCACTGGACGACGGGAAGGACAATAACACAAAAGTTCAATAGGGCTTTCTTTCGGGATACTGACTAATCCAACAAATTTAAGATAGCCCTCAGCAATAAGTTCCATGCCTTTCATGATCTACTCAATGGAGAAGTAACTACCATGGAGAGCAACTGGAATGGGTTCAAAGAAGCAATCACTTTAACATGTCATGAGGTTCTGGGCCACAAGAAGCACCACCACAAGGAATGGATCACTGTTGATACATTGGATAAGAGTCAAGAAAGGAAGAACAAGAAGGCAGCAGTCAATACCAGCCGAACATGAGCAGAAAAAACCAAGGCACAAGCTGAATACACAGAAGTAAACAAGCAAGTGAAGAGGAGCATCAGAACTGACAAACGTAAATATGTGGAAGATTTGGCAATGACGGCAGAAAAGGCTGCAAGATAAGGAAACATGAGACAATTGTATGACATAACAAAAAAACTCTGGAAATCATCGTAAGTCGGAATGACCAGTGAAAAGCAAGGAGGGCAAAGTAATTTCCAACATCAAAAAAACAGCGAAACGGGGGGGTAGAACACTTCGAAGAACTCTTGAATCGTCCAGCTCCACTGAACCAACCCAAAATCGAAGTAGCACTCACGGACCTCCCAATCGATGTTGGCGTTTGACAGCATGGACAGGAAAACACTCTGGGGGCTTCTTCGACACTATGGCATGCCTGAGAAGATAATCAATATCATACGGAATTCCTATGATGTATTAAACTGCAGAATCATGCATGGACGACAGTTGACATACTCGTTCGAAGTAAAGACCGATGTCAGGCAAGGTGGCTTACTGCTACCTTTCCTCTTTCTCCCGGTGATCGACTGGATCATGAAGACGTCAACATTTGGAGGGAAGCATGGGGTACAGTGAACATCCAGGATGCAGTTCGACGATCTATATTTCGCATATGACCTGGCTCTTCTATCGCAAACGCAACAACCGGTGCATGTGAAGAAGACCATTGTAGCAGCAGCCTTAGGAGCAGTAGATCTCAAGATACACAAAGGGAAAAGCAATATTCTCCGAAACAAAACAGCACATACCAATCGAATCACACTTGACAGAGAAGATTGGAAGGATGTAAAAACCCTTACATATCTGGGCAACATCAGTGATGATCACAGTGGATCTGATGCAAATGTGAAGGCGCGGATAGGCATAGAGAGAGCAGCATATTTACAACTGAAGAACATCTGCAACTCAAAACAACTGTCAACCAACACCAAGGTCAGGATTTTTAATACAAATGTCTGGACAGTTCCGCTGTATAGGGCAGAAACTTGGCGAACTACAAAAGCCATCATCCAGAAGATACAAGTGTTTATTCTACGGTGAGACTATATGTTATGGACGACATTTGAGCAATGGTAAAAAGACCGTGAGAATGTCTACGTAAACACTACGTCCAAATCAGTGCTATAAATCGGTTTGAGAAATTAAGATTAATATTTACGGTTGATGAGAACGTTAATTCTATCAATAGGTCTATGATGAAGTGATAACAATAAAGATTCTGATTTAAAGTTAGAGTTAGGAATTACAGTTAAGGTTTTCATCACGAACTGACATCAGCTATAATACCGAAACTCTATCTAAATAAATGAAGTAAATGGAGTTTGTGAAAAAATCTGAGACCCGTCAACCTAAATCCGATTGGCTCGTCCATAAACTATAGATTTACCGAAACGTCTAACACTTCAAAGAAAAAAAATTAATGAATTATGACTTACGATGCTGGAATTTGTTGACCGCCGTTAATCGGCATACTACCTCTGAGCGCAGACAAGGGGAGTGCAGATCCTGTAAGAGGCAATGCACTGCAGAGAAAAAACACAGGATATCAAGACAATAGGGACTGAAGAAAAGTGGAAGAAATATATGAAACAGATATTTAGTATGGACAATTATCTTCTCACCAAACGAAAAACTGATAATCGAATCAATCTATGGAATTAGTGGTTAGAGTAGAATCGTTTGTATTTGTTAAGACTGAGTAAATAAATGTAAAGTGGAACTTAGAAATTTGTTTTTTAGTGAGTTAGTCAATTAGATACAACTTAGGAACAGGCATATTTATGAAACGGTTCAAGTTGGCACACTTCATTAGCACGACAAGATGAATACCGGATTCATAGAAGTAGTTAATTCAGAGGTGATAATATATAAAAGAAAGATTGCACATAAGGATATAGTACAGGAAGAAGGAATTAGTTCATAGAAACAAAGATATAAATCAATTTTAATCTCAAATTTAAGGGAAGACAATGAGTGTACACATCTATACCATTGTGATGGATTCTGAGCCATGTCACACAGAATCTCCAACCATTGATTACCACAGTCACGTGGAACCCAACCAACTGGTCTTTATCTACTGACATGAGTCAGACTAGAGGTTAGTGACTTGAAGGACTGATTCCACGTTTTCGTGTGTCCGAGCCTATCTTTCTACCACATGTTTACCACACTAGTCAGCATTGTGCGTCGTGGTAATCGTTGTTCAAGGATACGTAACACGCGGCTCAACGATCTCAGTCGATGAATATTTACAACCTCATCAACTAATTTACATCACTCCCTAATACCCTACGTCTAACCTCACTTTAACTTACCCGGTGATCCCAGCCAATCCAAGCATTATTTCTAAGACATCTGTTGTCAAATACTACTAGCCCACGAATATTTTCTACTCTGAATGGCCACGTTTCGCAGCCGTAAAGTAAAACAGAACGAACTGCCGTGAAGTACACTCATCCCTTAATCTATAAACGGATATATCGCTTTCGCTATAGGTCACGTAAGTTGTTGAAAGCTAGACGAGCTTTTCGAATCCATGCTGAGATTTCGTCAGACACCAACCCATCAGGGTTGATCAGAATTACAAGATGAGTGAATTTGTCAACGCGTTCGACTACTTCACTCCATATCCTTAGTTCAGGTGTTGACGCAGACCATTCCTGAACCAATAACTTGCATTTAGAGGGAGAGAAGCGCATTCCAATCATTCTGGCATTATTGCATAGTGCTATCATAAGACTGTGCATTTTATCAGCGTCTTCACCAAACAGGACTACATCATCTGCGTATTTGAATTCGATAAGTAAACCTCCATTTTGGAGATCAATGCCCGAAAATTCAGTCGGTGAGAGCGTTATTTCCAACAGTAGGTCTGTGACGACGTTAAACGAAACAGGAGAAATTGGACGACGTTGACGGACACCACATGAGGTTGCAAGATCTGATGACAATTCCCCATAAGCTCTGACCCGACTAGTAGTGTTCGAGTGAAAAGCCCTCACAAGATTTATGTACTTCTGAGGTACACCTTTAGTGAATATATGTGTATACGCATATTACAAGTTGTTAGGATCTGAAGAGAAGCTAATCAAATAATATTCAATTCATAATGTTTTGATCAAATCTGAATTCTGACTCTCTTCAAAATTCTAAACTTGCCACTTAGTTCTAATTCATCATATATTCTGTTCCATTCCAGTTTATATAATCACAATAGTCTAAATAATACAAGTTACTTGATGACGATTTTAAGTGTTCTGATCGGTAGTTTAGGAATAAGAAGAATTGTCTTAGGTCATCAAGTATTAACTGGGTTAATGCGATTATAAGTGTTAGCACAGTATACAATATTACAACAAAATTTCCTTACTGCATCTGTGTTAATCGAAAAAACATGTGCATTATATTAATCCATAGATGAGTGTATACTACAAACATGGATCATTGATCATTATAAAAAGAAGGTGAGACAAAGAATTTTTTTGTGTTTCCATAGTAACGAAACATTTTGACAAAAACTGTGTGACTCACCTTCCAACTCTTTGTGGAAGACCGTCAATCATGTTACTCGCTGTTGGAGTAAGTGGCATTGGTAAACCTGTTAGTGGAACTGGCCTGTTGAAAAACATAAATCGTAAATTCATAAAAATGTGAATCCAACAATCATGTACTCATTGGTGACTAGTTTTGAGATAAGTTCTAGTGAGAAGCCATGACAAGTGGATTTCGACCGTGTCAGTTTTGAGACAATCATCTACCGAAGGCAAGGGAATATGGTCGTGCAACACCATATGTTGTTTGAAATAAGACATTCACATCATTGGATGCCGGCTTGGTGATCTAGATGTTTAGTGTTAATGTGCGAGATCGAAGATTCCGGATTTGATTCCTACGTGCCGACTCGTGCGTGCACAATACCAATGAAAAAGCTACTCAGTGCCTACAGATTTTCAATGGTGATCCAAACTGGATTGGTTCATGAATTTAAATAAATCATATAATCCGACAATATAATGAAGTTTTTCGTTTGTGATCTTCAACCAATTACCAAAACACATTAATCAGATATTGACATTGAAATGAATATAACTTTGATGAGAGTGTATTCCCTAATTCATATGAAATAGTTTAGTGGATATTATGTAATCTATAGTTCATTGTGTCAGCCTATACTGGACATTCAAAGTGAATATTTAATTTTAGGAAATGATCCAAATAGTTGTCTAGTTTAATTTATATGTCAGTAAACTAAAATTGACAAGTCATTCAATTATTCGACAGTGAATCATGATTAAAATCAACAATTTTTTAAGTAGTTTATTCAACATATAGGTATCTAACTTAATACAATGAAAGATGGTTGCTCAGTTTTGTGGATTATTTGAAATTAGACATTTATACCATTGAATGCCGGCTTCGTGGTTTGGAAGTTGAGCGTACGCAGGCGAGAACGGTAGGTTCTGGGTCTGAATCCCGCAAGCGGAGTCATGGATATGCACTGCTGAGGAGTCCGATAATGAGTTGAAATGGTCATCCAGTGCTTCCAGGTTATCAATGGTGATCTAACTTCAATCGATTCATGATCTCAATGAAACAAATTCTAAACGTTGAAACGGATTGAGTATTGAATTCTCCTAACCATTTTACTGATTATTATTACTGTTAGACAGTTTTCTAATGAAATAAATTATTATATGCTCATATTATATAAACTCTAAGTGACTGTCAGATAGCGTAACTATTGTCAGGCGTTTACCATTATTCTAATTGGTGTTCACGGATTATTCACTTATTGCTTCATGTCTTTAAAATACTGTAGTTCGATTGTATGAAAAGTACGATTTTTGGGGAGGGTTTCCGGAAGTCAACAAGAAACTATGAACATAGGTTTTGTGCTATTTGGTACTCATCAGCAAGACGTATACGTAGCATCAAGAAAATTGATGAAATTCGATGGATTGGAAGCCACGCCACCCTACTCCATAGTCAGAGACTTTTTCACAAAACTATCCAGACACCGACTCACTTTCTGTAAGACTGAGATGTATCTATAATTGACTGATCAATGGGCTATGATAGTTACAGGTACACCATCGTAACGAGCGACAAGTAGCATGAAGCCTAGGTCCAGGGTTTTCGTCAACTACCTCCAACCACCACCTTGTATCTCAGCTTAGTGCACACGATATTGAGTCACCTATACTGATAGTTACATCACAACTTGTTCGATAAAATTCGATACGCACTAAGAAGGGCCTGGCAAACATAACATTGATTACTACCCAGTGATCATCTCATTGCAAAAAATATGTTCCTTTGCTTAGGATCTGTCGTGGTTTAAATGATCATCTTGATAAATCCATAATGGTTCGAAATATAATAATAATGTTCCCTGCTCACAATGTTTTCATTTTGGACTAGATTTTAGGATAGAAGAAAGGCGTGCATGATGATCTACTAGTGGCAATTTAATGTTGGCCGTTGTCTATCGAAGCATATCATAAGTCAAAGCTTAGGCTGTTTGTCTGTAAATGAAAACGTTTATTACATGTATACAGAATTACAGCCCAGATTCTTATCCATCAATCGACTAAGGAACATATAAGAAAACCATATTTTCATAATAATGGATAAGTTGGCTTATCATTTTCCTATGCTGGTATAACAAAATTTATCCAATTACATTAGTTAAGGGCATGAATACTCCAGTTAATCATAAACTCCAATAAACTTAAAACTCACGACGCTGGAATAGATGTTAATGCTATTGGGCTATCTGTCACTGAAGCACGAGCCATTGAAATGGACCTACAAAAACATAATAAAGTAAGAATCTCATGCAAATGTGTCTTGGTAGATATATCTCACTAGATCGGTTCGTAATCTTATCACATTGAACGATCTCCACAGTGCTGTCGTGATAATTATCATGTGCTCACTAGTGACTAGCTCTGAGAGGAAATCTCAAGAGTTCTAGTGAATTTCAACTGTGTTGGTTATGAATAAGGTACTTATGGAAGAAAATTGGACCAAGTAACTCAATATCGTCAGTCGATTGAAGTCAAACCTGTACACTATTGAATTCACGCCCTGTAGTTTCAAGGATAAGCGTCCGTTCGCGAAATCGTGGTTCTTTCATTTGGTCTTCAGGTATGGGTCCGTGGATACACATCGATGAAGAGCTCCATCCCTGAACGAAACAGCTATCCAGTGTTTGTGTTTAACTTAGACTAGTCATCAATTTCAATTAAATTCAACGATCTCCAAAACACCATACTGGTAAACCAAAAGGTCACAAAATCAAACTATTATATCCTGAGGACAATGTAGATAGCGAAATAGATAAATTAAAGAATGCATCACGAAATAATGGATATCCAGATAATTATGTATGAAATTTCTGTCAGAAGGTAAAAACAGAACAAACTCCGGCAAGAAAACTTGATTTTAATGGGGATATAGCGAGTAATGTTTTAACAAGTCGATTCAAATAATCTAATGAAATGGTATTTTATAACACCGAGTTATATATAATCTTCTCAAACAAACTAGTACTTAAACAACAAATTAAGGATAGGTTACTGATAATGAGGTCCTCCATTTGTGTACATCAATTTAACTGCTCCTGTGGATATAGTCACACAGGGCATACTCAGAGGGCTTTATCCTTGCTTGCTGGTGAACATGCACCAGCATGTTTGGCAAAAGAAATCACGAAATCTGTTAACAACGTCATTTTTTCTCATTTGACAGATAGTGAACAGCATATAAAAATAGACGAAGCTTCCCCTATTTTTTATCAAGCTCTTAACAATCTACATAACGGAGCGAGATTACGATTCTTCTACATACCTGAAGCCGCCTGGATCAACTCCTGAAAATCTAACTTATGTATCCAAAAGAGGTATATCTGGCCCCCATGTTTACCTTGGTCCAAGACTAGATCACTAGATACATAAACTAGATGTTATAAACGTCGTATCACACCTCCTAATAGCTTAAGTGCTTATAACTTCTTTAATCTACCCAGTCAGCTTTCCCAATTCACATGAGTTATCTATACTAATTACTTTGACATATTATATCCACGGTTCTGCTGTATGGAGCGGAAACTTGGAGAACTATGAAAGCCATCATCCAGAAGATACAATTGTTTATTAACAGTTGTCTACTCAAGATACTTCGGATCCGTTGACCAGACATTATCAGCAACAACCTACTGTGAGACAGAGTGAGTTGTAGAATGGTGGTCGGTGGCCTATTCTCTGTTGTGGGTAACAGGCGTAAGTAAACAAGTGAGTACGTAAGTAAGTTAGTAGGGTACGCATTAACAGATAAGAGTGAGTGCTGAATAAATGTCTCAAAAAGGTTAGTAAGTGTAATGATATTGCTGACAATGGTAAGATGTGTGAATAAGATAAGTTTAAGATATAAAAATGGACATCATTCAAATTATGTCATCATATCATAAAATTGGTTTTTATCTAGTTGACCCCGAAGTTGGCCAGAGTAAAAGGAGCGGTTGAATATATTTTTTTCAGATGCAAAACTCTGATTGTTTTTTATCCGAATCGCAATTGCTTCAGCCGTCTGCAGGATTCTCACGCTGACGGAATTAGATAAACTGCTGTTAACACGATATGTTAAGCCGATAGTTACCTATTTACCTAGGTTAAACGAACTACTGAAGGTACACAAACCGGATATCCCTTTGAGACTAATTTTGGACATGCACGATTCCTCTTATCATACTGTGGCAAAGCGGTTAGTATCCGTTTTAAAACTACTCTACAAACATCTGGTGAAGCATAGTATCATGAACTGATCAATGTTAGATCAATGTATTAACTTTCGACACAGCCAAAATAAGGGATGCATTAAGGAATTATGCGTAAAAAATGGTGAACTTTATCATATAATACAACATAGGTACTTCACTGTTGTGTTATTTATAATTTAGAAAGGTCATTTAATAAAGATCAGAATGATTCGTAATAAGGTGTCAAGTTGTTCTCAATATTATAATAATACAATAAATCATGTGAATAAAATACGTAGTAGGGGAATTTCGTCTCGTTACTCGAGGTAATAATAATTACTTACGTACTTATTTAATTACGCCTGTTACCCACAATGGAGCATAGGCCACCGACCACCATTATCCAACTTACTCTGTCCTGGATCTTCCTTTCTAGTTCTATACAATTGTTGTTCATTATTCTCATGTCTGTCTCCATTTCTCGACTTAATATGTTCTTTGGTCTTTCTCTTCTTCTTTGGCCTTGAGGATTTCATTTGAGGGTTTGACTTGTGACGCAGTTGGGTGCTTTCCTCAATGTGTGTCCTATCCACTTCCAGCGCTTCTTTCTGACTTCTTTCTCCACTGGGAACTGGTCCGTTCTCTCCCACAGTAGGTTCAAGTTGTCATACATCAATTCTTGCCTAATCCATATTATTCTACATACAACGTAATTTTGGACTTTTAGTTACATTATTCTCTCTCTCACCTCATGTTGACCATACTTATTCTGATCATTCATTTCACTTATAAACTGATTCAAGTTAACACTTCATATTAGTCATCCCAACATTAACGATGGCAAACAATCCTTGGTTAACATGTTACAATTGTATATGTACTTTGCCTAGGACCTAGCCAGTTTCATAAATTATTAAGTTGGATATATAATCGTAGAACTTAATGAGAAAGAAGTATTTCCTATAGTTCTAACGAGAAGCTGTGACCAATGGAGTTCTACCAGGTCTGTCATGGGATAATAACTCAATGAAGACAATGATGAACGGTCTCACAATATCCTGAATTGGTTGAAGTTAACATTAACACTGTTGGATGCCGGCCGGCTCAGTGGTCTAGAGGTTAAATGTTCACGCACGAGACCGATAGGCCTTGGGTCTGAATCCTTTGAGCGAGATCGTGGATGCTCACTACCACTAAAAAGTGTCTTACTAGGACGAAATGGTCGTCCACTGCTTCCAAGTTTTCTATGATGTTCTAGTTTTAATTAACTCATGAATTCAATTGTGTTTGAATTAGAGTAATCCAAGTGTCGGATATCATATGTCACATCATTTATTATCTGTAAATTAGAAAAAATAATCAACCCCGCCTGTAGCTCTTCTAGAGTTACTAGCGGTTCCAAACTCAAGCAAAGAAGGAGGATTGAGCATGGGGTTAGCGACCACATCCCATAGAACACTAACTCGTTAAAAAACCCTAACCAGGAAAAATAATTATTACTAGTGGGAGGCCTGTGCTCCTCCACGAGGAGTAACAGACGTGACTCTATCTCTCTAGAAAAAAATAATCACACCCATCTCTCTCTCTATATATATATATCTATTTCATATTCATACAGAACACTTACTGATCTGGATCAAGTTGAATTTTATTTTTATCTAACTTTGATCTCCATGATTTAGTTTCTTTTAATTTATTCAATGTTGCTAAATCAGTTGATGCTAAAATGGAACTATTCCTTCGTCGACGTCTACGTAATAAACAAATAAGTAATAAGATCAATGCAGCCAATAATAGTAATGATGCTAAAACAATTAATGCAATTGCAGCTGGATGTACTACAATGAAAATATAAAATAAAAAGTAATTAATTCTATTTTAGTTACATAGATTAGATTATATTACATAATAATTAAGTTATAATAATATAGATTGTATTCATCATAGGCTGATTTGAATAGGAGATAGTCTTGTGAATTGCCTAGTTTTATTTGAGTACCTACTTACATCTGTAACTCTTTCAGTAATATAACCCACTTATTAAGAATCTTTAACCCACTCTGTTCTAAGTTCTACTTTTCAGTTATTTCTAAGTGCTAATAACTCTTTTGATGTCTACCTTCAATTTCAAATGACTAAATACTTGTTAGTTAGTTATTTCGTATTAGTATTAGATTCCTGAACAATGTGCATCTATGATCCTTTCAAGAACTGAACTCAGGACTCTTATAAATAAAAATAATATATTTGTAATATCCCAATGAGTAGAAAATTGGATTTTTCTGACGTTTCGTGACTTAGTGTAAGTCACTTCTTCAGAGAACAAATAACCAAATTAAAATTCATCCAAGTTTAAATAGTACAACGGAACAATGCTCAATTTATTCGAAATTATCAAATCAAACCTTGGTAATGACACCTTCAGGACTCTTATGTCCCGTAGTGAGCTCTCAACTATATGTACACTTCCATCCTTATTCAATTTGTGATGTGTGCTACAGTTATTCAACACCATTGGTAATACAATAATTACATATCTGAACACCAAAAGTCATAATAGATACCTAGTGTTTTTTTGGTTTTTAATGGTGACCCAACTAAGATCAATCTGATACAAAAATACGATACCAAAACTGAATTGTTAATTAATGATTGGAAATCTCAATTTGACATCATTATGTTAAATTACTTTCTATCCAAATACAAAGTCATTAGTGAATTATTAGTATGATATGGGTTAGTTGAACAATAGGTAACTCTTGTATTTCTACTGAGAAACCATAACCAAAGAAGTTCAATCCGTTTTGTGTGTCAGATAGTTATTCACCTCAGGTAATGGGTGAAAGTTACGCAATATCTTGAATTCACTGAAGTTAAACATTAATATCGTTGAACTTTGGCTCAACAGTTTACAGATTAAGCGATCATGACTGAAATAAAATAAAAAACAACATCTAAATGATAACATGTTTAACATCTGAGCATCGTTTCCTTGACAGTTGAAAGAAGGGAAGGTAGTTATGAGTTTCAATCACTAGTTAACTAAAATGAAGTTCATTTTAAACAAATAAAGTAACTGATAAATTGTGCTAATCAAAAGTCATCAAATGAAAAAGGTATGTCATGCTAATGAAAAGTTCATGTTATTGACCGATAAGTGGTTTTGTCTTCTAAACGAGCACTTTCGCATTTGATTTCGTTTAGCTGAATGAGTTTCTCCCTTGATTGTTAACCTTCTCATTCAGAAAACGAATAGATCTTGCGTATAGAATATCTACGTATCAGTATCAGTTTCGAATGATGCTCCTTGTGGCACACCTTATTGAGTTAGTAAAGACATTGAACACCTTCCACAAAGTACAATGTAATGTTCTTTTCCAGACACGTGAGAACACAGTGAGTTGGTATATCCAACTGTCAGTGTTAACGATGGCGAACTTCTGAAGTACTAGTGATCTTGGTATAGTGTCAAAGAGAGAATCATAGTTAAGAAACGAGCGTCAAATATACTCCTTATACGTTGAAAAAGATACTTGTGAATGGGTAACTGGTAAGAAAATATTGAAAAATCTTCTGTCCAAATTCTTGATATCAATGATTTAAGTACGTACAACCGAAATCAAATACAACTCCAGGAATCAGGTTACTCTATCCGATTTTGGTTGTTAATTCTAATGGTAATGATCACATACTTTTAATTTATAACTGATGAGATAATAAGGTATTTACCAAGTGAAAGATTGAGGTTGTCAAAATATTAGATCTATACAGCTCAAGGAATTTACCATTGTATTTATTATTTGTGCGTTCATTCAATGACCATCCAAGGCCATTAAGACAATATATATCTGAAACAAGTGAGTGCTATTTGGCTTGACAATGTGTATCAGGATACGCAACTGTGAATTGATAGCGTATCTGCCTCAAACTATTCAATAAATATAAAAGATTTAGCATTTTTCCATTAGCTTAATGAGTAAATATTACCCTATAGGAGAATAATTTTCATTGGGGACTTCATTTCATGCTTTGAATTTCGCTTCATTTGATTTTTTAAATCCGGCAGATTGGGATGTGCTACAGTAGACTGTTCACAGGAGAAAATATTTAGTTAACTTTATATGATGAAAATTAAGTCTTCGTTGAAAATTACTCTGTTACATAACAGCGACACGTTAAATGAACGGAAAATGCTCGAAAAATGCTAAATATCTTGCTTTCATTGAAAATTGATCAGTGGAGCTAATCCATGTCGGATAGAGACAAGTATCTACCTCAATAAAATGGAAGATGGTCGCACGATTTCATGGATTGGTTAAGGTTAGACATTAACACTGTTGGATATCGACTCAGTGGTCCAGAGATTAGGCGTTCGCCCACGTGACCGGAGGTCCTGTGTTCGGATCCCGCGGGCGGGATCGTAGATGCACACAACCGAAGAGTCTCACACTAGGACGAAACGACCGTCCAGTCCTACCAGATTTTCATTAGTCACATATCAATGTTAATCAAGTATTATATATATTTTTATGTTATGCTTTCAATCGGTGTTTTTAAATGGAAAGAATCAACTTAACAAAATTAACTTGGATTTAAAAACACTTAGTTATATAATATGAATAATCAAATCTGCATTACTTACAAGCACATTGTTTTCCAGGATCATTTGGATTCATATCTTTCCACATAGAATTACAAAAGCAAGTAATACCTGGGGGTGAATCACGGCATGTAGCATGTTCTCCACATGGATTAGTAAATTGTGAACATGTAACTGTACCTGAAGTGCCTATTATAGTAGGTGTTTTTAATAAAAGACAAAATCAATATTGGAAAGTGTTATAACTCAATTGAAAACAAAGTAAACCAGTTTGATAGTTTTATTTGACAAAGTTTTAGATTGATTAAAAACAAATTATTTCTGTTATATCATTCTGTTTTCCTTGTCTATAACCGACTTCCAGTTGAAGAGGATATTGGGAAAAAATGTTGGAAGTGGATAGGACATACATTACGCACATCGTCAAACTGCATCACGATGCAAGCCCTAACTTGGAATCCTGAAGGGAAGCAGAAAATAAGAAGGCTAAAGAACACATGACGTCGAATAATAGAAGCAGATACGGAAAGGATGAATAACAACTGGAAAGAGCTGGAAAGGATTGCCCAGGGTTGGATGGAGAATGCTGGTGGGCAGCCTATCCTCCTCCACGAGGAGTAACAGGCGTAAGTTTCCTCGTCTACACGAATGGGACGTTAATCTCCCACAGACGAATATCTATACTACATACCCTTCCATTTTTTATTCTGCAGGACTTCAATGCAATTCAGATCAAAAATACGTGACTAGGCTGCCTAGAACGTAAGTATGTCTCCACACCAAAACCCAACAACAATCCCACTAATAATAAGGATAAGAGAATATACAACTCATCTAACACTTATCAGACCATCTCTGCTAATCTGACTAAGCAAATAACCAATTGTTATTTACCTTACCCACACATCAATTTCAGTAATTAATAGTTAATTTCCACATTTAAACTTATTAGTATAAAGGGTCTGTGAAGAGTTTTGAGTTTTATACTTTACATCACGAATTCAACACTTCCACAATACCACTTTTACTAATGATAATCATATGTTCACCAGTGGCATATTTCAAGAATGGATTCCTAGTGTTGTAATGTGAAACTGTAAGAAGTAGATTTCAGTCATGTCGAATATAATACAATCAATTACTGATGATATTAGAAATTAGTTGTACAATATCACAAATTGATTGAAATAAGAAATGTAAAGTTTGATTTTAAACGCTTGCTATTAGGCCTGTGATTCCTGGGTTTGATCTAGGGTGAGGTTATTTATCTATACTGATAACGATTCCTAGTCTAGGGTACTTCATGTATTCTACTGATTGTCTAACAAAGTATAGTTTGTGAAGTAAAGTATGCAATTCAACTCAGTTGATTGACTTGAACGTGACTGTACTCAAAACGTATGTAATAATATATCTGAACTACTTCACCACATTTTTACATTGGTTTTCAGGAGAAGCAGACACCATCCGGACCTTCACGTAAAAACCCAAACAGTACAGCTCAACCTCGTTTAGCAGGGGAACCAGACACCTTACAGGCTTTAACGCTACATAGTACATTCAATAAGAAACCACATCTTAAACACAACCATACAATAAACTGTAAAGGTTGGAGCAAAAAGCACTTGATTAGCTAGAAGTTATTAGCAACCAGGAAAATACATAATGCAATCCAATTACAGTAAGAACAACAACATAGAAACACAACAATAAAGTTATCTATTCAATATATGATGATGATATAAATAGTAATGATAATTTGAAACATAGCTCCAACAGTAATTAGACACATATTACCTCCTTAGGATCTGCTTATTCGAGACTTTGGGTGAAATAGTTCAAAATCGTTCACAATGTCACAGATACATTTACTGTAATCTTTTATTCATCTTCATTTAGATCCTAAGTTTCTTAATTCCTCATAAATTTCTATCATTATTTCATCTATCTATATTTTCCTCTTATATTGAATCTTGAGTATTTAATCTTTTTTAGTACCATTAGTACTATTACTGTCTCTATCGCTCTGGGATTCGTTTTAACAATTTCATCTTATTGTACTAATGAGGTATAATAATCTGAGCTGATACACACATGTACCAGGTTCGGCATAGCAACTAACTAACTAACTAACTAACTAAGTAGGATATAAATTGATTGATTTTAAATCTCAATGATAAATAAAGACTAATTTTAACAGAAATATAACAGATAGAATTAAATGATTTAACTTACGTTGAACATCTAATGCATTTAGTTTAATAGATGATGGTGATGTACTAGTTTTATTATATCCATTTATAAATAATCCATAAAGTTGACTACTCGTTAATTGTGTTCCTGTTGTTGTCGGTACATTAATCATTGTATCACCTTGTACACTTCGTATCACTGTACCATCTGGTCTAGTACTAGTTACTGGTGTAAAAGTCACTTTTTCACAACTTGCACCATCTGCTGCATTACTATCACCTTGTTTTAAGTAGTATGTTAACTATTGTTGTTAGTAATATATACATATATTTTTCAAAAGCAGGGAAAAAAAAAGAAACAATACAGTTTAAACATTAAGCATAATAACTTTTAAAGTTTGTTTACCCCAGAGATTGGGGTCAAATATAGTAAAAATGAAAGCCAAGGGGTTTATTAACGTCTAATAGAAAGATGGTTGGAGATTTTTGATTTATATTGTCAATAATGTCGTAAACACAATAATAAATTACTGTCAGAATTAGGATGCGAATAGTAACATTCCATTATTTCTCATTTGTGAAATCTTGGAATTCTCTTTTTCATAATCCTTTTATGAATATACTTCAAAGGATTATGAGTGGTGGTCATTTGTGATATTTAAGAAATGAATATATCTCATTATTTAAGACTGATTCAAATCTTTGTCAATTTGGAAATGGCTCAATTACAAAATCACGACTTTATTAAGTAAACTGATGAGTTATCCAGACCTATTCATTTGATATTGGTCTGTTGAATGTAGTAACCTTGAAGGAACTGATGTTTTCTAGTGGATCGAGCTCTCAACTAAACAGCTTCACAGCCTATGATATAACTTATGAGACATCCGGGTCGTAAATGAAGTTCTGTAGAACTGAAATGTTCAGAAATCACATGACACCCAGTGAAAAGTTTGTCCACCGACCATCTTCCATAATTGGACATGCAGTGTTAAATTACTTATACTAATAGATCAGGACTAAAGAACTCATCACAGCTTAACCTCTTATATAGCTTTAATTCATTTCTGTATTGATTATTCGAATCTTGCGGCCGTTTCGTCCTACTGGTGGGACTTATTAGCAGTGCGCATCCACGATCCCATCTCGCGAGATTCAAACCCAGGACCTATCAGTCTCGTGCGTGAGCGCTTAACCACTAGACCATTGAACCGGCTGATATCCAACAAATCCATGAAGTTGCTCCGACGTCCACCATTATCGTCAGTGATTTACTATCTTACAACAAACCCAGTTGAATTCCACTGGTCACGGTTTCTCACTAGAACTTCAGGATATTACCTCTTGGAGACCATTATTTGATTGTCCCTACTGATGTTCTCGTTCACGACAATATTAGTTCGAAATTATAGGTAAATCATCTGAAGTTAATCAAATACGTAATTATGTACAAAAAAGAGAGAGACTATTATTGAAGACTTAAACATACTAAATCACAATATTTTGATTTTAAATTAGCATAACCAGGTGAATCTGTATTGGAATATTCTTCAATCCATTCAACTGGTGTATCATTAACTTGATTATATAAATTTGATTTAACATTGAATTTAGTAGAAACTGAAATAGAATTGAAATGAAATAGAAAATAATAATGAAACATTTTAAAATTTGTTATCATAAACTGTTTCTGGGTTCGAGTCCTGGAGTGAATATCAACTGTGGGATAAAGGTATATCTTAGTTGATAAATCTTAAATAAGATGAAATGGTGCATGTATCTTGGATTTCACTACTAGTTATCATGCATTTATCTTTATATTGATTATAACTTAAGGCAATATCAAGGTAATCTGTACAGAATGCACATATACCAATTAGAGACAAATCAATGACAGTCTTAAATATCAATGATAAGATTTGAATAACCAATACAAAATTGAATTCAAATATTAGTAGTTTATAGTACTTGGAAACAATTGGATAAGAGTGGCCAGAACAGATTATTAAGAAGATTCCTGATCAGGAGCCTAAGTTTCACGAGAGGTAACAGGTGTGTTATGTCCCCAAAAGCATAATGAATGGTAACTGTTGGGATCTATTTATGGACCAATATTATGCGTATATTTTTATCGTATGATTGTTAGGTTCCTCTTATTATGAGCTTTGTTTTTGACTTGTGGACAATTATTATACGATTTACCATTCTTGAGTTATGCACAGTCTATTAATTACTATCTACCACATTCACAGTCATTTCTGGCTAGCCGCATTCGGCTAAATCTTGTACAAATTTTATTTTTTATTTTATGATACGATGTAGTCTGTCTGGTTGATAATATAAACCCAGTATGCTTGAAATAAATGGTTCATATTGCAGAGGCTGTGATTGGTTTTCTGGACTTAACTGGCTGAACTAGGCAGGAAGCAGGACCGATAAGTACTCTAGATTGCTCGTACGGGTTTTAGGTGTCATTGGTTCGATCGATAATTCACTGCTCTCTAATTGGTGGTATCGTTACATTATACATTAATAGGGCAAACAGGCTACAAGTTATAACAAGATGTAATTGAGTAAACTGATAGTTATTTTATCAAGTTAGTGACTAGCTGACTAGAATCATATAGTTTTAAAGGTTCACACTAAAAGTTCGAACATTAACGAGTACAATCACAAGAAAAAGTGATATTAATAAAGTTAGGCATCGGAAAGAGGAATTACACTTTTCACAGTTTGCAGTTTTTATTATTTACCACCTGTTCCTTTGCTTCAACTATCAATAGAAAATATAGTTCTTTCAAACGTTCAATGAAAAGACTATTGTCAACAAACAGACTAATTCATTGATCATTATTATCCCAGTCATGCTATCTTATTCATCTGTTTCAGTCAGTCGACATAAATATTATTTTAAACAGTTCATAGTCGATAAAATTGTACAAGTTAACTAACCGAGTGGTAGCATAACCGGTGCGATTGCAGTTGACGGTCTCGTTGCCAGAGAAAATTCAACAAAACTGTATGTAGGAACTCCATCATAGGTTGGTATTGTTGTGTTAGACGATTTTGTTACTGTTGTTGTCGTCGTCGATAATACGTCTACCTGAGGTTGTGCCGTTATTGTTGTTGATTTTGTCGTTGACTGAGTAGTAGTAATATTAGTAGGAGGAGAAGGAGTAGTAGGTATATTTTCCCCTGGTTTAAGGTAAAACATATTGTTACAATTAGATAATGGACAATTCACAGATAATTCAAATGATATAACTCAAATCTACCTTTCTATAGATAGTTTTCATTACTAATGTTTTAACAAGAAATAATAATCGAATTCATTAGTCTAATTATATATCTGTTAGGCCAAGCACATAGATTATATCATTCAATACTTTATCTCAAATACTGTCCAATTCAATGTACTTAAATTAGACAACTGACCACATCAATAAATCTGTTGCCATAGTTCAGAATATTTCAGAAAATCTATTTCTGGTTCATATACAATGATTATTTGTTGTCATCGGCATCGAAACGGAACAAACACCTGTCGATCACTTGGCTGGATAATAATAATAATAAATTTTTCATTGGTTGTTTGGATCCTCCCATTGATGTTTAGGACTGTAATTGATCAATTTCTAATTGGCATATATACATCCTGTGCACATTACCTTGATATTGCATGAAGTCATTAGCATTATAATGAGTGATAGATGGTGGTTAGCAGTGTAATTCAGGACGTGCGCCACTTCATACATATTCATTCAAGAGTTGATGTTCACTCAAGGACTCAAATACAATGCTGTTTACCTCAAACGTCATCACGTTATCCACTTAGCTAATAAGCCCTAATAGTCACTTGCTTGTGCAATGAGATAAAGTTTAAATTCATTTGGTATTGTTTAATTTTATCTTCCGATTGTTGGTTAGGACTGCAATTGATGCAGGTATATCCAGCTGACGAGTCCCAACTAGGATGAATTAGCGTACATCCTGAATTCCACTACTATCCACAATCCATCTTTGCTTATAAACATTGTGAATTAAGGCAATATCGGGGCAATCCGAACAGAATACACATTTACCAACAAGAGATTGATCAATTACAATTCTAAACATCAAAGGGTAGATACAAGAAAACAATACCAAATTAATTTAGATTTAAAATCAGTTTAACAAGAATGATATTACTCAACTTACGACAAATATATTTAGAATTTAAACACATCATCAAGTCTAATAGGCATATCACTCACTTTTTCTGTCAAACAAATAAAAAGCACATACCTGATATTGTGGATAAATTTAGCGTGTACTTTTCGACTACTCATAAATAATATAAGTAATATATCAATGTATAGTAAAAATGTTTCATCTTGACCGAAATTATGATGCATGAAGCATCAAAGAAGTAGCATTATAGATTATTAACACTTATTTTACTTGCTTGATTAAAACTTGTTCATCAGAATATTGTTTTAATGAATTCGTTCTTTCTTTTTAAATAAAAGAAGGAAATAAAATAGAGGTTAACTACTGGTCTTCAGTTAATGTATTATCATCATTCCAAACTTGTTTCCATTGATTGATGTAATTTTCCTTGATATTTTCTTGTTATCTTCATGTTCATAATTGGAATTGATTGATTGGATTTTTTAATCGAAAGTTTCACTGTATTGATCGGATCAACCATAGTTAAATACTATCACTTTAATGCTTAATAATAAAGTCATATGTATTTAACTCCGCCTAGAGCCCCTATGGGGCTTCTGCCAAACCCGAGCCAGGATAAAGCAGAACGGTTGAGCATGGCGTTAGTGAAACCATCCCGTAGAAAAATAACTGGGTAAAAAAACGCTAGTCAGAAAGAACTAATTCAAACCATTTAAACTCTGCACTGGGAGTTATGAAGTCTTCAATTAGAAGAGTTATGACATCATATGATGAAAGCTGAGTAAATTCGGAAGTCATGAAGTCATCTAAACTCTGGTGGGACTGAATAAAAATGGAATTTCTAATAAAACCACTAATCGAGTAAATGTGCATTGTAATAAAGAATAAAGATATCTTAAGTGGTTGCAAAAATCAAAATAGATAATGCAGGGTTCGAATCTGCAACATGGTAGACACTAAACAAACTCTCTGTATATGATCTGAGATAAATGAGTGTTTGTGTATACTTTCTTTCAGTACAATCGATGATGATTATCAGAGCATATTATTTCAATTATCTAATAGGAGAATACATCATTTTATAAATGTTATCAATGATGATCCTTAATTAATTTATCCACCGAATATGCAGAATGAATAATGATCAAAGTTTTGTGCACAATACAAACTAATGTGCCATTTAGTTAGTTATATTGAGGATTATAAACATCACAAACTGAGATTAGTTAAACAGTATTAATGATCAGTTTTATTATTTCACCAATGAACAAATGATTAAGGTATTCAACAATATGTATACTGATTGTAATACATGACGTAATATTCTACACATGGAATTCAAAGTGAGCACACAGGAAATAAGAAATAATGGGGACGATAAACTGGGAAAACCGAATAGGATGTAAAAATAACGTAACATCGAAATATATAGAACGTAAAAACAACAAAAAGATCAAAACCAAACGAGATGAACAAAAAATACAAATGACTCACCCGAAGAATTACTGGTAACAGAAAACGATGAAATAACGAGAACAGATGTAGAGAGAGTAGAGCCAGTTGTATTTATGAGGTGAGTTTGAGTTTGCGTTTGAGTTGTGCTTGAATTGATTGGTGCAGATTGTGATGCTGGTGTGATGGATGTTGTTGTGGCGTTGAGTGTGATTGTGAGAGGAGTGGTGTTTGTGGTTGTGGGTGCTGTTGCAGTTGCGGATGCGTTTGCGGTTGCGGTGTTGAGTGTTGTTGTGAGAGTGGTTGCGTTGAGTGTGAGTGGTGGAGTAGTGATGCTGGTCGATGTTGTTGTGGACGTGTTGATAGAAGTGTAGGGTGTTGTTGGTTGAGTGATGGTGGTTATGTTTTGATTAGTGGTTGTTGATGCGGTGGATGGAGTAGTTTGATTAGATGCAGTTGGACCAGTTGTAGTTGTGATGTTTGTTGGTATTTGAGTTTGAGTTTGAGTTTGCGTTTGAGTTGTGCTTGAATTGATTGGTGCAGATTGTGATGCTGGTGTGATGGATGTTGTTGTGGCGTTGAGTGTGATTGTGAGAGGAGTGGTGTTTGTGGTTGTGGGTGCTGTTGCAGTTGCGGATGCGTTTGCGGTTGCGGTGTTGAGGGTTGTTGTGAGAGTGGTTGCGTTGAGTGTGAGTGGTGGAGTAGTGATGCTGGTCGATGTTGTTGTGGACGTGTTGATAGAAGTGTAGGGTGTTGTTGGTTGAGTGATGGTGGTTATGTTTGGATTAGTGGTTGTTGATGCGGTGGATGGAGTAGTTTGATTAGATGCAGTTGGACCAGTTGTAGTTGTGATGTTTGTTGGTATTTGAGTTTGAGTTTGCGTTTGAGTTGTGCTTGAATTGATTGGTGCAGATTGTGATGCTGGTGTGATGGATGTTGTTGTGGCGTTGAGTGTGATTGTGAGAGGAGTGGTGTTTGTGGTTGTGGGTGCTGTTGCAGTTGCGGATGCGTTTGCGGTTGCGGTGTTGAGTGTTGTTGTGAGAGTGGTTGCGTTGAGTGTGAGTGGTGGAGTAGTGATGCTGGTCGATGTTGTTGTGGACGTGTTGATAGATGTGTAGGGTGTTGTTGGTTGAGTGATGGTGGTTATGTTTGGATTAGTGGTTGTTGATGCGGTGGATGGAGTAGTTTGATTAGATGCAGTTGGACCAGTTGTAGTTGTGATGTTTGTTGGTATTTGAGTTTGAGTTTGAGTTTGCGTTTGAGTTGTGCTTGAATTGATTGGTGCAGATTGTGATGCTGGTGTGATGGATGTTGTTGTGGCGTTGAGTGTGATTGTGAGAGGAGTGGTGTTTGTGGTTGTGGGTGCTGTTGCAGTTGCGTTTGCGTTTGCGGTTGCGGTGTTGAGGGTTGTTGTGAGAGTGGTTGCGTTGAGTGTGAGTGGTGGAGTAGTGATGCTGGTCGATGTTGTTGTGGACGTGTTGATAGAAGTGTAGGGTGTTGTTGGTTGAGTGATGGTGGTTATGTTTTGATTAGTGGTTGTTGATGCGGTGGATGGAGTAGTTTGATTAGATGCAGTTGGACCAGTTGTAGTTGTGATGTTTGTTGGTATTTGAGTTTGAGTTTGCGTTTGAGTTGTGCTTGAATTGATTGGTGCAGATTGTGATGCTGGTGTGATGGATGTTGTTGTGGCGTTGAGTGTGATTGTGAGAGGAGTGGTGTTTGTGGTTGTGGGTGCTGTTGCAGTTGCGGATGCGTTTGCGGTTGCGGTGTTGAGTGTTGTTGTGAGAGTGGTTGCGTTGAGTGTGAGTGGTGGAGTAGTGATGCTGGTCGATGTTGTTGTGGACGTGTTGATAGAAGTGTAGGGTGTTGTTGGTTGAGTGATGGTGGTTATGTTTTGATTAGTGGTTGTTGATGCGGTGGATGGAGTAGTTTGATTAGATGCAGTTGGACCAGTTGTAGTTGTGATGTTTGTTGGTATTTGAGTTTGAGTTTGAGTTTGCGTTTGAGTTGTGCTTGAATTGATTGGTGCAGATTGTGATGCTGGTGTGATGGAAGTTGTTGTGGCGTTGAGTGTGATTGTGAGAGGAGTGGTGTTTGTGGTTGTGGTTGTGGTTGTGGTTGCGGTTGCGTTAGCGTTTGCGGTTGCGGTGTTGAGTGTTGTTGTGAGAGTGGTTGCGTTGAGTGTGAGTGGTGGAGTAGTGATGCTGGTCGATGTTGTTGTGGACGTGTTGATAGAAGTGTAGGGTGTTGTTGGTTGAGTGTTGGTGGTTATGTTTGGATTAGTGGTTGTTGATGCGGTGGATGGAGTAGTTTGATTAGATGCAGTTGGACCAGTTGTAGTTGTGATGTTTGTTGGTATTTGAGTTTGAGTTTGCGTTTGAGTTGTGCTTGAATTGATTGGTGCAGATTGTGATGCTGGTGTGATGGATGTTGTTGTGGCGTTGAGTGTGATTGTGAGAGGAGTGGTGTTTGTGGTTGTGGGTGCTGTTGCAGTTGCGGATGCGTTTGCGGTTGCGGTGTTGAGTGTTGTTGTGAGAGTGGTTGCGTTGAGTGTGAGTGGTGGAGTAGTGATGCTGGTCGATGTTGTTGTGGACGTGTTGATAGAAGTGTAGGGTGTTGTTGGTTGAGTGATGGTGGTTATGTTTGGATTAGTGGTGGTTGATGCGGTGGATGGAGTAGTTTGATTAGATGCAGTTGGACCAGTTGTAGTTGTGATGTTTGTTGTTATTTGAGTTTGAGTTTGAGTTTGCGTTTGAGTTGTGCTTGAATTGATTGGTGCAGATTGTGATGCTGGTGTGATGGATGTTGTTGTGGCGTTGAGTGTGATTGTGAGAGGAGTGGTGTTTGTGGTTGTGGGTGCTGTTGCAGTTGCGGATGCGTTTGCGGTTGCGGTGTTGAGTGTTGTTGTGAGAGTGGTTGCGTTGAGTGTGAGTGGTGGAGTAGTGATGCTGGTCGATGTTGTTGTGGACGTGTTGATAGATGTGTAGGGTGTTGTTGGTTGAGTGATGGTGGTTATGTTTGGATTAGTGGTGGTTGATGCGGTGGATGGAGTAGTTTGATTAGATGCAGTTGGACCAGTTGTAGTTGTGATGTTTGTTGGTATTTGAGTTTGAGTTTGCGTTTGAGTTGTGCTTGAATTGATTGGTGCAGATTGTGATGCTGGTGTGATGGATGTTGTTGTGGCGTTGAGTGTGATTGTGAGAGGAGTGGTGTTTGTGGTTGTGGGTGCTGTTGCAGTTGCGTTTGCGTTTGCGGTTGCGGTGTTGAGTGTTGTTGTGAGAGTGGTTGCGTTGAGTGTGAGTGGTGGAGTAGTGATGCTGGTCGATGTTGTTGTGGACGTGTTGATAGAAGTGTAGGGTGTTGTTGGTTGAGTGATGGTGGTTATGTTTTGATTAGTGGTTGTTGATGCGGTGGATGGAGTAGTTTGATTAGATGCAGTTGGACCAGTTGTAGTTGTGATGTTTGTTGGTATTTGAGTTTGAGTTTGAGTTTGCGTTTGAGTTGTGCTTGAATTGATTGGTGCAGATTGTGATGCTGGTGTGATGGATGTTGTTGTGGCGTTGAGTGTGATTGTGAGAGGAGTGGTGTTTGTGGTTGTGGGTGCTGTTGTAGTTGCGGATGCGTTTGCGGTTGCGGTGTTGAGTGTTGTTGTGAGAGTGGTTGCGTTGAGTGTGAGTGGTGGAGTAGTGATGCTGGTCGATGTTGTTGTGGACGTGTTAATAGAAGTGTAGGGTGTTGTTGGTTGAGTGATGGTGGTTATGTTTGGATTAGTGGTGGTTGATGCGGTGGATGGAGTAGTTTGATTAGATGCAGTTGGACCAGTTGTAGTTGTGATGTTTGTTGGTATTTGAGTTTGAGTTTGCGTTTGAGTTGTGCTTGAATTGATTGGTGCAGATTGTGATGCTGGTGTGATGGATGTTGTTGTGGCGTTGAGTGTGATTGTGAGAGGAGTGGTGTTTGTGGTTGTGGGTGCTGTTGCAGTTGCGTTTGCGTTTGCGGTTGCGGTGTTGAGGGTTGTTGTGAGAGTGGTTGCGTTGAGTGTGAGTGGTGGAGTAGTGATGCTGGTCGATGTTGTTGTGGACGTGTTGATAGAAGTGTAGGGTGTTGTTGGTTGAGTGATGGTGGTTATGTTTGTATTAGTGGTTGTTGATGCGGTGGATGGAGTAGTTTGATTAGATGCAGTTGGACCAGTTGTAGTTGTGATGTTTGTTGGTATTTGAGTTTGAGTTTGCGTTTGAGTTGTGCTTGAATTGATTGGTGCAGATTGTGATGCTGGTGTGATGGATGTTGTTGTGGCGTTGAGTGTGATTGTGAGAGGAGTGGTGTTTGTGGTTGTGGGTGCTGTTGCAGTTGCGGATGCGTTTGCGGTTGCGGTGTTGAGTGTTGTTGTGAGAGTGGTTGCGTTGAGTGTGAGTGGTGGAGTAGTGATGCTGGTCGATGTTGTTGTGGACGTGTTGATAGAAGTGTAGGGTGTTGTTGGTTGAGTGATGGTGGTTATGTTTGTATTAGTGGTTGTTGATGCGGTGGATGGAGTAGTTTGATTAGATGCAGTTGGACCAGTTGTAGTTGTGATGTTTGTTGGTATTTGAGTTTGAGTTTGCGTTTGAGTTGTGCTTGAATTGATTGGTGCAGATTGTGATGCTGGTGTGATGGATGTTGTTGTGGCGTTGAGTGTGATTGTGAGAGGAGTGGTGTTTGTGGTTGTGGGTGCTGTTGCAGTTGCGTTTGCGTTTGCGGTTGCGGTGTTGAGGGTTGTTGTGAGAGTGGTTGCGTTGAGTGTGAGTGGTGGAGTAGTGATGCTGGTCGATGTTGTTGTGGACGTGTTGATAGAAGTGTAGGGTGTTGTTGGTTGAGAGATGGTGGTTATGTTTGGATTAGTGGTGGTTGATGCGGTGGATGGAGTAGTTTGATTAGATGCAGTTGGACCAGTTGTAGTTGTGATGTTTGTTGGTATTTGAGTTTGAGTTTGTATTTGCGTTTGAGTTGTGCTTGAATTGATTGGTGCAGATTGTGATGCTGGTGTGATGGATGTTGTTGTGGCGTTGAGTGTGATTGTGAGAGGAGTGGTGTTTGTGGTTGTGGGTGCTGTTGCAGTTGCGTTTGCGTTTGCGGTTGCGGTGTTGAGGGTTGTTGTGAGAGTGGTTGCGTTGAGTGTGAGTGGTGGAGTAGTGATGCTGGTCGATGTTGTTGTGGACGTGTTGATAGAAGTGTAGGGTGTTGTTGGTTGAGTGATGGTGGTTATGTTTGGATTAGTGGTTGTTGATGCGGTGGATGGAGTAGTTTGATTAGATGCAGTTGGACCAGTTGTAGTTGTGATGTTTGTTGGTATTTGAGTTTGAGTTTGAGTTTGCGTTTGAGTTGTGCTTGAATTGATTGGTGCAGATTGTGATGCTGGTGTGATGGATGTTGTTGTGGCGTTGAGTGTGATTGTGAGAGGAGTGGTGTTTGTGGTTGTGGGTGCTGTTGCAGTTGCGGATGCGTTTGCGGTTGCGGTGTTGAGTGTTGTTGTGAGAGTGGTTGCGTTGAGTGTGAGTGGTGGAGTAGTGATGCTGGTCGATGTTGTTGTGGACGTGTTGATAGATGTGTAGGGTGTTGTTGGTTGAGTGATGGTGGTTATGTTTGGATTAGTGGTTGTTGATGCGGTGGATGGAGTAGTTTGATTAGATGCAGTTGGACCAGTTGTAGTTGTGATGTTTGTTGTAGTATGAGTTTGAGTTGTGCTTGAATTGATTGGTGCAGATTGTGATGCTGGTGTGATGGATGTTGTTGTAGCGTTGAGTGTGATTGTGAGAGGAGTGTTGTTTGTGGTTGTGGGTGCGGTTTCGGTTGCGGTTGCGTTTGCGTTTGCGGTTGCGGTGTTGAGGGTTGTTGTGAGAGTGGTTGCGTTGAGTGTGAGTGGTGGAGTAGTGATGCTGGTCGATGTTGTTGTGGACGTGTTGATAGATGTGTAGGGTGTTGTTGGTTGAGTGATGGTGGTTATGTTTGGATTAGTGGTTGTTGATGCGGTGGATGGAGTAGTTTGATTAGATGCAGTTGGACCAGTTGTAGTTGTGATGTTTGTTGGTATTTGAGTTTGAGTTTGCGTTTGAGTTGTGCTTGAATTGATTGGTGCAGATTGTGATGCTGGTGTGATGGATGTTGTTGTGGGGTTGTTTGTGATTGTGTTTGTTGTAATGTTGTTGTTTGTTAATTCATTAATACCAACTGTATATTTTATATCGTTTGTTGTTTTTGTTGATTTATCTGTTGTATTATTCGACTGTATGCTGGTTGTTTGCATCGTTGATGAAGTCGTATTATTCGTTTTATTATTTATTATTTCATTTGTTCCAGGCGTTATATAAATATATTTATCCGATATATTATTGAATAATGAAAATTCTATTGCGCTTGATATATTTACTATATCGATGAATATATTATTGGTTGGTGTTATCTTCGTCGTCATTATTCCTTCAGTCGTTGTTATCTGATCATTCGTTGTTTTTTTAACTGTATCTATGTGTTTCGAGAAAGAATATGATTGTATTAATGTTTTTTTTATTTATTTGCTTAGTTTTTTAGAACATCATTTGAATACCTCAAAGTATTTGAGGTGTATGTGAGGTGTATTTTTCAATCCTATCGGTTGATATTTTACTTTACCTTTACTGACATATACCCTGTTACTCCTTATGGAGTATAAGCCGACGATCAGCATTCCTTAACCGATATTTTATTAATATTAATTTTGTTTCTTGTTTTTTTAGTTTCATATTTGATGTAATATCATTTAAGTTCATTAGTAAGATCATTAAGTATGGAATGTTAATAAGATTGAAGTTGAAAGATAAACTATAAAGATTAACGATTTGACTGTAATTAATGAACGAATCAATCAGGTTTAAAATAATAAGTTTTGGATTTGGCCCATGAAATTCATTTATTAATGTTTTGGTATTATAGCTGATGTCAGTTGATGGTGAAAACTCTAAATGTAATTTCTGATACTAATCATCTACTGTAAATGATAATCTTTTTCAAGGAAGCCATGATCAGTGGAGCTAATCCATATCAAGTAAAGACAGGTATCTACCTCAAGATGGTTGTGTGATCTCGTGGATTGGTTGAGATTAATCATTAAAACCCTCAGATGCAATTTCAGTAGTCTAGAGGTTAAGCGTTCATATGCAAGACTAATGGTCTTGGGTTAAAATCCCGCTATCACACCGCTGAGGATTCCCATAATGGGAGAAATGACCGTTCAATGCTTTCGGGTTTTCATTAGTGGTCTAACATCAATCGATTCATGATCTCAATCAGAAAATATTCATTATTCTCTTCACAGGCGGACATTCTCAAGGTCACTTTAGTGTCACTCAAAGGTCTTACATAAATTATAATTATGTAGTGACCTACTTTTATCAAGAGAGTGCGACTGGTTTAATGGAAACAATTATTATTATAACCAATTGTACCAGGGATTGTTTTTCCGTGCTTGTTTGTTTAACCGTACCAAAATACATTCGTTCTTCCGTTGATTGTGACCTTGTACGAATTCGGTTACGCTCAGTAACCACACTTGTAACCTGGCACCATCTCAGTATTTTTTCGATACCATGAGATCGCCCACAAATACATCTCGACTATAGCTATCAACTACCTTCTGATATTTGGCCTACGGGGGATATTATCGATTAACTGGCACGTAGTTTTCCTGTAGTGGTGATCATAGTCAACCGGGACTCAACGCCACACTACAGTCTCACCAGACTAGCAGTCACTTTTGTATTTATTATTTGAATTGCTCATGTGGAACTAATTACATCCCTCTATATTCTAGGAACATATATATATGTTTGAGCTTGTGAACACCTTTCAGTTTGGTGAAGCGAAAGTGTAGTTAACATGATCCACTAGTTTATAATTATCTATCTAGTCAAAACTGATCTTATTACCAATACAAGTTAATCAACTTCAACAGTTTTTTATGCATGAAAAACCTATATTAGTTAAAAATTCATCGATCGTCAGAAGTAATAGTTTTGTTTAAGAAAGATATATATTCAACCTCTTCTCCAGTCGTAATCTACTTCAGACTAAACAACTATAATGATTGAGGTCATGAGTTAATTGAAGCTAGATCATCATTGAAAACCTGAAAGCATTAGATGGCTGTTTCGTCCTAGTATGAGACTCCTCAGCAGTGCATTGTGATAAAGAATAAAGATATTTTAAGTGGTTGCAAAAATCAAAATAGATAAGGCAGGGTTCGAATCTGCAACATGGTAGACACCAAATAACCTCTCTGTATATGATCTGAGATAAATGAGTGTTTGTGTATGCTTTCTTTCAGTACAATGGATGATGATTATCAGAGAATATTATTTCAATTATCTAATAGGAGAATACATCATTTTATAAATGTTATCAATTGTTGTGGATGCGAAGGATAGACCAATAATTATCATGTTAAGTCCAATGGTGTCCTTGGACTTTAAATGGACATTTCCTACCAGTCGATATCTGTCCACTTGTTGAATATGGTACAAAATGTTGTTTTCTATTTTTATGGTACGATGTGGTATGTTTGGTTAGTATATAAATAGAGTATGTCTGAAATACAATGATTCATAACTCAGAGGCTGAGATTTGTGTTCTGGACTCAACTGGCTGGGATAGACAGAGAATCGGGACCAATCGTAACTCTAGGTCGTCCATTACGTTCGTACGTGTTTACGTGTCATTGAGTCGATCGATAAATACGCTGTTCTCTAATTTTTTTCAGTCAAGGACACAACAGTTAGCACAGGGTAAAAATCGACCCAACTTAAAGTCACAACATCAATCATGATCCTTAATTCATTTATCCACCGAATATGCAGAATGAATAATGATCAAAGTTTTGTGCACAATACAAACTAATGTGCCATTTAGTTAGTTATATTGAGGATTATAAACATCACAAACTGAGATTAGTTAAACAGTATTAATGATCAGTTTTATTATTTCACCAATGAACAAATGATTAGGGTATTCAACAATATGTATAATAATTTTAATAGTTGAGGTCATGAGTTAATTGAGACTAGATCACCATGGAAAACCTGAAAGCACTAGATGGCTGTATCGTCCTAGTGTGAGACTCTTCAGCAGTGCATATCCACAATCCTGCCGTCTATATTAATCGTAATTATGAGATAAAGTCTTCTATCTAATGTTTTTACCAACAGATAATACTGAAAACACTTTTCAAGTTCCTTAAGTATAACAATCAATCTAATCAGTATACATGAAATCAGATACTATACATGATTTTAGCTTAGAGAGCTGAGAATCAATAAATTATCTTAATTCTGATATGAATTGGATAGAAATGAATGTTGTTTAGAATAATTTTCAGTGATGTTTACTACTTATACGGACAGATATAAGTATTATTTACCAACATTTGAAAAATAGGATTCTTACTGACAAACCGAGAACTCAAGAAGAAGAAGAAGAAAAAGAAGGCGGAGGAGGAGGAAGCGGAGGATGAGGCTGTGAGAAGTAGTTTGAATAGTAACAGAAATGAAAGAACAATACAACGTGTAGGATATAAATTAAGGAAGATATGTAAATGATGTATTCAATGTATTGTTTGTTTGTTTTTTATATTCACTATGTAATTAGGCTTAATACAATGAATTGATTTACGCTAACCAAATCTTCTGGTTAGCGTATTTTTTAGCGAGTTAATTTTCTACGGGATGGGGACGCTAACCCCATGCCCAACCCTCCTTTTTTATCCGGGCTTGGGACCGGCAGTAGCCCTCGGAGGGACTCCAGGCAACTGTCAACCAACACCAAGGTCAGGATTTTCAATACAAATGTCAAGACAGTTCTACTGTATGGGGCGAAAACCTGGAGAACTACGAAAGCCATCATCCAGAAGATACAGTTGTTTATTAACAGTTGTCTACGCAAAATACTTCAGATCCGTTGACCGGACACTATTAGCAACAACGTACTGTGGGAGAGAACAAACCAGATCCCAGTGGAGTAAGAAATCAGGAAGTGGATAGGACACACATTGAGGAAAGCACCCAACTGCGTCACAAGACAAGCCCTCACATGGAATCCTCAAGGCCAAAGGAAAAGAGGAAAACCAAAGAACACATTACGCCGAGAAATGGGAATAGACATGAAAAAGATGAACAAGAATTGGATGGAATTAGAAAAGGAGGCCCAGGACAGAGTGGGTTGTAGAATGCTGGTCGGCGGCCTATGCTCCATTGGGAGTAACAGGCGTAAGTAAGTAAGTAACCAAATCTTCGTTCAAAACAATAAATGTGAACTATGGTAACTTTTAAGGCTAGTAAATGATATGATTTCTTAATCCTGTTTATGTTATGATAATTCTTTAACTATTATCAATTCATAGTGAATTGTATCACTTAAGATTCATTTTTGATGGAGTTTTGTTCTCTTAGCTGGATGGTTTGGTCGTAGAGCTTTCATCATTCTTCTGAACGACATCCTCGTCAGTACAAACTTCGGAAAGAAGTGAAGTGTTCTCCATCATCTTGAAATTCATTTAATCATTACAAATCATCCAATTGATGAGACTATAATTGATGGATAACCTTTGAAAAACGCTAGACTGACGTTGAGAGTGTGTCTATCTAATAACCATGACAAAATGAGAGTTATAAATTTGGGTGAGGAATTCGAATTATGATATACAGTTGATGGAGTTAAGGTTTAGAATGAGATTTAGGGTTATAATCATGAACTAACATCAGCTATAATCCCAAGACTTTATTTAGCCGAATGGATGAATTGCGTGCCAAAATCCGAGACCTGTTATCTTATAACTGACTGATTTGTACATAAATTATAGTCTTGCTATCCAATTTATTAATCTTGTTTCTGTTTTCATTTCTTGTGCTAAGAATTCTATACTTAAACATAAGCATATTATCAACTAAAGTGATGGTTCCAGATAGTGCCTCAAAATGCGCTGGTACGGCCGAGAGTGGGAAGAGTTAACTCTCTCTCTCTCTAGAAATTCTCTCATATGGCCAAGCGTATACAGCCACTGCCAGGAAAACCTATTCACTGCCTTCTCATAACCGGGATGTTGTTTACGAAATTGAGAGGACGAAAAGTGAATGTTTGGCGCTTTAACCAGGTTGGTGGATATGGAGGATCCAGCTAGGAGACTTGTAAAACCGTAATTCGAAACTATTGGTACACATGGGCCCCAGTATCTAAAATGAACAAATGGCGCATGAACCAGTTTTTGGTCATCGGCTATCATGGTACTGCATTTGCTGACGTTGCTCCACGCATATGTATTCAGTGCCCTTTTAATACCAATATTCCAGATAGTGATCAAATAGTTAAATGATTATGTCATAGGTTATGCTTTGTAAAAAACAAAAACAACCTTGAATTCTTAAGTAATATAACAATAGAAAACAACAACAACAACAACTCATTTCATGCATTACTGAAGTATTGAAAACTATTTCAAGTGACCGCTTATGTGGGGTGGGATTAGTTGGTACTAAAAAAAGAGACCATAGTAACAAATCATCCAAAAGATAAATATATTTCATAGTTAAAGGATAAGTGATTATAAAGAACATAGTTATTCTGTTATTGATATAATCTATAGAATAAATTTGATAATTATATTTTAGTTCAAGATACTACTTATAACTACTTAATCGTATATAACATAATAGAAAATATTGTCATATACATTCAACAATAATGAATGCAAATGATCTATAAATTAATAATGAAATTCATGAATCAATCAAAGCTAGATCATCAAATAAAACCTGGAAGTATTAGATCGCTGTTTAGTTCTAGTATGAGACTTCTCAGGATTACGTATCCACAATCCCGCCCACGGGAATCAAACACTAATGAGACAGCATCCAATGATATTAATGCGTAATTTCAACAAGCTGTTCTATGATTACAGGTTTGCCATAGTAGTCTAGATATAATTGATTGGTAAATTTAACTGTGAAATAACTAAAATTTCAACCATATCCGTTTCTGACAATCATCTAAAACTTAATTGAATTTGAAAAATCTATGTTACATGGAAAAACGACACAATTTAGATGATCATCTACATAAGAGATTCAATGGGTGCATAAAAGATTGGTGGTGAAAGTATATAAAATGCATAAAATCTAAGAAATAACGTCGACAAAAAACAATATCAACCAGGAAAAATAAAAAAGGATGAAAATATATAACATGACGACAAAAAATCAAACAAAAACAATATAAAAAAAAGACACATAGAAAGTAAAAGTAAATGGACTTACCCGAAAAATTGATGGGAACAGAAAATGATGAACTAACGAGAAGAGATGTAAAAAGATTCGGAGCAGCAGTAGTTGTGAGGTTTGTAGGAATTTGAGTTTGAGTTTGCGTTTGAGTTGTGCTTGAATTGATTGGTGCAGATTGTGATGCTGGTGTGATGGATGTTGTTGTAGCGTTGAGTGTGATTGTGAGAGGAGTGTTGTTTGTGGTTGTGGGTGCGGTTTCGGTTGCGGTTGCGTTTGCGTTTGCGGTTGCGGTGTTGAGGGTTGTTGTGAGAGTGGTTGCGTTGAGTGTGAGTGGTGGAGTAGTGATGCTGGTCGATGTTGTTGTGGACGTGTTGATAGATGTGTAGGGTGTTGTTGGTTGAGTGATGGTGGTTATGTTTGGATTAGTGGTGGTTGATGCGGTGGATGGAGTAGTTTGAGTAGATGCAGTTGGACCAGTTGTAGTTGTGATGTTTGTTGTAGTATGAGTTTGAGTTGTGCTTGAATTGATTGGTGCAGATTGTGATGCTGGTGTGATGGATGTTGTTGTGGCGTTGAGTGTGATTGTGAGAGGAGTGTTGTTTGTGGTTGTGGGTGCGGTTTCGGTTGCGGTTGCGTTTGCGTTTGCGGTTGCGGTGTTGAGGGTTGTTGTGAGAGTGGTTGCGTTGAGTGTGAGTGGTGGAGTAGTGATGCTGGTCGATGTTGTTGTGGACGTGTTGATAGATGTGTAGGGTGTTGTTGGTTGAGTGATGGTGGTTATGTTTGGATTAGTGGTGGTTGATGCGGTGGATGGAGTAGTTTGAGTAGATGCAGTTGGACCAGTTGTAGTTGTGATGTTTGTTGTAGTATGAGTTTGAGTTGTGCTTGAATTGATTGGTGCAGATTGTGATGCTGGTGTGATGGATGTTGTTGTAGCGTTGAGTGTGATTGTGAGAGGAGTGTTGTTTGTGGTTGTGGGTGCGGTCTCGGTTGCGGTTGCGTTTGCGTTTGCGGTTGCGGTGTTGAGTGTTGTTGTGAGAGTGGTTGCGTTGAGTGTGAGTGGTGGAGTAGTGATGCTGGTCGATGTTGTTGTGGACGTGTTGATAGATGTGTAGGGTGTTGTTGGTTGAGTGATGGTGGTTATGTTTGGATTAGTGGTGGTTGATGCGGTGGATGGAGTAGTTTGAGTAGATGCAGTTGGACCAGTTGTAGTTGTGATGTTTGTTGTAGTAAGAGTTTGAGTTGTGCTTGAATTGATTCGTGCAGATTGTGATGCTGGTGTGATGGATGTTGTTGTGGCGTTGAGTGTGATTGTGAGAGGAGTGTTGTTTGTGGTTGTGGGTGCGGTTTCGGTTGCGGTTGCGTTTGCGTTTGCGGTTGCGGTGTTGAGGGTTGTTGTGAGAGTGGTTGCGTTGAGTGTGAGTGGTGGAGTAGTGATGCTGGTCGATGTTGTTGTGGACGTGTTGATAGAAGTGTAGGGTGTTGTCGGTTGAGTGATGGTGGTTATGTTTGGATTAGTGGTGGTTGATGCGGTGGATGGAGTAGTTTCAGTAGATGCAGTTGGACCAGTTGTAGTGGTGATGTTTGTGCTAGTTTGAGTTTGAGTTGTTGTTGTGCTTGTATTGATTGGTGCAGATTGTGATGCTGGTGTGATGGAAGTTGTTGTGGCGTTGAGTGTGATTGTGAGAGGAGTGGTGTTTGTGGTTGTGGTTGCAGTTGCGGTTGCGGTAGCGTTTGCGGTTGCGGTGTTGAGGGTTGTTGTAAGAGTGGTTGCGTTGAGTGTGAGTGGTGGAGTAGTGATGCTGGTCGATGTTGTTGTGGACGTGTTGATAGAAGTGTAGGGTGTTGTTGGTTGAGTGATGGTGGTTATGTTTGGATTAGTGGTTGTTGATGCGGTGGATGGAGTAGTTTGAGTAGATGCAGTTGGACCAGTTGTAGTTGTGATGTTTGTTGTAGTATGAGTTTGAGTTGTGCTTGAATTGATTGGTGCAGATTGTGATGCTGGTGTGATGGATGTTGTTGTAGCGTTGAGTGTGATTGTGAGAGGAGTGTTGTTTGTGGTTGTGGGTGCGGTTTCGGTTGCGGTTGCGTTTGCGTTTGCGGTTGCGGTGTTGAGTGTTGTTGTGAGAGTGGTTGCGTTGAGTGTGAGTGGTGGAGTAGTGATGCTGGTCGATGTTGTTGTGGACGTGTTGATAGATGTGTAGGGTGTTGTTGGTTGAGTGATGGTGGTTATGTTTGGATTAGTGGTGGTTGATGCGGTGGATGGAGTAGTTTGAGTAGATGCAGTTGGACCAGTTGTAGTTGTGATGTTTGTTGTAGTATGAGTTTGAGTTGTGCTTGAATTGATTGGTGCAGATTGTGATGCTGGTGTGATGGATGTTGTTGTAGCGTTGAGTGTGATTGTGAGAGGAGTGTTGTTTGTGGTTGTGGGTGCGGTTTCGGTTGCGGTTGCGTTGTTGTGAGAGTGGTTGCGTTGAGTGTGAGTGGTGGAGTAGTGATGCTGGTCGATGTTGTTGTGGACGTGTTGATAGATGTGTAGGGTGTTGTTGGTTGAGTGATGGTGGTTATGTTTGGATTAGTGGTGGTTGATGCGGTGGATGGAGTAGTTTGAGTAGATGCAGTTGGACCAGTTGTAGTTGTGATGTTTGTTGTAGTATGAGTTTGAGTTGTGCTTGAATTGATTGGTGCAGATTGTGATGCTGGTGTGATGGATGTTGTTGTGGCGTTGAGTGTGATTGTGAGAGGAGTGTTGTTTGTGGTTGTGGGTGCGGTTTCGGTTGCGGTTGCGTTTGCGTTTGCGGTTGCGGTGTTGAGTGTTGTTGTGAGAGTGGTTGCGTTGAGTGTGAGTGGTGGAGTAGTGATGCTGGTCGATGTTGTTGTGGACGTGTTGATAGATGTGTAGGGTGTTGTTGGTTGAGTGATGGTGGTTATGTTTGGATTAGTGGTTGTTGATGCGGTGGATGGAGTAGTTTGAGTAGATGCAGTTGGACCAGTTGTAGTTGTGATGTTTGTTGTAGTATGAGTTTGAGTTGTGCTTGAATTGATTGGTGCAGATTGTGATGCTGGTGTGATGGATGTTGTTGTAGCGTTGAGTGTGATTGTGAGAGGAGTGTTGTTTGTGGTTGTGGGTGCGGTTTCGGTTGCGGTTGCGTTTGCGTTTGCGGTTGCGGTGTTGAGTGTTGTTGTGAGAGTGGTTGCGTTGAGTGTGAGTGGTGGAGTAGTGATGCTGGTCGATGTTGTTGTGGACGTGTTGATAGATGTGTAGGGTGTTGTTGGTTGAGTGATGGTGGTTATGTTTGGATTAGTGGTGGTTGATGCGGTGGATGGAGTAGTTTGAGTAGATGCAGTTGGACCAGTTGTAGTTGTGATGTTTGTTGTAGTATGAGTTTGAGTTGTGCTTGAATTGATTGGTGCAGATTGTGATGCTGGTGTGATGGATGTTGTTGTAGCGTTGAGTGTGATTGTGAGAGGAGTGTTGTTTGTGGTTGTGGGTGCGGTTTCGGTTGCGGTTGCGGTGTTGAGGGTTGTTGTGAGAGTGGTTGCGTTGAGTGTGAGTGGTGGAGTAGTGATGCTGGTCGATGTTGTTGTGGACGTGTTGATAGATGTGTAGGGTGTTGTTGGTTGAGTGATGGTGGTTATGTTTGGATTAGTGGTTGTTGATGCGGTGGATGGAGTAGTTTGATTAGATGCAGTTGGACCAGTTGTAGTTGTGATGTTTGTTGTAGTATGAGTTTGAGTTGTGCTTGAATTGATTGGTGCAGATTGTGATGCTGGTGTGATGGATGTTGTTGTAGCGTTGAGTGTGATTGTGAGAGGAGTGTTGTTTGTGGTTGTGGGTGCGGTTTCGGTTGCGGTTGCGGTTGCGTTTGCGGTTGCGGTGTTGAGGGTTGTTGTGAGAGTGGTTGCGTTGAGTGTGAGTGGTGGAGTAGTGATGCTGGTCGATGTTGTTGTGGACGTGTTGATAGATGTGTAGGGTGTTGTTGGTTGAGTGATGGTGGTTATGTTTGGATTAGTGGTTGTTGATGCGGTGGATGGAGTAGTTTGAGTAGATGCAGTTGGACCAGTTGTAGTTGTGATGTTTGTTGTAGTATGAGTTTGAGTTGTGCTTGAATTGATTGGTGCAGATTGTGATGCTGGTGTGATGGATGTTGTTGTAGCGTTGAGTGTGATTGTGAGAGGAGTGTTGTTTGTGGTTGTGGGTGCGGCTTCGGTTGCGGTTGCGGTTGCGTTTGCGGTTGCGTTGTTGAGGGTTGTTGTGAGAGTGGTTGCGTTGAGTGTGAGTGGTGGAGTAGTGATGCTGGTCGATGTTGTTGTGGACGTGTTGATAGATGTGTAGGGTGTTGTTGGTTGAGTGATGGTGGTTATGTTTGGATTAGTGGTGGTTGATGCGGTGGATGGAGTAGTTTGAGTAGATGCAGTTGGACCAGTTGTAGTTGTGATGTTTGTTGTAGTATGAGTTTGAGTTGTGCTTGAATTGATTGGTGCAGATTGTGATGCTGGTGTGATGGATGTTGTTGTGGCGTTGAGTGTGATTGTGAGAGGAGTGTTGTTTGTGGTTGTGGGTGCGGTTTCGGTTGCGGTTGCGTTTGCGTTTGCGGTTGCGGTGTTGAGGGTTGTTGTGAGAGTGGTTGCGTTGAGTGTGAGTGGTGGAGTAGTGATGCTGGTGGATGTTGTTGTGGACGTGTTGATAGATGTGTAGGGTGTTGTCGGTTGAGTGATGGTGGTTATGTTTGGATTAGTGGTGGTTGATGCGGTGGATGGAGTAGTTTGAGTAGATGCAGTTGGACCAGTTGTAGTTGTGATGTTTGTTGTAGTATGAGTTTGAGTTGTGCTTGAATTGATTGGTGCAGATTGTGATGCTGGTGTGATGGATGTTGTTGTAGCGTTGAGTGTGATTGTGAGAGGAGTGTTGTTTGTGGTTGTGGGTGCGGTTTCGGTTGCGGTTGCGTTTGCGTTTGCGGTTGCGGTGTTGAGGGTTGTTGTGAGAGTGGTTGCGTTGAGTGTGAGTGGTGGAGTAGTGATGCTGGTCGATGTTGTTGTGGACGTGTTGATAGATGTGTAGGGTGTTGTTGGTTGAGTGATGGTGGTTATGTTTGGATTAGTGGTTGTTGATGCGGTGGATGGAGTAGTTTGAGTAGATGCAGTTGGACCAGTTGTAGTTGTGATGTTTGTTGTAGTAAGAGTTTGAGTTGTGCTTGAATTGATTGGTGCAGATTGTGATGCTGGTGTGATGGATGTTGTTGTAGCGTTGAGTGTGATTGTGGGTGCGGTTTCGGTTGCGGTTGCGTTTGCGTTTGCGGTTGCGGTGTTGAGTGTTGTTGTGAGAGTGGTTGCGTTGAGTGTGAGTGGTGGAGTAGTGATGCTGGTCGATGTTGTTGTGGACGTGTTGATAGATGTGTAGGGTGTTGTTGTTTGAGTGATGGTGGTTATGTTTGGATTAGTGGTTGTTGATGCGGTGGATGGAGTAGTTTGATTAGATGCAGTTGGACCAGTTGTAGTTGTGATGTTTGTTGTAGTAAGAGTTTGAGTTGTGCTTGAATTGATTGATGCAGATTGTGATGCTGGTGTGATGGATGTTGTTGTAGCGTTGAGTGTGATTGTGGGTGCGGTTTCGGTTGCGGTTGCGTTTGCGTTTGCGGTTGCGGTGTTGAGGGTTGTTGTGAGAGTGGTTGCGTTGAGTGTGAGTGGTGGAGTATTGATGCTGGTCGATGTTGTTGTGGACGTGTTGATAGATGTGTAGTGTGTTGTTGTTTGAGTGATGGTGGTTATGTTTGGATTAGTGGTTGTTGATGCGGTGGATGGAGTAGTTTGATTAGATGCAGTTGGACCAGTTGTAGTTGTGATGTTTGTTGTAGTATGAGTTTGAGTTGTGCTTGAATTGATTGGTGCAGATTGTGATGCTGGTGTGATGGATGTTGTTGTGGCGTTGAGTGTGATTGTGAGAGGAGTGTTGTTTGTGGTTGTGGGTGCGGTTTCGGTTGCGGTTGCGTTTGCGTTTGCGGTTGCGGTGTTGAGTGTTGTTGTGAGAGTGGTTGCGTTGAGTGTGAGTGGTGGAGTAGTGATGCTGGTCGATGTTGTTGTGGACGTGTTGATAGATGTGTAGGGTGTTGTTGGTTGAGTGATGGTGGTTATGTTTGGATTAGTGGTGGTTGATGCGGTGGATGGAGTAGTTTGAGTAGATGCAGTTGGACCAGTTGTAGTTGTGATGTTTGTTGTAGTATGAGTTTGAGTTGTGCTTGAATTGATTGGTGCAGATTGTGATGCTGGTGTGATGGATGTTGTTGTAGCGTTGAGTGTGATTGTGGGTGCGGTTTCGGTTGCAGTTGCGTTTGCGTTTGCGGTTGCGGTGTTGAGGGTTGTTGTGAGAGTGGTTGCGTTGAGTGTGAGTGGTGGAGTAGTGATGCTGGTCGATGTTATTGTGGACGTGTTGATAGATGTGTAGGGTGTTGTTGGTTGAGTGATGGTGGTTATGTTTGGATTAGTGGTGGTTGATGCGGTGGATGGAGTAGTTTGAGTAGATGCAGTTGGACCAGTTGTAGTTGTGATGTTTGTTGTAGTTTGAGTTTGAGTTGTGCTTGAATTGATTGGTGCAGATTGTGATGCTGGTGTGATGGATGTTGTTGTGGCGTTGAGTGTGATTGTGAGAGGAGTGTTGTTTGTGGTTGTGGGTGCGGTTTCGGTTGCGGTTGCGTTTGCGTTTGCGGTTGCGGTGTTGAGTGTTGTTGTGAGAGTGGTTGCGTTGAGTGTGAGTGGTGGAGTAGTGATGCTGGTCGATGTTGTTGTGGACGTGTTGATAGATGTGTAGGGTGTTGTTGGTTGAGTGATGGTGGTTATGTTTGGATTAGTGGTGGTTGATGCGGTGGATGGAGTAGTTTGAGTAGATGCAGTTGGACCAGTTGTAGTTGTGATGTTTGTTGTAGTAAGAGTTTGAGTTGTGCTTGAATTGATTGGTGCAGATTGTGATGCTGGTGTGATGGATGTTGTTGTAGCGTTGAGTGTGATTGTGGTTGTGGTTGTGGTTGCGGTTGCGGTAGCGTTTGCGGTTGCGGTGTTGAGGGTTGTTGGGAGAGTGGTAGCGTTGAGTGTGGAAGGTGTAGTTGTGATGCTGGTGGATGTTGTTGTGGACGTGTTGATAGATGTGTAGGGTGTTGTGGGTAGAGTGATGGTGGTTATGTTTGGATTGGTGGTTGTGGTTGTGGTTGTGGTTGTGGTTGATGCGGTGGATGGAGTAGTTTCAGTAGATGCAGTTGGACCAGTTGTAGTTGTGATGTTTGTTGTAGTTTGAGTTTGAGTTGTGCTTGAATTGATTGGTGCAGATTGTGATGCTGGTGTGATGGATGTTGTTGTGGCGTTGAGTGTGATTGTGGGTGCGGTTTCGGTTGCGGTGTTGAGTGTTGTTGTGAGAGTGGTTGCGTTGAGTGTGAGTGGTGGAGTAGTGATGCTGGTCGATGTTGTTGTGGACGTGTTGATAGATGTGTAGGGTGTTGTTGGTTGAGTGATGGTGGTTATGTTTGGATTAGTGGTGGTTGATGCGGTGGATGGAGTAGTTTGAGTAGATGCAGTTGGACCAGTTGTAGTTGTGATGTTTGTTGTAGTATGAGTTTGAGTTGTGCTTGAATTGATTGGTGCAGATTGTGATGCTGGTGTGATGGATGTTGTTGTGGCGTTGAGTGTGATTGTGAGAGGAGTGTTGTTTGTGGTTGTGGGTGCGGTTTCGGTTGCGGTTGCGTTTGCGTTTGCGGTTGCGGTGTTGAGGGTTGTTGTGAGAGTGGTTGCGTTGAGTGTGAGTGGTGGAGTAGTGATGCTGGTCGATGTTGTTGTGGACGTGTTGATAGATGTGTAGGGTGTTGTTGGTTGAGTGATGGTGGTTATGTTTGGATTAGTGGTTGTTGATGCGGTGGATGGAGTAGTTTGAGTAGATGCAGTTGGACCAGTTGTAGTTGTGATGTTTGTTGTAGTATGAGTTTGAGTTGTGCTTGAATTGATTGGTGCAGATTGTGATGCTGGTGTGATGGATGTTGTTGTAGCGTTGAGTGTGATTGTGAGAGGAGTGTTGTTTGTGGTTGTGGGTGCGGTTTCGGTTGCGGTTGCGTTTGCGTTTGCGGTTGCGGTGTTGAGGGTTGTTGTGAGAGTGGTTGCGTTGAGTGTGAGTGGTGGAGTAGTGATGCTGGTCGATGTTGTTGTAGACGTGTTTATATCTGTGGAATTTATTGTATTCATTGTGTTTGTGTTTATATCTGTAGTGATTGTCTGTGTCGTTATATTTGTTATTTGTGTTATTGGATTGGATGTAATCGTGTTTGTTGTTGTGTTATTTGTGTTTGTGACTGTCTCTATAATGAAGCAAATTCACATATTTTTATTGATTATTTTTTTAATGATCATTATTTTTTGAAAATAATGTTTGTTTTATTCTATTTTGTTTTACTCAATTAATTTAGATTTTTTTCGCCTTTAATTCGACTCAATTTTTTGGTTTCGTTTATTTTTGTCGTCGTGCGAGTTTTGCTTTTTATTTTATAATCAAATCTGTTCTTAAATTTTAGTTTCCATTCAAGGTCATTTCGTTTTTTTTTATAAAACCTTATTGCCATAGCAACTATATATATATAATGTATGATATAAAGTGATTATCTGATGTATATTTATATTCAAATGGGTGCTAGTTTTCTTAATGCCTTAATTGTTTATACTTGTAGAGATTTGAATTTTCATTCATTAACCTCAGTATTTGTGTTTATAATGCTTTTACTATTAAACAGTTTTTAGTAGACAAATGAATGAAACATCATTTTAGTTACTATCAATATTTTTCAGGTTCTGTTATTTTTTTCTTGGTCAATTTGTTTATGTATCGATCTAAGCTAGATTAGCATTGAAAACTTGGAAGGAATGAACGACGGTTTCGTACTGGTATGGGACTCATGTTGAGTGTGTATTCATGTAGGGTGTGAGACAATGTTTGACAATGGATAACGGATTGCGCAATATCATGGATTGAATGAAATTAAACATTAATACTGTTGGATGATAGCTCAGTGATGTAGATGCTAAAAGTTTGCGCGCTTGACCGAAAGTCTTTCATTAGAGTCTCATGTGCATGATTATAGATGCGCACTACTGAAGAGTCTAATACTGGGTCGAAACGGTCGTCTAGATTTTCACTGATGTTCTAGATTAAATCAACTTATGAATTCAACTACTAAAATGCACTACAATCTCCAAGAATCCCTGTTCTACTTGAGTTTATGTTATTATTCAAGGTTTATTTTTCCGGGAGTTTTTTCTCCTTTATGAATTGAGGCTTTTCTTATTACCAATTCTTTAACTGAAGCATCATTTTGCTCAATTAATAGTTGGGAACAATTGGCTTGCCCAGTTTTCAATTTCTCAAATGTTACGCTTATTTATTTATAGTTTATACTTGTATTTACTAATTCACCATGTATCTTTGAAATGGATTATCATTTAGCATACCATATACTTGTATGTATATAAGTAGTATCTAGATATTTTAAATAGATTATCAGTGTTGTGTACAACGTTCTCAGTCAAACATCTTTTGTTTGTTTTCAGTGTCAGGTAGTTTCTTTTTTGTGAATAAGAATTTGGGTCACTAACCCCATGCCCAACCCTCCTCCTCTATTCGGGTTTGCACCTGCAGTAGCCCCAGAGGGGCTTCAGGCGCAGTTGTCTAATCGAAATACTTCGGATCCGTTGGCCGGACACTAACAGCAACAACATACTGTGGGAAAGAACAAACCAAATCACAGCGGAGGTAGAAATCAGAATGAAGCACTGGAATTGGATAGGATATACATTGAGGAAAGCATCTAACTGCGTCACAAGGCAAGCTCTCACATGGAATTCACAAGGCTAAGGGCAAAGAGGAAGACCAAAGAACACATTACATCGAGCAATGGAGACAGACATGAGAAGAATGAACAACAATTGGATGAAACTAGAAAGGAAGGTACAGGATAGAGTGAGTTGTAGAATGGTGGTCGGCGGCCTATGCTCCATTGGGAGTAACAGGCGAAAGTAAAGTTCTATGATTCCATTGGTTTAGATCATTGACAAATATACTTGTGAATAAATTCAACATTCATTATAGTATTTTGCTCTTCCGAATTGTGAAGTCATCAATTAGTATGGAACATTATTAATTAAGATGAATCAATTGATGTTGTGTTCTTAGAATCATAAATCACTAATTCATAATTCATTATATTACAAATGGATTAACGTGGATTTAATCAACACTTTGTAGTAGATCTGTTCAACTACTACTCATTGGTTGATCAATGGTTTTAAAGATCTCAATTTGATCTGTTATTGCTTAATAATAATGACTTAAATCTTATTGAAGTGGATAATTTCCTTTATGAATACAGATAGATCTTGCCCATTATTACCAGGCGAATCGAAAACCTAGATGAAACAATACTTTTTGTCAGTAGTTTAACTTACTTACGTTTGCTACACCTTACGGTAGAGCATAGGCTACTCATTCTAGTTGGCATTGTTTTAGCAAGATTTTTTTTCTACAGAATAGCATTACCGACCTCATACCCAACCCTTATCATTTAGTCGGATTTCGGACCAGTAATAACTCTAGAAGAGCTACAAATAAAGTTGTCCATAGTGTTTTAATTCTTCCAAAAATGTTTTTATATTTTAGATCGATAATTAATAAAGGAAGTCAACTCCTTGAAATTTTAAAATATTTAAGTGATATATTTTACATCATAATCTTTATTCTGAGCAATCGTTAATCACTAGGCTTAGGTTAACCAGATTTATACGAATACTTACTCTGATGAGAATATATTCAGTTTGTGTATTGATTTCTACATTCTATATCTATCTAATGTTACCGATACTACTTATAGATGATTAAATAAAAGTATGCGAATCGATTGTTCAAATCTATCTATCTATCTATCTATCCATCTATCTATCTATCTATCTATCCATCTATCTATCCACACATCTATCTATCTATCTATCTATCTATCTATCTATCTATCTATCTATCCACACATCTATCTATCTATCTATCTATCCACACCTCTATCTTTCTATCCATATATATATATATATATATATATATATATATATATATATATGATATTATATTAATTTAAATCAGTATGAAAATATGCTACTTACGTCCAGCTTGTGTATCAAACAATTGTATTGTATCGTTGGATTGAGTGGTTGTATTATATGTAGTAATAAATGCATTAGAAAATTCAGTTGCATTAATTACATCAATTGATGTTGTATTAATTTGTATTGTAGCATTACCACCAACTACATTCGATGATGTATTCGTTGTAGCTTGTCGTTTTTCCCAAATAATTAATATTTGTCTAGGTGTAAATATTACTTTAGTACATGATTTTTGTTTATTCGCTGTAAGTGGAGCTTTTTGTAATGTTCTCATTATCTATAAAAGTTCAACATAAAATATACATTAAAATAATTATGAATATTATAAAGTGGATTCAAATGTTGATTCAAGCTGATCAAGATCAAAGCGGCCTGCTTGAATATCTGAGTTACCTGTTATCTGACATCTGAATATTTCAAGGAGTTATCTGTTTTCTTGTTTGTTTTAACACATCATTATGCCCATTAGTCGTATAACTCATTCAGGTGCATTTGTGAAATGTTTACGATATTTCGCTTTACAAGTTACAAAAGAATCCTATAAGAGATATCGCAGTTACTGGCAATATGTATCGAAACGAATATACATTAATCAGGTGTGGATTGACTCAACATTTATCGTTAGGATCGATCAAGAAATAAGAAATGGAAACTCGCTGAAATACTTAGTACTGAATAAAGCCACTAATAATAATGTTTTTATATCGATTATATTTAACACTCTGATTTGTACTTTTAGTTTACAAAATTCGACTACTTAATTGTATTCAGTAGTTCATTTTTTTATTCAATCATTTTTCGGAGTTTATGTAATTCAGGACTTGATGTCTTGTTATTAGTTGCAAACCATATATTTTATTCATTTATACTAAATTTTACAAAAAGAATGCTTGTTTCTGTATAACAACGTGGTTATAGTATTACAAATGGCCGTTGCTCAAATCATTCATATTAAAATACAGCAATAGTATTTATGTGAATTCTTCCAACTATATTCGGTAGAGTATATTAAAACTCTTTTATCAAGAATGAAGTTAAAGCGGGGTTCCATAGCACTATATTTTAATAAAAAGAGAGAGTTAGGAAGAGAACCTGCTTGATCGGGTTTTCATTTTAATTGGTACTCATCAACTAAACATATCAAAAACATTCAAAAGAAACTAATATTTTCATTATCTTAACTTTTCTAAATTTCCCTTTAAAATTGGATATGTTATACGTATATTTTGAAGTGAGCTCTTCAGTTAATAGTATTTCATTTGATATGCAAAAACGATTAGATGTTTTCCATTCTGATATAGATGTTCAAGATTAAAAGCGCTCATTTTAATTGTGAGATTAGCATTTTTCGTAGCTATTTATTCACTTAGAACAAAGAGTACTTGTGTAATCTGAATTTTTATCAAGAATAAGTTTAAAGCAATTAGTCCCTTTTATAAATTTTGATAGAACAATGAGAAAATTGAGTTGATCTGAGAAATTGGTGATGTATTAACGCTATACATTTCGAACAATCTGGTCACATACATATACTTGTCAAAGCATTTTTATATGAAAATTAATAAAGGTCAATTATATAAAAGTTCAAATAAAATAACAAAAGGGGGAAGAACAATAAAAAATTGTGGCGTTATCCTAGGCCATAGAATGACTTAAGGATTACCAAGGTAAATTCAAGGTTAAGACAAATTGTTTATGTACACATAATGGAGGTTTAAATTTACGAATAGCCAAAGCTTCAATAAACTTAAGAATTCATCCTTCACAATTTCTATACAACATTCTAAATGCTGTATTAATGTTAATTTTGTGCCCCGTTTCAATTATATGTTTCGCTATCGATGAACTTGGTTTTCTACCTTCTACATTGATCGGATCATTTGACACACATTGATTTTGAAGCCATCTAGGCACATGTTCATGTGTGACCAGATTGTTCGATATATATCACATTTTTCAGATCAACTCCGTTTTCCCATTATTCTGTCGAAAAGAATAGGTTTGTCAGAAAGGATGAGTGGATATATATATTTAATGAACGTTTTTCGATATACTTTCATTAGATTTGATTCTGTTCAACAATACTGGTTAATTTTTGATACTGTTAGATGTATATTCGTTGTAAATGATAAGTGATTTCTTTGTCTACTTAAATCTTGTAAGTAATATAAATAATATTTATAAAAAAGATCTGAAAGCAACAGTAGGACAAGATATGAATTTTCGAGACGAAAAATTATCATTAATCTAGGTATTTATTTCAATAAACAAATAAAAAGTATAGAAAAAAACACACTTACTAAATCACAATATCTTGTAGATAACACAGCATAATTCAATGATGTTGTATCAGCATATGATGCATCCCAATCAATTGCTGTATTATTTGATTGATGATAAATAGTTGAATCAATCCAATAATTTGTTGAAACTATATCAGTTTTATTGTAAAGAATAAAGAGTAAACATGTCAGAATGTATGATGGAAATATAGAAATAATTATTCATAAGAAAGTATTTCATTGAGTAAACACAAGTATAACCATATGCTCAAAGTTAAATTAAATATTAGCTATACTGTTAACAATATTATACAATAGATGAGTTTTGACTAACAACAGAATCCAGACCACAGATTCCTTCCTATAATTGAATTCGATTTGATGTGTTCGCATTTTATTATTCATAACGAGACTCGAATTATGTACTTTTTTACTTTAATATTTGACTCTAATTGGATTGTATGAATGGTTGTTATTGAAATAGACATATCGTCAATTCTCGTAATCGCCCTATTTGATTCCGTTATATTTACTAACGTGAGTTAAGTTGATAATTATATAGGTGGATTGACGATATGTATATTTTAATAACAATTAAAAATACAATGTAATTGGAGTCAGATTCGAACCACTAAAGTGGTGAACCTGACATGGTTCGAATACGTAACCTTCTAATACCTCTCCTAACGAATCGATAACATACATGCGTGTCTAAATGCTGTCGTTATCAAGAATTCATTCATTCTATAGTTTTAAGATTATCAGAATTCCCATATTAGAATTCTCATTTCTCTATATTGTATTTTACATTCATATTGCTGTTCTTACAATATTTTGACCACAACTGGCTATCCCTTTAAACATTATAGTCTTATCTGTAGTTAGATAATATCTTACTATAACCAGTGATAAGGTACGAAATTTGGTCTAGAAGCCAATATATTTACTAGAAACTAATCACTTCATGGAAAAACTGAAAGCATTGAACGACTGTTTCGTCCTGTTATGGAACTCCTCAGCATTTAATAGATGTTATATGTAAAAGTGTGATTTTAACTTAAGATTTCATTTAAAGTTTTAAATTTCATCATACTTGTATTATTTTTAAAAATTATTATCATCTTGTTGCTACGCCCTAAAATGAGGTGTTCATAGAAGATAAATATTGATAACTTCAAATGACCTGGTACGACTTAAAGTTAGGAGAGTCATTTCTCTTTCTCGAATTGCTCTCACGTGGCCATACGTATATAGCCACTGTCAAGGAATTCTTACCCATTGCCTTCTCACGGCAGGGGTGTTCTTCACAAAATTGAAAGGACGAAAATCCAATGTCCTGCGCTTTAACCGGATTAGTGGATAAAGAAGATCAACCTGTGGGAGTTCATAAACCATGATTCCGAACCAATGGTACACATGGGCTCCAGGATCCTGAGGTGAAAAATGACGTATGAGCCTATTGCTGGTCACCGGTTACCATGGGATTGTGTTATGTCCCGATAAGCATAATGAATGGTATTTGTTGGGATTCATTCATGGACCAATACTATGCGTATATTTTTATCGTATAATTGTTTAATAACTAAACTATTCATATTCATGTTCCTATCATTATGAGCATTATTTTGATCTATAAATTATTATTATAGGATTTACCATTCTTGAGTTATGCACAGTCTATCAATTACTATCTCCCACATTCACAGTCACTTCTGGCTAGCCTCATTTGGCTAAATGTTGTACAAATGCTGTTTCCTATTTTATGGTACGATGTGGTTTGTATGGTTGGTATATAAACCCAGTATGCTTGAAATAAATAATTCATATTGCAGAGGCTGTGATTGGTGTTCTGGACTTAACTGACTGAGCTAGGCAAGAAGCAGGGCCGATAAGTACTCTAGACTGCTCGTACAGGTTTTACGTATCATTGATCCGATCGATAATTCATTGCTCCCTAATTGGCAATCACAATTTATAACAGATTGCATCTCTTGATGTTGCTCCATTGCCTTATGCATTAGACCGTTAGATTAAAGGCTTTGGGTGTAGCCCGCCTGCTTTAGTTTCATTACCCAGATAGTATTCTAATCATCACACAAATCAAATGGTTTATATGGCATATATCTATTTAGTGTCTTCTTGTATCAATATTAATATGTTCAACGAAACAAAATAAACACTCTTATATTTAAAAATCGTTGAATAAACCAAAACAAAAATCTTTTTATATTGAAAATAATTGAATGAAATAAAATGAAATGAAAATAAACAAATACCATTGAATATTTACTATGATTATATTTATTTTAATCATTTAATGAACTACTTATTTATATTCAAATATATTATTTTAGATGTTTGTCTGTTTGTGCGTGTGTGTGTGTATGTGTGCGTGGGTGGGCGGTTGGAAACACACATACATATATAAATACACACACACATGCACACAAAGTAAATTATCAAACTAGTACTGTTAACCTATAAATAAAAATAAACTTATATATACTACTCAAGAATATCACTACTCATAAACATGAATCGTAAAAAGAAAAAAGTCGGGGGGGGGAAGGGTTTAAATGGAATACCAATTCAAACCATCATCAATATCAACATCACCATCGTCATCATGATCATGATCATGATCATGATCATCATCATCATCATCATCATTGAATTGTCATTTATTGAATGAATGAATTAGTTCGATAGTTGACAATGTATATTAGAGAGTAAAACAGCATGTATTCTATATTGTATATTGTCAGTTCTATTGAATAATGACGTTCTATTTACTTGGTATTTCAGGGCTATGACATAATTTTTTACAAGTATAGAGAATATATGTGAATGTAGTAATTCGACATGTATCATCAGAATATCTTTGTATATATATATTGGTGCATGTTAAAAACTGTGGTGTTTTCTTTTTACATTGTCAATACATAATCACTGATTTGTTATTAGGTCAATCATCTATGAAATCTTTTATTACATAATATAAATGAGGCAAATCAATAATGTTACATATATTAACACGTGATATACTCCTTATTACTTTAAAGGTAAGATAAGAAATAGGATTCAAAACAACTATCAATCAATATCAATGTAAGAATCTTTAATACAAATGTTAAGACAGTTCTAATATACGGAGCTGAAGTTGGTAGAACACATTTTGAGTTAAAAAACCCTGATTCCAAACCAATGGTACACATGAGCTCCAGGATCCTAAGGCGACAAATGGCATATGAAGCAATTACTGGTCACCGGATACCATGGGACCGGGTCTCCTCACATTGATCCACTGCCTTATGGATCGAACTAGTGGGTCGGAGGCTCCCGGTGTACTCCTCTAAGAAAACCACCTGTAGTAGTAGTAGCTAGCAAGAGCTAACATGGAATCCTGAAATGATAACAGTAAGTTGAAAGGCCGAAGAACACACTATGTTAAGAAATGAAAGCAGATATGAAAAGGATGAATAGCAACTGCAGATAACTAGAAAAGATTGTCCAAAAAAGAGTTGGATATAGAATGCTGGTGAGTGGCTTATGTTCTTCCACTACGGGTAACAGACGTAAGTAAAATCACAGATATTCCCTCTGTCCCAACGTATTTGGTTTGTATAGTTGCATAATATTATTAACTACTGTCAAACAAACAAAAAATATGGTTGTAATTCACTTGTATGTAAAGCACCTGAAGGTGTAACAATAGCTCTGTTTAGAAAGTTTATTAGTCTGTTTATTTATTTTCGCTTCTTCTCAATAATAAGTCAATAGTGACCATTTAATTTCTCTAATACTTAAATGTTTCTTAAAAAGAAAGGATAATTCCTGTTTAAATCTACTTAAATTAAATTAGGCGAACTAATTTCCAGTGGTGATTCCCAGAATTGTAAATGTGCAATGATAGCAGGTGGCTATGAAAGATAATTGTGTGATATCAAGAGGTTAACGATTCATACGAGAGACCGAATGTCTTGGATTCGAGTCCCATAAGCGGAAATGTGGATGTGAATTGTTGAGTAGTCCCACAGTAGGAAAAAACGGTCATTCAGTACATTTAGGTTTTCCAAGATAGTCCAAGATGGACTCATAAATTCAACTATTAAAAAGCTTCATAATTGAAATCATAAAAATCAAATATTACATCATCAAAGTGTAAACCATTAATCTTAAACTAAAGTAAACACTCTCTAATTTGAAGATTACAGTAGTAAAGCAGTCAAGTTTACATTTCAATAATATAAAAAGTTATCATTTGTAAAATGGGTCAAAAAGAGAATAATCATTTACAACAACCAAAAGAAAATACTACATATTCGAATATCCTACAACAGTATTCAACAATCATAAATAATATCAGAAAAGAGGTTTTGTGGATATTATAGCAATTTTAATACTTGAGATCATGAGCTAATTGAAGCTAGACAACCATGGAAAATCTACAAGCACTGGATGGCCGTTTCATCCTAATGTGGGACTCCTAAGTAGTGCGCATCAGAGGTCCTGCCTCGTGAGATTCGAATCCGAGATCTATCGGTCACGCGTATGAACACTTAATCTCTAGATCACTAACCTGGCCGGTGTCAAACGGTGCTAGTGTCTAACTTCAACTAATCCATAAAATTGACTGACACGTCCATCATAGTCTTCAATCAGTTAATATCTCACAATAGACCCGGTTGAACTCCAATGGTCACTGTATCTCACTAGAACTTCGGAAAAATACCTTTTGAAGTCAGTCACTAGTAATCATATACTAATTCATATTAGATGAGCACTGCTGACGAGTCCCACAATAGAACAAAACGATCATCCAGAGCTTCCAGGTTTTTCATGATAGACTAGTTTCAATTAACTCATGATCTCAACTATGAAGTAAAAACAAAAAGGTTTGTAAAGAATAAACTAAATATTTACACGCTATGGGTTAGTTTACTAAATATCAGCAATTAGCTTTATATTAATATATAAACATAAATAGATATCAATTCAAGAAGGATACAATACTGTTGCTATACACTACGAACAAACAAAATTATGAAATGAACAATAATCGTTACTAGAAATTAAAAGATAAACATAATAGAAAACATAAAAAGAAATAAGTAACATAAATAAGCAAAGAAAGCAGTAGGATACAACC